TTGATTAACTATATGATTTTTATAAATTATATTATTCTTAGCTATATTTTTAGGTATTATATTTATTTTAGTTAAATAATTTTTTATAGTAATTAGGAGAATAATTCTTAGAAAGTAATTCTAGAGAATATTATTTTAAATATTAATCGATTTCAATTTTAAAGCTTATAATTATTAAGTATTTATAGGCGTTTATAAACCCTACTAGAAATCCGCGGGAGGCTATAATTATCTTTATAATCACTTTTTAACTTTTCTTGCTATAGTTAGTAAGGTATATCGATTATAATTATTAGATCTATAATATCCTCCTCTTTATTATTACTAATTAGTACAATCTCTTTATAAGTCTTTTAGGTCTCTTTTTCCTCCTATATAATTTCTAACTTATCCTACTCCTAAAGCTCTTAAATAAATATAAGCTACTTCTTCTCGACTTCGAATTTAGTAATATATATAAGTATTATTAGATCCTATATAGTAGATATATTTAGCGTCCCTTGTCGATAATAATAAATATTATATATAGAATTAAATAATCGCTTAATACTAGCGTTAGTAGCTAAGATCGAGAGGAGATCACGGGCGAGGCTTATAAATATAAGAAATTTATACTAATAATCCTTCTAGAATTAATAGGGTAGGATTAGGATAATATCTAGATAGAAGGTAGATTATAATAATTAGTATAATATTTAGATAGATTAGAACTAATACCCCTATTAAAACTAGGGTTCTAAGATAGGCCTTAAAACCCCGGTTTTAATAGGGGTAGAAAGATAGAAACTTAATAGATTAGAACTAGGGTTTTAAGCGATTGCTTAGAACCCTAGTTTTAATAAGGGTATATATAGAAACTTACCTTCTTTAATATACTATATTACCTTAGACTAGGAGCTTAAGATAGAAGAATCGACTATTAAAAATATATTAAGCTCGTTAGTTTAATAAGATTATTTTATTTTAGATAGTAATTAAGAGCTTAGAATATTACTAGCTTAGTAGCTTAGAAATTAACTTTTAAGATTTCACTAGTATTAGGCGTTATAATCTATCTAAGGATAGTCCTAATCTTTAGTTTAAAAAATTTAACCTTATACTAAGGGGCTAAGATAATACTAATTGTATAGATATTACTAAGCTTTTTATTATCTATTATAGAGTAATACTCACGGAGTTTACTTTTAGCTAATTTAAGGACTTAATATATCTATTGCTTCTATCTAACCTTCTTTTTTACTAAGCTATCTAATTAATCTCTTAAGATAATTAAATAGCTTATTATAGATAGTAAAGATAGTATAAATAATAATATCCTTTATTTTTAAGAGGACTATAATAAATTAGAAAAATAGCTAGATAATATTAAGAAGGTAGTCGATCTAGCGCTATTTATCTATATTAATTTTAAGATAAGGATAATTATATTTAGAGTAAAATCGATTAAAGACTAGTTATAACCGTTTCGTACGTCGGAGTATTAAAAAGGTTAAATTCTATCTAGTTTAGATATCTTAAATTAGAACTAATCGAGGATAGTTAGGCTAGAGACTAAGGAAGGACTCCCGACATTAAAGGCTTATATTAATAAAGATTATAAGGTTTCTAATCTAAAATATAAAGTAGATTAGTATTTTAACTAATAAATAAAGAGTATAGATATATATCTTTATAAGAGTTATTGTAATATCTTATTTTTATACTTTTTAACGGGTATATTAGATATATTCCTCGGACTAAATAGTCTTAGTTACCTCGTTCTAAAGGTTCGCTTTTATCTAGCTAAGTAGTTACTTTAAACTTAACTAAATTATATATATAATATATAGAACCCGAATAATTATTATCTTAGAGTTAATATCTAATAATTAAATAGAATCTTAGATACTTAAAATAAGGGTAGAGTTATTCGATATATTATTAGTCGTTACTATAAGTACTTAGTCTTTAATCTAATATTTCTAGAGGATATCGAGGAGGATTATACTAAGATTCTGTTTAGAGTATATACTAGAAATAGGTTTAAAGCTAAATAAAACCTCTCGATAATTCTAGTCTATATTAATAAAATAGCTAGAGATAGCTATAAATATTTATTAAAATAGCGATATCTAATAGTTAAGACTAATAGAGAGCTTAATCTTAGGTAGAAGCTTCTAAAGTAAATCTTTCTATTAATCTTAGGTTATTCCCTAGATTCGACGCTATATAGTTTAATAGGAAGGGAAACTAGGGATAAACAATAATAATTAGATTATTCGAAGAAAGGCTTAGAATTTAGGATACTTAATAGTTTAAAAAAGAAGCCGTAGGGTAATTATTATAGTAATTAACTATTACTTCTATAGCTCTTAAATAACTAGCTAGGCTATTCGAGGGGGAGTTCTTAGCCTAAGAAAGATTAGCCTATAAATTAAATAATAGCTATATAATATACTATATATTCTATAAGACGTTAGATTGTTAAATATTTAGTAGTATTTTAGCCTTTCTAGTATATACTCCGATTCTAGTAACGTTAGAGATCTATTATCCTATTCTTGGTATAGACTAGATAGTCTATAACCTTACTATATTATTTATATAAGAGCTTTAGCTCTCTTATTACTAAATATACGACTTAATTAAAATACAACTATATATTAGTCTATCGTGGACCCTCCTAGTTTATCTTTTTTATAGTATTATAAAAACCACTAATTTAGGTATTAAGCCACTAATTTAAAAACTCTATTTTATTTATACTATCAAAAATTACTTAGGTCTTTTTCCGATCGTCGGATTATTTTAGTATTAGTAGTATAATAGGAGGGAGGCTTTACTTAGTTTACTGGCTTTCTAGTGGTTCTAAGAGGGTATCAAGAAATTAATCAGAATAGAAAATAGATGACTTAAACCCCTTACTCTTAATAAGAGAAGGAGGGTATAAAGTAGATAACTAAGATATAGAAGAGATATAGCAATAGTATATTAAAATAAAGGACTCGAGATATAGAAAAATAATCTAAGATAAATCATTATAGATTTAGGGGAATATATAGATCTAATACTTATTTCTTATTAATAGATAGGATTCGGTACTATCCTAGTGCTAAATTTTATAACTAATCAGAAGATGCTCTACTAATATATATAAAGCTTATTGGATAGTAAGAAATAGATTAATAGGTTAATCTATAGGTTAACCTATTAACCTAAATAATTAGATAAGAGCAATACCCTAAGACTATTATTTTTATCCCCTAAAAATTTTAACCTAACTAGCTAACCTTTTTATATAGGTATATTAGAACTAGGGCTATAAATAAACACGTAGATAGATTAAAACCGGGGTTTTAAGTAATCGCGTAGATAGATTAAAACCCTAGTTCTAATAGAGGTAGAAAGACTACTATAAAAAGGTATATATTTTATTATATCTAGTAAAAAAGAGACTATACAACCCTTTTATAGCGAGAGACTCGAGATATAGAAAAATAATCTAAGGTAAATTATCGTAGATTTAGGGGAATATATAGGTCTAATATTTATTTCTTATTAATAGGTAGAATTTAGTACTATTCTAGTACTAAATTTTATAACCAATCAGAATAGGCTCTACTAATATATACGAAGTTCATTAGATAGTAAGAAATAGGTTAATAGGTCAATCTATAGATTAACCCGTTAACCTAAATAATTAGGTGAGAGTAATACCCTAAGATTTTTCTTTTTATCCCTAAAAAATTTTAACTTAACCAGCTAATATTATTATTTTATATAAATTCAGAAAAAATATTTAAAATAATTCTTTTATATAAATAAGACTATAATATACTTATATATTAATAAAGAAATATTAGATATTAGATTTATATCTATTTTATTATTTCTAATATATATAGTTTATTTATATAAAAAGTAGAAGTACTACTATAGACTTTAAATATATATTTTTAGGTTTAGTATAAGAAATAGTTAATTAATATCTTCTTTCGCCTATATCTACCTATTATAAAATATAATTCTTACCTTAAAGTATTAAATTAATAAATTAATATATTATATATTCTAAATATATTATTACTATATAATATTCTTTTTATAAAGGGTTAGAATTATAAGTTATATTAGAACAAAAACAGTATTTAACAATAGTGTATTATTAAAAAAGATAAGCAAATTATCTATCCTAATTAAGAAATTTATGCTAAAATAGGTTAAAAATGGGTTGACCCGTTAACCCACGGGTCAACCCATGGGCGGGTCAGGATTTTATTGACCCGACCCATGGGTCGTGGGTTTGGGTCATGGGTCAAGATCTTTGACCCATGGGACGGGTCTGTCCATGTCTAATGATATCTATGACCATCCAAACCAAGTTACAGCTATAAGTCGTTCCCCTATATCTATTTTCTTTTCTCTTTCACCTTCTTAAGACTACCTTTTTTTCTCTCCCAGCGCTCCATATATATTTTGGTAGTCAAGCGACAGCGATACTCTACAGTAGTACATGTAGAACCAGTATACAGATACACGCCAAAGCTTACAGCTACTGGCCCCTAATATCCATGGATCTTTTCAGGATGACTGTTGGTCCACTTTTAACTGCTGGCGCAATGTGTTTTTTTCGGTGATGCGACAACACACGATGTATGCCTTAGGCAGAAATCAGCATCTCTCTGCCTGCTTTGTTCCTCACTTTCTTTATCTGCTTGCCTCTCTTTTCCTGATCTACTTTCTCTGATCATTATATGGCTTTTTCCCACACTTCGTCAACATTGAATGATTCAGCCGCAAATTATGGCCCCAGCCCATTTCTTTCAGTGGGGTCCGAGGCGAAACAGATTGGGGGCCGAAAGATTCCTGCGATTCAGCTACAAGGCTGACCTCGTGCTAATAGACCCCTGATTGTCTTTTTCTTTCTTTAGAAAAAATCCCTCTGGGCTACACCCATCTGCCTTCACCTCAACCATTGACATATATGTCTCTGCGCGTTCGATGTTTACGTCTCATGCGCCATGAAATTCTCCCCAGATCGACCAACTCTCACTGAGAGGTTTGTTACTTGGGTTGAAGAATCAGCTGTCTCTGCTTTTATTGTCGCCAGGTCTCCCCAGGTTTACCTCGATCGTGGATGGGAAGCCTCTCGATCCTTTTTCTTCTCCGTTATTTCTATCTCCCTGATCCTCTCCAAATGCTTCCATCTCTGCGTTCATCTTGCGTCGTTGGCAGTTCCCTCTCTCCTCCCATGGGGCCCCACCTTCTTCCTAGTGGATATCATGCTTATCCTGGTCGCGTGCTTCCTAACTCGGTCGTTCGAATGGCGGATAGGTCGCAACGTGGCGGCAGTGATCACGGTGACATTCGGGTGAGAGATTGTCTAGACTCATTGGGAAAACTGCAATTCGCTAACCCAATCTTAGTCTCTATGTCTCGTCGATGACTTCTGCCAACATCTCCTTTTATGTCCATAGGGGCACGGAGATGTACGAGCGGGGTTCAAAACGAACTTCTCATAGCCCTGCCGCCCAAACTGTTGTGTCCGCCTTGACTGTCGCCATCCTCGTCGACGCCTTGATTATGATCGGTGCCTACCTCGTTAAGCCGCATCTATTCCGAGCTACAAACCTTTTCTTGGAAATTTGGGGCTCACTTTTATTTTCCCCGTTCGGCTGCTGTCGCCAGCAGAAATCCCTATTAGATCCGGAGACCTACGAGCAGATTGCCATCGATGACTACGAAGAGGGCCACAATGACAATGACTCGATGTCCCAAATGGAACCCCCCGAGATCTCCCCGAGCAGAAGCGATGGTCGCTGCAACGCGTGCTCGCCATATCGTGTGGCTCAATCCTCGTTTTCCTCAGTCTCATTCGTCCACGCAACGCAGAGTACAGTTATGTGTCCGAGTCCTTGCCTTTCGCACCATTTGCTGGCCTCGAACAACAGCGCGCGCCTAAAGGTGCCGCCCCCTCAGCTGTCACATCAGCTTCGGCAAATGACACGTCCACCGGTGCAAACAGCACCCCAGTCAGTACAACGACTGCAGCTGCTACATTCGCGACTGACTTTAGCTGGTTGGATGGCCACACGGCACTGGACACCTTTCCTGAGTTTGATTGGTTACCTTCTCACAATTCATCCGAAGGCTGGCCGGAATGGTCTCCCTTTCGCATCAATAAGGATGAAGACCCAGACTATGTGTATGACCACTACAATCCGCAGAAAGATCCCCTACGCCTACCAAACCTTGAGGGCGATATCTTGGAGCCTCTACGGGGCGCGATCCGCAATGGCGATGTGAAAATTAAGCATGTCTTTCTCGTGAAGTTAGAAAGTACTCGGCAAGACGTGTGGCCCTTGCGCACCAGCTCTCCCATTATGACGCTTATCAAAGACTCTTACCCGAAGGGCAAGATTCCCAAGGAGGTTGAGGATAAACTCGCTGAGCTCACTCCCGTCGCCGAACGGTTGACTGGGCACAAGACTGGGTTCGACACGGACCAGGATCGTCCTAAGCCCTACGGTGGTATTAGTACGACCAATGCGTGGACCGGCTCGGCCTACAGCCTAAAGAGTCTCACGGCCAGTATTTGCGGCGTGGATTCTATCGGGACGTGGATGAATAAAGAGTACAAACATGATATTTACCAGCCTTGCTTGCCGCATATATTTGAAGCGTTGAGCGAACAGCCAAACATCACCACCGAAACAGATGATTGGACTTCCTGGCCATGGCACAGCATTTACTTCCAAGCCTCTGATACCTCGTGGGACCACCATTATGACCTCAATCCAGTCCTAGGATACCAGGAGATCACAGTGAAAGAAACCATTGATGAAGATGGTGCCAAATGGATCCCTGAGGAATCCGAAGAGGACAAAAAGCATAGCCATTTGGACAAGTCACTGCACGAATATATTCGCAATGCCCTGGCCGATGCCGAGGAAAACAACAGTCGTCTCTTCATGACCATGTTGACTCATAACCCACATCATCCTTTCTACATGCCTGGTAAACATGAGGAGTTTTTCGGAGATGAAGGAGAAAACGGAAAACGCAGCCCGTTAAACAGATACCTCAATACCATCCACTACCAGAATGAGTGGATAAGCGATGTCCTCGAGATCATCAAGGATGCCGGAATCGCTAATGAGACGCTTTTCATCATGGCTGGTGACCAGTAAGTTTGGTGTTCTTTTGTTGCCCACGTCTCGCCGCTCATTTTCATCCATGGACATGCATGGGATATACACATGCCTCTGTGCTGACGTGATTCCCAGCGGTCTATCACTTCCCAATGACGGCGGTCAAACGGCCCATGGTTCTCCTCATGTGGCCAATTTCGAGGTACCCCTGTACTTCTCCCATCCCAAGCTTCCCCAGATCCAACTCACCGACGCCGTCCACTCGACCCAAATTCTTCCCACTATCCTTGATCTCCTCATCGAAACCTCTTCTCTCGACAAACAGTCCAATAAGATTGTGAAGGATCTCCTCCCTCTATACCAGGGCCAGTCGATACTGCGCCCGCTGGTCGCCGAACACAACGGCACGCGACAATGGCATGTCACCACGACGAACCAGGGGAATGACTGGGTCGGTCTGCGATCGGCGCCAGACCCGTACCGTTTGATCGCACCGCTCCACCGCGATGCCAAATGGCGATTTACCGATCTCCACGCCGATCCCCTTGAGCTCAAGCCTCTCGAACACTATCAAGCCTTGCATTTGATGGATATGGTGGAGAAGGAGCATGGGGTCGAAGCCGCGGCGTGGGTTCACGTGGCGGCTCGTGTGGCTACATGGTGGATGTGGGACAACCATCGCCGTTGGAAATTCGATCCTGGAAACCCGGAGAACGACTGAAGATCTGAACTGACGGGGAGTTTTACTCGCATGTTAGCTCGAGCCCCCCCCGGAGCATCACGGCAATTCGCCGTCTGTATCATGAGCGGCGCAGTAACTAGATCATTATTGCGGATTTGTAGTAAATAGACTTTTGCTTGTTAATTTCATGGATGAATTGAATCGAATTCTTCGAGTATCAACTACCAGTACACCCACAAGTCACCGAATTCCAGCGCCTCGGCTATCCTTTTGACTTACCCACCCATACTCATCCCTGTGCAACCGAAGCCGACCGATCGAACCGCCACCAAACTTTCACCATAAGGCTTGGTATCCATCATGAACTACGCTCCTTTGTCTGTCGAATGAGGTAACGGACTGCTACCAAGGATGCCAAACCAAGAGGATCGTCCCAGGTGCCGTTTGGTGGGTGCCTAAGGTGTAAGTGAATAATGCCGGAGAAAAGTGTCTCCGTTCATGCCTGATATTCCAGGCTGCCAATCGCAGGTTCATGTTCGTGTCAACTTAAAGGGGAGGGGTTCGTCATCTCTGCCATCGATCACATCAGTTTGATCATCGTAACCATCTGATTGGATTCGCAGCGCGCTCATCTTCCAACAAACCAGAGGCCGAATCCCAAATGGATGTATTTAACATTTCTCGTTTCCTCTTTGTCTTCGAATACGGGGGGTGTTCGGGTATACAGTCCTGGGCTCAGTCGATAGCGCAAAAGCCCGATGTTTCTGCTTTTTCATCGGATCTCATGACGACCTTGGATTGTCCCTTCCCGATCTGTGAGAAGTCTTCATCACGCCATCCGGGCTCCACCTTGAACAATGAGCCTCTACGTATTGGAAGCATACGGCCCTACCATGACTGTAACAGGCGAGATGGGGTTCTCTGTCTCGGCTTAATTCGTCGGCGATATGGTCCCAAACCAAATCGTCAAGTGGAGGCACCCTCCCCTTCAACTATACGTGCTTGTGGTCAGCGTTGATATCATATTGCTGGCCCTTTGGCCCAACCCCTCTCCTCGGTCGAAAATATGGAAGATATGCAAGAGCCCTGTTCTTCTCGCCCGAGAGGTTATCCAGACAGATCTCATATAGAAACTGACCAAGACAGTCCTCAATATTGGTCCTTTTCCTTTCTCTTTTCCTTTTCTCTTTTTCTTTTCAGTTATCAGGTTCGCAGTGATACCCTTGATTCCCAGAAACATCATGTCAGTCTCAACATGCCTCCAGTCTGGGGAGCTACAAAAGCACACCACGTTCTATCGTGAATTCCATGAGTCTAGCATCGGCTCTTCTGGTGTCGCAGACGTCAAGGAGCCGCCCGTGGTTCGTCAATTACTTCATACCCGGCAGAGGGCGCTACTTCTCAATAAGGTCCGAGAACCCTATACACTAGTGCATGATCATACTATTCCTGCTATCTCCCATCATGGGGAAATTTTGGTCAAGGTATGATTGCTGGCGGCGAGCTGGGAATTCCATTGAGACCTTAACAGGCTAACCGAGCTCACGGCAGGTGCTCGCAATAGGCCTCAACCCTATCGATTGGAAAGGACCGTACGTTTTGCTCACATTTCGTTAGATGCATGGACTCGTATCTCTTAACACCGATAATCTCACAGGGCGTTTAATTTTGGCATCCCAAGTTTACCATGGATCAATGGACGTGATCTGGTTGGGGTTGTGCTACAAATCCCCAAGGACTCCGCCCGTCTTCGGGTTGGCGATATCGTCCTCGTCCCTTCAACGGATTACCGGGATATCAGGAAAGCAGCATTTCAGGAATATGCCGTCGCGACAGCTTCCAATGCCGCACGCGTCCCATCGTCCACCTCTATTTGTGCCTCAGCTTCACTGGGTGTTGCGTTTGTGGCTTCGGCATTAGCCCTAGGTGTCTCCTTTGGACTCGATTTCTCTCTGATCACTCAGTCCCCCGGCCCCAACTTGGCCCTTGTCATTAAAGGACTGCAGAGAAATGAAGTTCCAACAGACATCCAAGAAGAGTGCTTTGCCCCAGTTCTAGCCTCAGAGCGTCCACAACGTGGTGATTGGATCGCCATCTGGGGAGGTAAGATATCTAGTGATTCACGTGCGTTTTTAAATGCTGACCCTCTATTCCTAGCGTCAACAACCACCGGTCAAATCACGTCTCAACTGGCGAAGCTATCCGGGCTACGTGTGATATGTGTGGCCGACATAGCGCGTCATGGAGACAGGCTCCTACAATTAGGAGCTGATTTACTCGTAGATCGCCAAGATCCTCACCGTGCAATAGAAGTGATCCGTGGCATTACTCGAGGCAAGCTCCGATACGCCATTGACCTCGTGGGAAGTGACACCGCAACACTCCTTCAAAGGGGACTTGAAACCACTGGCCACGCTCACCTGCTTGGCTTGACGGGCCTGCCAAAGAGCCGGGATCCAAACATTCGCTATCACACAGTACCGATTAAGCTTTTTCATACTGCACCAGCAGTAGGTGAAAGTATCGTTTGCTGGTTAGAGAGCTTGTTGCAATCAAGGACTCTCACACTACCCGAGGTTGTTCGGGCTGAAGGTGGACTGGAAGGTATCAATGGAGCGTTGGATAAATTACGAAATGGCAATGTCTCAGGGAAGAGAGTCGTGGTAGATCTCAGATCTCCGCAATGATGTTCTCTTGAGGATTTGGATACCTTTCCTCTGGGCTTTCGTGTGCAAATATGAGATTTGGTGTTTGGCGAATAGTACTGCATACGGTGACTATTTTTAGGGTACAATATGTAGTGGTCTCCTATTTTTCTGGTATACATTCCTTGAATCTCTATATATGTACTGAGTCTCTAGGCTGAAACTACTCACAGCAAAAAGTGGCCGAACAAGGTAAAGATAGTTGAGACTGATCGCTAATCTCTGCCACCTAAACAGAAAATAATTAACATGAGAATGGATTACATTTGATTGTTTCACTCGCTCGTCTTGCACTAGATACCTTGGGTTGGTGTTCTCCCCTGTAATAGCATCCCCAACACCTTTTTTTCATTCCCACCCCACATAGTCCGGAAAAAAGCAATCATGAATCTTTTGCGCATATTGGATCAGAATGGGGAAACTTTTGACCACTTTTTGCGTCTCTGGGCATCTAGAAGAAGTTAGCGGTCCCCTTTACAAGTCATTTTCATGGTCCACAAAAAAAAGCCGAACGAATACTTACGCGCTGCAGACCAACGTGGACACGATAAAACCATACACGGTAGCATCTGCTTCACATGGTGTGCTACCACCAAGTACCCAGAAAGGGTGGTCGCTTGTAGTGCAATCTAACATCTGTGATTTTGAAGACATCAAAAGAGAGCTGAGCTTCTTCCAAATCTCCCAGCGCATGCTACTGATCTCTTCCGGTGAGAATCGGAGTGTGCCTTGACCGTAGAGAATGTGCATTTGCTTTCGATACGCCAGCCAGCCGACAACCACTCGCAGAGGGTAAGAGGATGCAGCGAAGATATGATCGCGCATTGTGTAGTAGTTCTCCTGCCATTTCTCAAAGCTCTATAACAACTAGTGAGTTTCACCCCACGAGCTTTCCATGGCCGGGACTTCGTCTACTCACCTGCAAAAAGTAAAGCCGATCCTCGAAAAGAGCGCGCATGGCAAGGTCTTGCATCCTCTGGGAAGGACTCAGGTGTGCATTGATATCATCCAGGAGGCCATCCTTCACTAGTTGATCAATGATCAGGGTAGAATCGGCGATGGTTCGGGGCGAGGCGTTGTCTGGAGAAATCGTGGCATATGGGATCTTCCCCCGAGGGGCAGTGCGTGGGGATCCTGCTTCGGTACGATATGCGAGGCCTGCGAAACGTAAACGCGCCTCAAGCTTGTTGACAAAAGGCGACCAAGTGTAGTTGCCTGACCGGGGAAAACCACGGTAAAGGGTGATTTGAGGCTGGGTGGAGTCCATCATTTGGAAGCAAATGTGAAATGGTTCAACTTGATGAATTGAGAATGCTAGCTTTTCATGGGATCGGATTATATATTTTTGAATATAGCGAAAACCCCAAAGCCCGCGTTCAGGTCTGACGCCAAAGCGTGCTAAAACCCGACCGCTGCAAAATCCGATAAGCCGCGCAGAGCCCATCGCCGGCAGTTACCTGTCCCGTTAATCACGCCGAGTTCAAGATATAGTTCGAATCCAAAATAGTATAATAGTATATCTGCTTGTCGCAGTGGTGAAATCGGTCGTTTAATAGCCTATAGTAGTAGTAGTAGTAGTAGTAGTAGTTATTGTTTTTTCTTTATTTTTTGTTTATATTCTTCCCGGTCCACGGGCCAGTCTATAACCCTAAAGCCGTGTGTATCTTGACAGCTAAAAGGCGTACCAAAGCGCCCCGCCCCAAACCAACCAAACTGAGCATGGCTCAGGCCTCCGGGGCCGAAACATGTTCCGGGTCCTCAGAAGCCGACTTGTCGAATTATGATTATTTGTCCGATTCCTTTAATTTGCCTGGCGAAGCAAAAATAGCACCAAAAAATGACAGAATGCTGCTGGACCGCAGCACCATGCACCAGAACAGGGTCAGCCCCGTCACGACAATCTCATCGCGCACTGCATCACTCTGGGCTTTAGGCCCCATAAACTCAATTTTACCTATCTTCCGAATAGCCCAAGCATTGGCCGAGAAGCGAGCGACAGGCAGCTGGTTTTCATCCATGCAGATAAAATCCCACGTTTTCCAGCCGCTGGTACTGGTCCAGGTCATAGTGACCGGGGTATCGGTGTCGGAAAAGGCTTGCGAGCGCTGCGTATACTCGGTCTGCCACCGTTTTTGGGCCAACAGCGTGTCTTTATAGCCGTGAACCTCGTACTCGGCGTTGATTGAGAACGAGTGCAGTTTGCCTGTGCCGATGATCTTGTCTTCGGGCATAGAGCGGTAGATCATCCGCGATTTCATGGTTTCAAAGTCCACAATATAGCGAGCTTCAGGTTGCGGGGCGTCGTCTTCCATAATCAGGGCTTTCCATTTCTTCCAGGAAAAATCAACCTTCAACGCTCGGGTGCTGGTGGGGACGTGGGAGGATTGCGGTTCGGTGAGATCCATGATACAGGTCGTAGGAAAGGGATCGCAATGTATTTTCTGCTCCTATGTCCATCAAAATTTAAATTCTAACCCTCGCTCTTTAAATGTTTTTTGGTCTTCTTCAGATCTCGGGGCGCAGCGGTTCTTGGCGCGGATCCATCCCTAACCGTGTTGGGTGCAATATAGCGCTCATCCAATGAAGCTAAGCTGCATTCTTAGGTGTGATGTCATAGCAAACCAAAATAGAAAATTAAGGTTAGGGTTTGGAAAAAGAGGGTGAACGAGACTGAATCTTTCAAGGTTACCAGTGATGACGTTGCTGGGCGTCGAGCGTCTACTAGCCTGAGTTGTGGCGATGGTAGATCCTATCTGGGCTTGTGACGTTTCATAGCATGAGCTAAAGGAAATTCTTTAGTTCAATAGTTCATTCTATTCGATTGTTTTTTTTTAAGAAAAAAAAAAAAAAAACCATTAGCCCCGACATGAGCCATCATCATCACCATGCGGGTGCACACAAGTACCGGCTGAAGGTGACCGCAGGCGCAGACTATGATCCTGACACTCACCAAGTCGTGCCGGTCAACGGCGAGACCTTGCGAATCGACAACGATCACGCAACCGTGAGTCTCTGTGTACGGATCCGAGACTACGCTGGTAATGAGCTATTTCGTCTCATTTGTTCCTCTCTTTGCTTTCTTGTAAAAGAGAGTCCAAGGATCGTACTGATTGGTAGTAAACCAGGATACCCTGACAATTCACCATCCACGAGCTCCTACTTCAAACATCCCCTTCACACAAAGGACCAATATTCCATCAGCTTCTCTATCATCTTCAAGGAACACGTCAACGGGAATGATCTGATCTTTGGCAACGATTTCGATCGCCCGATCCGCGATCGCCTGCCGCCGGGCTTCAACGTTGCTCTACGCATAGTGAGGTGGACCCTCGACCCCACCATCGAGGGCGACGCCTACGCCGACCAGCCGTACCTTTTTAGCCCGGCTCTCGCGACATGGAATCAATTTCAGATCGGAAAGATGATCCAAAAGTCAGACGAGGTGCCGGCCTTACACGACGAAGTTGTTCAAGAAGGCGCTGACACGGCCGAGGGAACCGAAGTACGCCACCGGTTACATATCCCTAGTACGGTCGATGCACGCAGAAGACATTTCCAAGATGAGGCCAATCGACAAGCTTTCGACTTCGAGCCGGGAAGACTGTATCTTGCCAATTTCGGGAATCCCTATCTGGCTTTCAGCGGTAAGTCCAAGTCCCCTTGCTCTTCCCGGTAGTCTACTGTGGCTAATGATAATCTCATCCGATATATGCCGTTATAGATTTCTCTCTTCGTCTCCCGGGCTTCACCCTCCACGCGATGCAGTATGTCGACGAGAAGAACCATGATCTGCGGTATGTGCTGAAGGACTCGAGGACGGGCCGCGTTTACTTGGTGGTGCTGTTCACGCTGGTTCTGCGTGGCACGGACCAGGAACCGGCGCATAAAGAACAGGTCACTAAAGGACTAGATGAGGTTAAGGCGAAGAACAAAGAAAGTAACGGGAGTCTGGGGAAATTCGAATGGGAGTCATCGTCATCAGCCGGATATTGAATGATCGACTTGGTGAATATTTTCCCCCGCACTGGGACATGATATGTCTTTCCCTCGGATACATTGCCTAATGATATTCAGTAGTATTTGTTATACGGTTTGCTCAATTTCGTATCTCATAATCAAGTTATTGTTCTGCCTAGATGGTATTTTCACCAACACCGGCAAGATATGCACCGAATAAGCGTATTTCTTAATGGAATGCACTCCATCAACCCCACAGGCAATGTGGAATTGCGCCATTTAATCTACAGATCCCGTTATTCCCTAGTTACGATGTGGGGTGCCGACAGCCCGTCATCTGCCGATAGCCCGAGCACCTCCCCAAAATACTCATTCCAGCCCCCGATGGTGCAGCATAACGGCCACAAAAAGCCTAAGAAAAAAAAAAAAAAAAAAAAGAAAACACCTAATTTCAGAAAATGGGCTCGCACCAGCCCAAAGGCTCGCGTTCCCAGTTTGGTGAGTCTTGAGGCGCAAGAGGCGCAGAATTCCGAATACTAATCAGCCTAGGTTGTCGTACTTGTCGCGCTCGCAAAGTAAGATGTTCGCCTCACGGCTAGGGTGATCCAAGATATGGGCATGACTTTTATTGAACTTCTGCCTTGCATAGGTTAAATGCGATGAACGACCTGGCGAGTGCAGGAACTGCGTCCGACTTCGTCTGGTCTGTGCCGGCTATACAACCACACGATCACAAACTACCGGGAATACAATAGACATGACTCGCTCGAAAAGAAAAAGGACCTATCGATCATGCAGAGCATGTCGCGCCTCAAAGACCAAATGTTCTGGTGATCGCCCCGCCTGCCAGCGGTGTCAGGAGAAAGCTTTGCAATGTGCCTACGCCGAATCATCACAACCAACTTGGGTCCATCGGATTGAGTCGAGCTCGGCTCATAATATGCCTTTACTTACCCCTAGCCCACTGCCTGACCCTTGCCTAAGTAACACCCCTCCTTCAGCTGTCCATCACGCAAATGCCTCACAGTCTCTCTTTGGATTCCAGCGATGTTGGCTCGAGGCGGAAACAGGAGAATCGCCCTCAACGGCGTTGCAATGGTACGATACATGCTAACTCAAATATATTGGAGTGTCTCCCCGTGACTTACACATTTCAGGCTGACGGCCCCTCATTTGCCTGAGAAATGCAAGATCAGACTTCTGCTCGACGAATATTTCCAAAATATCCACCCTTTGCGATGCTTTGCCTTCATCCATAAACCTTCATTTCAGCAAAGGTTGGAAAGGGAGTCATCTGAGAGTTTTCAGAGCAATGCTCTTCTTCATATCATTTGTGCGCTGGGTGCCCAGTAAGCGTGGCCTCGGTTTCCTTTCACTACAGAAATCAAGGGCTGATGAGGCGCAAGGTTTTGGGCTCTGTCTTATTGTGACACAGTGGCTTCTCTTCCTTCCAAGTTTATTCTTTTAGCGGGAAGTCAATGGGCAAAGATGGCACAACGGATTATACTTGAAGCGCTGGATACTGTCACTATTGAAAATCTGATGGTGAGTACCAACTTCGACATGCAGGCAGCTAGCTTTAATCTACTTACCACAAGATAGGCGGCCATACTGCTCCAGGATTATGCAGTTCGCATGGGGAATTTTGCAAATGCGTTCATGCTCAGCGGGCTTACCACCCGTATGACCCAAGCCCTTCAAATCAACCTTGAGTTCAACACGGACATACTTTGCCAGGATACAGAATCCGGTCCCTCGGCAACTGCTAAAGACTCCCGCCGACGGCTTATGTGGAGTTGTTACGTGGTGGATGCTCTCGTCGGCAGCGGAGTAGACCAGCTCACACTAATGGACGAGAAAGACGTGAAGATCCAGCTACCCTGCAACGAGCGGAACTTTGTCCAGCAGATTCCGAGCTTTACAGAAACACTCGACCCTGGAAACTGGCTCAAATTCAGGCCCGCCGATTTAGATACAGACACGATTCTCCCTAACATGGGAGTGATGGCTTACTTCATTCGTCACATATCAATTCGCAAGAGGGTGCTCAAGTAAGTATTTCTACTACCTTCATCATATCCCATGAGTGTACACTGCTCCTAAAACGTGGACCCAGATACATCAAGCATCTAGATGATGCTATGGTCCCCTGGGCGGCAGACTCAGAATTCACTGAGTTAGACACAGACTGCCGGAGGTGGTACGAGTCTCTTCCGCCTAGTCTACAATTTACACCTGATGCGATCTATATCCGCAGAGATTCTTCTCAACTGGGTGCCTTATGCGTGCTACACTGCGCCCATTATCAAACGATATGTGATCTTTATCGACTAGGGGCTCCTGCATTGTACAAGCTCCGCGCTGCATTTGACTTCCCGCCTGAGCAGCAAGAGTTTCTTCGCCACCTCCAGCAGGTACTCTTTGATGCAGCCAGAACTCTGGCAACGATAGTCGGCGAGACAGTACAACATGGATCCCGTATGTTGGCGGACTCGTGGCTTCCAACTATTACCTATGACAGTTGCCGCATCATGGTATACCACTTAACTCAAGTGTTGGATTCTCACGCGGAGAAGACAAAAGGCGTGATGGCAGCAACTGTTCCGCTTCTTCACAGCAACATCACTGCCCTGAAGTCGATGGGGTCACTCAATGCGATTTCCCTCTCTTTGGTGAGAACCTTCGAATCTGGTTTCACCTTGCCTTGATCATTGCTGAACGTGGTTTTCACGATATAGTGCTCAGCAGCAGAAACCATGCTTGATCGATCTGGAATTGAGTCTGAGGCAGTCACCCACAGCATCATTCCAGATGACCCGTACCAATTGAATGCAGAGGAAGCCCAGAGGTCAGAAGCTATTCCACTTGGACTTCTCGTTTGCCTACTAAATCTACCTTTGCAGTGAAAGTCTCCCAGGAACGCCCGTGCAAAGCGCACCCGACTATGTTCTTAATCCATTATCAATCTTTCGAATGGCACGAAAATCGATCCCCGAACGGCGTGCTCCAGAGAAGGCCGGTACATCGTCAGCGCCTAACAGTGTGCAGCCAGAGTCTGGCACCGACGTAGACCAGTCGTCTGGTGGCTGGAATGACACCCGAGAATTAGGAACTAATCCCTACGACAACGACTCAGGCCGTTCGAGTCTTGAGGAGCTCCAAACACTCTTCATGTCAGACCTGGGATGGGCATGGCAGCCAGCAGAAACGGCAGTTGGGTCAGGAATTGATGAGGCGGGCTTGTTCCCATGGGCCGGAGGGATATGAGGCTGCGCCAGCAGAGCCCTGGCCACCCGTGTTTCCATTTTCACGACAGGATTGATCCGCTGTATAGCAAGTCTAAGAGGGGATTTCATATATTCAAATAGGCGTGAGCATACACTGGGCATGATTTGGCATGGTCATAAGCCTAGCGTATACTAATCTCGTACCCATTCGACACTTTGATGATACTACTCTCTGAAAGGAACAATTTATTGACACTGCGATTTGTAATTCCAAAATAAAATCCCACAAGTCATTCCAATAATAGACCACTCATCGTTTACTCTGCATCCAGGGGACACACGGGAGGCGTGTCATTGACCTGGATGCCACCACGTTTCTTCTCGAGGCTATCGTGGTACGGAAGCTTCCAGCCGCCCTCAGATTCTGGTGCAGCGAGCCATAGTCGCATGAGATGTCTTCTTCGGGCCGGCTGGCCATCCTCATCCACGGCGCCCGGGGGGTGGTCAGTGTAGGCTGTTCGAGCATGAAATACATGTGAGTTGCTAAGGAACTGAATGTCCCCTGGCGCCAGGATCATATGTAAAGATAGTTCTGCACAGGTCTTTTCGAATACCTCCATGGCTTGTTGTTGCCTGTCCGACAAAGGAGGAATGTGCGCATTGGGGCCCGAGTTGAAGCGTGCTAGTGATGTGACATTCATTGGGTCGAATTTGGCATATACCCGTGGATCCAATGTATGAGAACCATTCTCGAGGTAGAAAATGCTGCCTCGAATCCATTCTTCTTCGCCAGTGGATACCTCGCCTTTGCGGTCAAAGTACCAGTTGGGCTCACACAAAGTCTCCACCACATCCGGATGTCTTTCCTGGAGCACATTGAATACATGGTGAGTCGACGCAATGTCGGATTCACCCCCGAGAGGGATTTGGCAACGCATAGAAGCCCAACAATATCCGCGCCGTCCGTATGGAAGTATTGGCTAGCTCTTTTATTAGCAGTCACTTTCTTGCAGTTAGAAAGGGAGTACTCTGTACCGAGCATTGGTGCGATAGATTCTGACTCGATCGGTCTTGGTCGGATCTTCTCCGAGGTCTTTGACATGCCCCAGGACATGACCGCGGCCATTTTGGCTGACGAAGTATCCTAGGTAGGCACCAAGGCCCATGTACGCCGTCGCGCATTTTTGGAGATCCCATTCGCGTACTGGAAGGCCTCGGAAGAGAAAAAACCCTTTGCCGTCAATGAGATCTTTTCGTAACACTTCCAAGCGCTTACAGAGGTTGGGAAGAGGAAAATTCGTCTATCGAGGACATTAGAAATTCCCCTCCCGATACGCACTTGATAAACAGGCCGATAGCCCATGCTGCTTACCTTGGAGATCCCCGTCAGAGGCGTCCCGCTCTCAATGAAATTATCAGCGGCCGCGCTGATTTCAAATATTTCACCCAGACTGAATTGGTGAGTCCACAGCTCAGGGTTTTCACGATAGTCATCAGCCGTCCACACTGTCGGGCCAGTGTGTACTTTGGGAAACTCGAGGTAGGGTTGGACTTGGGAATATACGGGAGGGTGTTGCCCCGAAGTCTTGAGTCCATCCGGAAAGCTCGATAGTTTCGCTTCCTGTGATGCAGGCAGGTGCGAAGGTGCTGTCTCGACAAGTCCGGGCGCCATGGCTGCTGTGCCCTCACAATGTACGTTGTCAAATTGAATCAAACGGGAAAAGCCCAGGGGTTCGAGGAGACCGTGAAAAAGAGGCATTGACGACCTTGATATATACTGCGTGGTGGGCCTCTCCGATACATCCACAACGGCTTGTCGGCTTCAGGCCGTTGTGGCTCGTCGCGTCGGTCTGTCGGCTACTAATTCCGTGAATATAGCAAGACAGGGAAACCCTAATCACGCAAGATGGTGTGATCACATCCCAAGCATCTGCAGTGCACCCTTTCGACGGCACGAGATCCTACAACGGAGGGCGCTCTCTAATGTTACTCTTGCTCCAAGTCTTATGGGTGGTTGGGCATCATCGAAATTGAGCGAATTCTTTCGTCTACCCAAAATAACATCTGTGATCATCTCTTGGATGAAATTTTGATAATATTTAATCACTTCTCCATGGCTATAGCCCAAAAGGCTGCCCAATACTCTGAAAAAGATGGGGGGAAAGATATTAAGTACGGCTTGATTAAACAATAAGGGTTGGATAGTTCCCACATCCCATGCTGCCAAAGCATAAACCGTCAAGTGGATCATACTCCGCGGCATAGTCTGAGATCATGTTTGCTAGGTACTCCCACTGTCGGTCACTCCAGCAGATGCCTCGATATCCCCCTCCTTTGCGGTGACTTGATTTGACGGCGAGGAATCGCCATTCTGTTTCAGTCTGTACAGAGGGAAAGCGTTCCATTCCAGAAGGTAGATATACCAATAATAAGTTCCTGGGCATCCGGTCAGTTACAGGGGGAAAACCGCCATTGGGCTTTACTCACCACAGAAAAGTCCGCCCCCAAGAATGTTCCCCAATAAAGTAGGAATAATGCCTTTCCAGATGTACAGGCCAACAGAGATATGGGGTGCACCTAGCCAGATAGCTAAGGGAATAAATGTCATATTCGCGACGACGTGATCCAAGCCGAGTGAGACAAAAGCGAAGGTTGGCCACCAGATGCCGATAACTTTCGATGCAAGATCGCGGCCTTGCATGCCGAAGAAGCAAGCGAGACACACCAGCCAGTTGCATCCAATTCCCCGTAAAAAGACCATGTGGAAGTCGGGCAGAACTTGTTTCTTGGTGGCAAATGAAATCACGGCAGACTTAAAGGGCTCCGTAGAGAACACATTGCCATCTATTCGAAGATTAGCCATCCGCCTCGAGAACGAGCAGCACATCCAGCCTAGAGGGGAACATCGTACATCCAAGGATTAGAACTGCGACAAATAAAGACCCTGCGAGATTGCCTAGAAAGGTCACTCCCCAATGAGTAAGCATCCTCCACCATGGCAATCGGCGTTGTAAGGCCGCTGCAGTTGTGAACTACTCGGCGCATTAGATGTCTCTCCATCCCGTTACAATTTCTTTGGAGCAGAATCACATACCATGAAGGAGCCGGTGCAAAGATCCGCGCCTGTGAGAATGATCATGCACAATCCATAGGGGAAGACCAAGGCGCTAATCGTGCGAATCAATCCTGCGGCGTTGTCTTGGAACCACGGCGTGGCATTGGTGCTGAGGGCTGTTCCGCACGCAAAGGCAAGCAGACAGCCTGCAGAGACTGAGCTCAAGAACACCTTATCTAGCCGGGTATGGCCCTTGTGGGTTCCAGCATTCGAGACCAGCTCGCTTACCTCCCGGGGGGAGAATGAGTCAAAGGTCATACTTGACGGGGAAAAGATAGTCTAATAAGAAGAGAGAGATCGTGGAACACAAAGCTTGAATCAGAGGAAGATGCGTACCTTCAGGCTCGTCTTAAATCACTTACATTCCAGTCTGGAGTTCTCATACTCCGATTCCCAGCCTTATCGCACCCGAAGATCTACATAGCATACAACCCGTAGCCACTTAGCTTCTTGCATTATTGAACTCTAGATAGATGAGTATGGAGTTCTTGCGACCTGATTTGCTTTCCCAACGATAGAGATAAAAAGTAAAGCTCGCGCGAGGAACGAAGATCGGACGATCCAGTTCTCGCAACAAGGCCAGAGCCAGTCAAAATACCACGACTTATCAGCCTTGGCGAGATAAGGGGTCTCGCGATCATCCTTCTCCGCGGACGAGAGGCGCGTGGATCAGTCGATAAGCTGTTATCATCCCGGGCCATATCAAGAAATCTATGGATCTTAGCAAGTGCCAGAGCCATGACGTCAAGCCATGGCTCCCGGGGTCAACCACCGTCAAGAGGCACATCGCGGTAGCAGGAGTCGGATCTCTTGTCATTGTCTAGGCGTGTTTCGTAAAATGCAACCATGGTGAAGGATAAGAGCACAGTCATTAGGCGCGTTCAGAATACCCAGTTCTCCGACTTCGAGATCCGAGCTGACAAGGCAATAGTGAGTTTCACGATCTTGTGAACATGACGCCGACCGAGCTAGAAGACTGGCTCCGACAAGAGCAGTCGCAGTCATCCGGCTGGGGCAGAGAGTCTGGTGAGACCATTGGGCACGAAAGGCCAGTTGGCACGCGGTCGCATATTTCCCAGGGGCCGGCAGGACGCGCTAATTCACACGTCTAGTGGACGAAAGATCGTCGATATTCTGGCGCACAACCCGACCCGCAATCCCTCGGCCTACACCGATCAAGATATTGACCATATGCGCCGTGTGGTGTCTTACTGTAAGCGCCATATAGTGCAAGAGAGAAACAAACATGATCTCAGAAGCCGAAGCTATCGGTCGCTAAAGAATTGGGGACATGATTCCCTAAAAGAGTGAGGGCATAAAAAGCCCAGAAATGAAATAGGTTGGGATCAGAGCGTGGGGGATAAATTTTGACAGGATTGAGGGCAGCGTGATAGCCCGAGTGCGAGATGGAGGGAGAGAATGGATGCAGCCTGAGGCATCTTATTTTCTTCCTCGTTTTCTAGCAACTCGGCAGAGGTCGCGACGTAGGCTATGACTATCTCTGAAATTTGCGCCGATGAATTTTTGTTCAATTCATTTGATGCCTTTGGGTATTTTTTTTTTTTTAGGTTTCTCCCCCTTTTTTTTTTTTATGGCTGTCATCCGATGTTAAGAAAGTAAATATATATCTCTAAACTCATTCGAATTTTCCACAGTATATTCAAATAACCAATTCTTTTTTCAACAGACTTTACCCCCTTTGGGATACACAGCTAATCGGCTTCTGCTACAAACACCATGACCCCCAAGAAATGGACGATCTCGCAATGGCGTATCATTGCACTCCCTTTATAGTTGGTCCCCCGCGGCCCGAATTCCCTCGGTAGCCAGTGGCCGTCCACCAGTCGCATGCTAAATAGCCCTGAAATAAGACGACCTCAAAGAATGTGATTTCTGGGTGGCCAATGGACCCCCCAATACTGATTTGTGGGGGAGAACACCGGGAAGCTTTTATTAACGTGGGGGCTCCCTCGAACACTATATAGACGACAGCAGCGTGCACCCAGGGGGAGACAGGGTCCTTGATATCGACCAGATCCCCTTGACAGAGGAAGATAGCAAGCGCATCTGTCGCAGGACGGATCGGACGATTCTTGTTGTCCTGATATGGGTCTATTTCTTACAGATCCTCTAAGACTGTTTTGGGATACGGGGCGACTTTGGGTCTACAAACCGACACAGGCCTGACAGGAAACCAATATTCGTTGATTGGGTCGATTGGCCCGATTGCTCAGCTGGCCTGGCAGCCATTTCCCTCTTTTCTGATTGTCAGGGTTCCCCACAGAATTCTCATGCCAGTGCTGTGCCTTGGATGGGGCATCGCTCAACCATGCATGGCCGTCCGTCAGAACTTCAGTTGATGGCAGCACGTTTCTTTCTGGGCTTATTGGAGGCCGGCTGCTTGCCCCTATTTGGTGTAAACACGAGCTAGTGATACCGACGGGCAGAGCAGCCCTTGCGCATCGCGGCGTGGTATGGCACCAATAGGCTAGCTATCATCATCGCCGCCGCATTGTCGTATGGCCTTGCTCATATCAACTCCGACTTGTTGCGACCGTGGCAGATGTAAGTAATAATGCCAACGCAAATGACAGGATCTTAATGGACTTGATCTAGTATTTCTCTTTTCGTGGGGCTAGTGACGATCGTGTCCGCTCCCTGGGATACTGGCGCTTGGATAGCGACATTCCCTTGGCTTGCTTCCTCACCGACGCGGAAAAGCCACAGGCAATCGAGCGGCTTCGTGTCAGCCAGACCGGAACTGGAAATAGCAAATTCAAGTTCAGTCATGATCTGGGGACGGCGCATTGACCATTCCATACAAAACCATTACCACGGAATGGAAGAGGGTAACCTGGAGGACGACGCCGGCCGAGAAACTGCCCACGTGGGCGCCAACGCGTTTCAAGATCTCAAAGATCGGGAGAATGACGAATTCGTGTATATCTACTAAAGATGCCCTGGGAGTATCGCAGGGGCAGGTGATCGAGTATTCTAACAGGGACTGCTTTGGAAACCCTGAACCCCCCCCCCCCCATGTCAAACAGAAAATAAAATAAAATAAAATAAAAACAAGTCCAAGTTCCACGCGGTCCACATTTTACCCCTGACATGTCTTTAATTGAGCCGTCAGACGGCATCGGAGATCAGCAATGGTGGCTTGCCCGGGGGTGACGCCCATTAGCGCCATCTTACGCCTCAGCTAAGCGAGAGAACATATCGATTGGATCGGAGGATTGCTGATTGCTTCCTTTTCGTTGCTTTTTGGGGACCCCCCTTGTAGGACGCGCAGAGTGGGCCGTGCGCCATCCCGAAGAATCCATGTTGTAGTGTGCATTTTGGCCGATATCTAACAGTTTTTGCGATCTTGGACCACGCCGTGTCCGAGGGCTGGCTATGAGTCTCGTGGGAAATCACATATGTATTCGACGATCGACGACAGTTGAGATACGGCGTGGGACATAGAAAGCAAGATCCGAGGACCAGCGACGAACAACGACCAAAGGATTGTGCATTCCAATCTTGCCCAACCTTCGATTCCGAGTCGAAACGTGCCTCCACTGTCAAGCTGCATGCTTGAGAAAATTGCCCCTTTCGATTGGCAACTGCATTCGGACTCGGACTCGGTGGATTTTCGGACTGGCTCAGACGAGAACACATCCAACCTTTGATCCCTGGCGTGGTCTGGCAGCCATGAATCTGGACCGCACGAGGACACGGCCTCTTATTGTGGAGATCAAGCAGGGACAGGCCAAACCACATGGCCAACGCTATGCTGGACGGAAAGATCACGTTGTGATTCGCTTGGTTTCGCAGCTCCCCTGGGGCGCTCATTCGGAGTCGGATTCAGATCAGAGGCATGGCTGACACGGGTCTTGATGTCCGATACACCGCATCCCGAGCATGGCGCAAAGCCTAGGTATATTGATATGTACCGCACGATGTCGCAGCCTCAACGGCCAACGACGAGGAGAGTCATTTCTTTTGGCTGGATCTCCATTATTGATAACCCTAGGAGCTTTCGAACAGTTTGACAGTCACCCATTTGCCGCCCTTGACGGCTTCGGTGGAAAAAACAGAAGATAAAAGAAAAGGAAAGAAGAGAAAGAAGACAAGACATCAAGACAGCAACCAAGAAAGACATTCCAAAAGCACCATGGCTGGTGACCCTGCATCCGCCAGTGAGCCCATCGCCATTGTGGGAAGTTCCTGTCGATTCCCCGGCGATGCGACAACGCCTTCCAAGTTATGGGAGCTGCTCCGAGAACCTCGCGATGTTCTGACTGAAATCCCCGAAAGTCGATTCAACACCAAGGCATTCTACCACCCCGATGGTCTCCATCATGGTACGACCAACGTCCGCCACTCTTATCTACTCTCCGATGATCACCGGTTGTTCGACGCCCAGTTCTTTGGAACGAAGCCAGTGGAAGCAAACTCGATTGATCCACAGCAACGGCTATTATTGGAAACCGTCTACGAGGGCTTGGAGTCGGCAGGGATTCCCATGGAGCGACTGCAGGGATCCAATACCGGAGTGTACGTCGGATTGATGACCAACGACTATGCAGACCTCCTGGGCCGCGATATCCAGAACTTCCCTACCTACTTTGCCTCGGGGACGGCTCGCAGTATTCTGTCCAACCGCATTTCCTACTTCTTTGACTGGCATGGTCCGTCCATGACGATCGACACGGCCTGCTCTTCTAGTCTGATTGCATTGCACCAGGCTGTGCAGAGTCTTCGATGTGGTGAGACAGCCGTGGCCGTGGCGGCAGGGACAAATCTCTTGCTGGGGCCGGAACAATATGTCGCAGAGAGTAAACTGAAGATGCTCTCGCCGACGGGTCGTTCGCGCATGTGGGATAAGGACGCAAATGGCTACGCTCGCGGTGACGGCATCGCCGCGGTAGTCCTCAAACCTCTGAGTGCTGCGTTGGCCGATGGCGATCATGTCGAATGTCTCATCCGAGAGACTGGCACCAACCAAGATGGCCGCACCAAGGGAATCACCATGCCGAACCCAGTGGCGCAGGCAGACCTGATTCGAACGACATACGCCAAGGCTGGACTTGATCTGTCCAACCCGACTGACCGGCCACAGTATTTTGAGGCACACGGAACAGGTATGCATTCAGAGACTGCGTGGAGATTGGAGATTGGAGCCTTGCTAACTGCAACAGGGACCCCTGCCGGAGATCCGGTCGAAGCTGAAGCCATCAGCGCTGCATTCTTTGGGCCGACGGCCAAATATCACCGCCAGATCGACCGAGAGCCACCGTTGTATGTGGGGTCAATAAAGACCGTGATCGGGCATACCGAGGGTACAGCGGGTCTGGCGGCGGTGCTGAAAGCATCCCTGGCCCTCCAACACGGAGTCATCCCTCCCAACCTTCTTTTGAACGAGTTGAGCCCGACGGTACGACCTTTCTACAATGACCTCGAGATTGCCAAAGTTGCAAAGGAATGGCCTCAGCTGCAGAAAGGCACGCCCCGTCGAGCAAGTGTGAATAGCTTTGGCTTTGGTGGTGCCAATGCGCATGCCATTCTGGAGGCATTTGAGGCCGACACGCAAGACACTCGGAGGATTAGCCGGACGACAGGAATCTTTTCGCCATTCAACTTCTCGGCAGCTTCCGAAAAGTCTCTTCTTGCCAATATTGCGACCTATTCGGCGTACCTGAGAACCCAAGTTGACACGAGTCTACATGACCTGGCATGGACGTTGAACTGCCGACGGTCCACGTTGCCAGTTCGCTTGTCAATCTCTGCATCGAGCGTGGAAGAACTGGTAACGAAGCTGGATCAAGCTACGGAGTCATCCGCTGGAATTGCATTGGCAACACAAACCTCAAGCGTGAGACAGCCCAGGTTGCTGGGGGTTTTCACAGGACAAGGCGCGCAGTGGGCTCGAATGGGTGCAGAGCTGCTGGTCAGCTCATCTTTGGCCACCGAGTGTATTGCCCGACTCGACGCCTCACTACAAGCATTACCTGAAGAGCACCGTCCTCTGTGGTTTCTTAGAGAAGAGATCCTGAAAGACGCGAGCACATCACGTATTGGACAGGCCGCTTTCTCACAGCCACTATGCACGGCCATTCAGATCCTGCTGGTTGAGCTTCTCCGGGCAGCCAATATCCATTTCACCGCCGTCGTCGGCCACTCCTCGGGGGAGATTGCTGCTGCCTACGCGGCAGGTTACCTGAGTGCCAAGGATGCTATCCGTATCGCGTACTATCGTGGATGGTCACTGCAGTATGCCAATGACCAAGGAGTCAAGGGCGCAATGATGGCCGTCGGCACGTCCTTTGATGATGCTAAAGAGCTCTGCCAGATGGGCTCGCTCGAAAACCGCATTTGTGTTGCCGCCAGTAACTCGTCTGCCAGTGTTACCCTCTCGGGTGATGCGGATGCTATCGAGGAAGCTAAGGAGATTTTCGAGGACGAGAAAAAGTTTGCCAGATTGCTCAAGGTGGACAAGGCATATCACTCGCATCATATGATTCCTTGCTCAGCACCGTACATTGATGCTATCCGGAAATGTGGTGTGAAAGTTCAGCCTCGAACGGACGACAGTCCGACCTGGATATCTAGCGTATACAGCGAGGACATCGAGAATGTCAATGATAGCCTCACTGATACATACTGGAGCAACAACATGGTCAATCCAGTCTTGTTCTCTCAGGCTGTCGCGTATGCAGTTGGCGCGGCAGGGCCCTTTGATATGACCATCGAAGTTGGGCCTCATCCAGCACTAAAAGGACCTGCAATTCAAACCATTGAAGAGGTTGCGGGTAACACGTTGCCCTATTCCGGGACCTTGAATCGTGGAAAGAATGACAGAGAGGCCTTTGCATCCGCTCTCGGATCCCTATGGATTTCACTCGGAGAGGACGTGGTTGACTTTGCAGGATTCGAAACAAAGGCAGCCCAAAGCATCGAGAGGCCTATGCTTCTGAAAGGTCTTCCATCATATTCATGGGATCACGACCGTATTTACTGGCATGAATCACGCACCTCAACAACGTTTCGAACCGGACATGAAAAATTCCACTCACTTCTTGGTGTCAAGTGTCCAGATGGAACCGACAAGGAATTGCGCTGGCGCAACTACCTTCATCCTCGCGAGGTATCCTGGCTGGCACACCATCAAGTACAAGGACAGATGGTATTCCCGGCTGCAGGGTACATCTCGGCTGCAGTTGAGGCAATTGTCCAACATTATGGATTGGAATCGGTGCAACTGATCGATTTTCATGATGTGATCATTGGACAGGCACTAGTCCTCGAAGAAAACGCTGGAGTGGAGACAGTTTTTGCTCTCTCGATTACCCAAAGCGACGCGGACCGCGTGAAGGCGACGTTCGCCTGCCACTCCAACGCCAATAAAGGCTCATCCTCTATGTCGCTTCATGCATCTGCTCACATCGTGATTCTGCTCGGAACCCATAAGCACGATGCTCTCCCACCACGTTCTGGAGACCAGGGTCCATTCCTCGAGCTCGAGACGGACAGATTCTACAATACTGTCTCCGAGATTGGGTTTGGGTATACCGGGCCATTCCAGGCGCTATCTGGCTTAAGCAGAAAGATGGATGAAGCAGCCGGCATGATTACTGTCCCCAAAGTGGAGGACAGCGAGAAGCCCCTTATTGTTCACCCTGGGTCGCTGGATGGGGCTATTCAGTCAATTATGCTCGCCTACTGCTTCCCCGGGGATGGTCGCCTGCGCACACTTTATCTTCCAACTCGAATCGATCGGCTGCGCATCAACCCATCGAGCTGTGTTGCGCTAGCGGGGCCGGGTAGCTCCCTTCCTTTCTACTCGTCGGTGGCAGAGGCTCAGTTTGCAGAGCTATCCGGAGATGTAGATCTTTACTCTGCAGATGGGCGATATACTCTCGTTCAATTACAAGGGCTTCACACCACTCCTCTGAGCCCACTGACACCCGCCGATGATGTCCTGTTATTTACAGAAATAACATGGGGCCCAGAAGAACCAACTGGGGGACAGATCGTCTCTACCGAGGGCTGGCATCCAGGAATCTGCACATTGTCTTTGGATCTGGAACGCGTTGCGCACTTTTATCTCAAGACTCTTGATAGGTCTTTTCAGAACCTCGAACACTCGAAAGTTTCCTGGTACCATGCCCATCAGCTGTCTTATATCAAACACTGCGTGTCCTCGGTTGCTTCGGGCGCGCATCCATTTGCAAGCGCAGACTGGGTGGGAGATACTCTTGAGGATATCACTCAGATTGTTAGCAGGTGAGAGCCGAGGCTTTTGTTCACTGTGGAAGCCAGTGTGACTAACCGTAAGCTAGGTACCCTGATAACATCGACATGAAAATCATGCGTGCCGTGAGTGAAAGACTTCCTGCGGTCATTCAAGGCGAGGAAAACATGCTGGAAATTTTGATGCGGGACAACATGCTGAGCAAATTCTACGCCGAAATGGCTGGCATCCAACCCTACATAAGAGAGCTCGCACGGACGGCTGGTCAGATTAGCCATCGATACCCGCACATCAACCTTTTGGAGATTGGTAAGCCTGTGCATCTGCCTGCAACTGGCTTGTCTATACTAATTGTCCTGATTCAAGGTGCTGGTAGTGGAGCGACATCTGAACAAGTCCTTAGTAGAATGGACAAAGCCTTTGCCTCCTACACTTACACCGATATCGTGGATACTCAGTTCGACGAATTGCAGGACAAGTTCCAACAATACCAGTCCAGAATGGCATTCAAAGTACTGGACATCGAAAAAGACATCGCCGATCAAGGATTTCCAGATGAGTCGTTTGATGTTGTCATTGCGTCCCTGGCACTATACGCTACCAAGAATCTCGAGACAACACTTTCCCATGTCCGCCGCTTGCTGAAGCCCGGTGGGTATTTGATTTTGCTTGAATTGACCGATCCCAATGTCATGCGCTTCGGATTGACCCTAGGTGGCTTACCTGGGTGGTGGTTGGGGTATGATGAGGGACGAATGCTGTCTCCCTGTGTGTCAACAGACCACTGGGACGCCTTGATGAAAAAGACTGGGTTCTCTGGAATTGATGCACTCACACCACATCATTCAACATTCCCTTTGCCTTTTTCCATCATGACAACGCAAGCCGTCGACACCCGCATAGCCTTCTTGCGCGACCCTTTAGCGGACAGCCAGCAAGTGTTGGGTGTCGACTCATTGACAATCATTGGTGGCAGGACCATCTTGACTGCCAGGATGGCCAAGGAGATCGAAAACACCGTCAGCCATCACTATGTCAAAACCAAAACTGTGGCCTCTCTTACCGATCTTGCTTTGGCAGAGCTGCCAGTGATGGGGACTGTTGTCAGTCTGGTGGAGCTGGATGAGCCTGCCTTGAAATCCATTACTCCTGTAAAGTTGAAAGCCTTCCAAGAGTTGTTCAAGCAAAGCAAAAATATTCTCTGGCTGGGACATGGTGCCCAAGGGGATAATCCATACGGAAACATGTTTACCGGTGTCTACCGAACCCTCGTTTGTGAAATGGCCCACCTGCGCGTGCAGTTCCTCAACTTCTACACCCTGGTTGACGCCGATGCGCAGACTGTGGTAAGGCGACTGCTCCATCTTGAAATTACGGATATTTGGGAACAAGGGGGGCAGCTCAACGAGATACTCTGGTACAATGAGCCTGAGGTATCGCTGCAGGATGGCAAAGCCCTGGTTCCTCGCTTCCGACTGAACTCCCAGCGGAATGACCGATATAACTCCGCCAGGCGACTCATTGTGAAGGATGTCGAGCGCGACCGGTCGACCGTGATGATTCGGCGGCTGGGCCCTGGATATCAAATTGAAGAGAAAGCTTCACTGGGTTCAGCGACTTACTCTGACCATACTGAAGTTCAAGTCACAAAGTCCCTCCTTCGTTCCGTAAAGGTCACCGAAACAGAGAATTTGTTCTTGGTGGTTGGAATTGATCCCCAAACCAATGATTGCGTGATTGCTCTTTCGGAGACGATGGAGTCTCGAGTCAAAATTCCGCACAGCTGGCTGGTGCGATGCGGTGCGTCACACGAACAAGGCGTTCGGTTGATGCTTGGGCTTTACACCCACTTCCTGGCTCAATCCATGGTCAACACGGTGCCTCCTGGTAAGGTCTTGGCTGTGTTGGACCCAGACTTCTCTCTGGTTCCCATTTTGACAAGAAGTGCAACCGAAAAAGGTGTGCAGCTGGTACTCCTGACCTCCAAAGAAGGTCAATCTTCGTGGCCATGGGTATATATTCATCGTCATTCAACCAGACGCGAGCTACTGAGCAAACTCCCTCGCAACATCACTCGGTTTGTCGATGTCGGGCGGAATGATGATGTGGCAGCGGTTCTCAAGCAGTGTTTACCATCCAACTGCGAGATAGACAACGAACAGACCCTCACTTCAGAGACCTCTCAGTCAATGTACCCCTCGGACACCAGCCGCGTGGCAGCACAACTTCAACTGGCGTGGATGAGAACTCAGGGCGACTTTGGGCCCACCAACATGCGCAGATTCCCGACTTTGGGTCTCCATGACCTGATTCAGAGCCCAAGTTCCTCGACCAGTCAATCGCTTCTTTCGTTCGATCATGAAAGGCTCCCTGTGCAGGTTCTCCCGGCAACCAAGCAGGTAAAATTCAGCAAAGACAAGACATACTGGCTGGTTGGGTTAACAGGCGGACTTGGTCTATCCTTATGCCAATGGATGGCCCGCCAGGGGGCCCGATATATCGCCCTTTCCAGTCGGAATCCCAAAATTGACGACGGATGGCTTCAGCAAATGGCTGCAGATGGTTGCACTGTTCGAATCTTTTCTAAGTAAGTTTGACCTTCACCTGTGAACTACTCAAATTCTTGGATTGACACACGCAGCGACATCACAAATCGTGATTCCGTTCACGCCACCTATCGCCAAATCTGTGAGACCATGCCTCCCGTCGCTGGAGTGGCCCAAGGAGCCATGGTTCTTCAAGACACCATGTTCCTTGACCTCGATCTGCCTCGCCTTGAGAAGGTTCTTCGCCCGAAAGTGGAGGGCAGTCTTCTCCTGGATGAACTCTTCTCGGAAAACACACTAGACTTTCTCATCTTTTTTTCTTCCATGGCAGCGATGACAGGCAACCCAGGACAGGTTGCGTACAATGCGGCAAACATGTTCATGATGAGCTTGGCTGCTCAACGACGAAAGCGTGGTTTGGCTGGACACGCAATTAACATCGGAGCCATTGTTGGGAATGGGTATGTGACCAGGGAGCTTAACATGGGTCAACAGTCATACCTCTATCGCGTGGGACATTCATGGATGTCTGAGCAAGATTTCCACGAAGTCTTTGCCGAGGGCGTTCTGTCATGCATCGAAAGGACAGGCAGTGCTGAGTTGTGCAGTGGATTGAGAATTGACGAGGATGAGACCAAAAACTGGGTTTCAAATCCCATGTTCCAGCATCTGGTGATCAAATCCAGCAGTCTCATTGCGGGAGACAAGAAGAACAAAACAGGCGTCATGGTCAAGGCCCGATTGTTGGATGCCACCTCGCTCGACGAGGTTATGGAGACCCTGCAAGGTAAACAAACTAACGGCCCCTCGTTTTTTTAAGCGTCGCTAATTCTTGTAGATGGTTTTGTCCAGAAACTGCAGTCTGCGCTGCAGGCTGACCCCAGCAAGCCTATGCTGGATATGAGTCCCGATGAACTCGGCGTCGATTCACTAGTTGCGGTTGACCTCCGTTCCTGGTTTCTCAAAGAGCTGGGGGTCGACTTGCCAGTGTTGAAGATCTTTAACGCTGCCTCCATTCGTGACTTACTTGTTTCAGCTACCGAGCTCCTACCGCAGACGTTGACGCCCAATGTAAAGACGGGAAATCAGCCTTCAACAGAGCCTCTCACCGTGTCTCAACCCGCTCGACCTGCCTTGGCCACCGAATCCACCAGCGCCGACGAAGAAGAAACCAGTCCAGTTACTAAGGACGGAATCGAGACTCTCAGAATGGGCTTCCTCGAGTCAGCCAATGCTTACAGTGGAAGCTCTGCGACATCACTGAAAGCTGGTGATTCTAACTCGGAAGAGAACGATGATTCTGCCACATCTATTTCGACTGATGGTTCTATCACGGTGCCCCTTAAACGCAATGTTCAGAAGACACTTCCAATGTCGTTTGGACAATCACGTTTCTGGTTTCTCAAGTTCTTTGTGGAGGACAAAACTGCATTCAACATCACCCCGACATTTAAGTTGACAGGCCGGTTGAGGATCGATGACTTTGCTCGAGCGGTCGAAGCTGCGGGTCAGCGACATGAGGCCCTGCGAACCTTCTTTTTCACCGATGAACACAAGAAGCATAAGCAAGGTGTTTGGACGAATTCGGTGTTACGGCTGGAACATATCACCGTTGTTGACGAAAAGGAGGTTGAGGAGGCCGCAAGAAAAATGAAAGGCCATGTGTTCGACCTTGCGCAGGGAGAGATTATTCGCATACAACTACTTTCCTTGAACCCAGAGCAACATTGGATGATCATCGGCTTTCATCATATCAACATGGATGGAATGAGTTTTGAAGTCTTGTGGTCTGATATTGAAAAGATCTATCAGGGGGCCCCGCTGCCGCAAGATGTCCTACAATATCCGGAGTTCACTTTGAGACAGATTCGTGAGTACGAAGAAAATGCCTGGGCAATCGACTTGGCCTACTGGCGGAAGCAATTTGCGGAGCTGCCGCCTGTAATTCCCTTGCTGCCATTTTCCCTGCAAGCTACGCGTCCAAATGTCTCCCAATTTGGTGCCCATATAGCACATGTCCGGCTTGATCGCGATACATACGAGTCTATTGAGCGGTGTTGTCGAATGTTCAAGTCGACACCCTTCCACTTCCATCTTGCAGCCTGGGCGGTTCTTCTTCTGCGGTACTTGGATCTCGAAAATGTGTGCATCGGCCTTGGGGATGGGAACCGCACAAATGCAGATGTTCTCAATAGTGTCGGGCTCTTCTTGAATCTTTTGCCTCTTAGATTCCATCGCCGATCTGGGCAGTCATTCAGCGAGGCTTTGAAGGAGACGCGTGCCCTGGCGCAAAATGCATTCGCCCACTCCCGCGTGCCATTCGACGTTTTGCTGACAGAGCTGAATGTTCCACGGTCTGCGTCACATAACCCACTGTTTCAGACTTTTTTCAACTATCGCCAGAGAGTGCAGGAATCGCGCGACTTCTGTGGTTGTGTGGCTCAGGGTTCACTATTGAGCAGCGGTGAGACTTCATATGACCTCAGTCTGGACGTCGTCGACATTGGGAGCGGAGAGAGACTGGTTTTCTTGTTGGCCCAGAAAGATTTGTATGCCATGGAGCATGCCGAGATTCTCTTGAATAGCTACTGCAATCTCCTTCGGTCCTTCGCCCAAAACCCTGCAACGCGGGTAGCCTGGCCTGCTCTGCATTCGAAGAAAGACACTGAGGAGGCGGTGGAGATTGGCCGAGGTGAGTCTATCATTTTTTTCTATTCATTTTACATATCCGTCTGTCTGACACCGAAACTCCGCAGGGCCACGCCTAGAACACCAGTGGTCGGAGACTGTGGTGCACCGCGTGGATGACATTGCCCGTATCTATCATGACCGATTGGCTCTCAAGGAGGAGGGCGGGACTGCATTCACCTTTTCCCAGATGCAGAGTCAAGTCAATGTGATCGCGAACGAGCTTCTTAACAATGGAGTCGGATCTGCTACACGAGTTGGGGTTCTTCAATCCCCCAGTGCAAACTGGATCTGCTCCTTGATGGCGATTCTGCGGGTTGGAGGCACCTATATTCCTTTGGACAAGAAGGTCGGAACAGAGCGGCTGGCTATGATCGCCAAGGACTCGCAACCTCAAGTTATTTTGACTGATTCTACAACGCTATTCGACTTCACCCTTCTTCACAGCAGCGCTGAGTCAATCGATGTCTCGAGCCTGTGTGGTTCGACCGCTAGCTCTGTTCCAAATGTGGCAAATCCCGCCCAGGCGGCTGTGATTATGTATACCAGCGGATCGACCGGGGTTCCAAAAGGGATGATGATCAGTCATTCAGCATATCTACATCACGCCCAAGCATTCAGTACTACATGGGACGTCCGCCAGGGAGAAGACGTTATCCTGCATCAATCTTCCTACGCATGGGATATGTCACTCTACCAGCTCTTGATCTCACTGTGCAATGGTGGCACATTGGTCATTGCTTCTGCGTCTACGCGTGGTGATCCCGTCGCCATCACGGACCTCATTCTTTCCGAAAAAGTGACTTGCACATTCGCTACCCCAACCGAATATCTGGGGTGGATCCGCCATGGACGCTCAACGCTAAAGCAGTCTCTGTTGCAAACCGCAGTCTGTGGAGGGGAGTTCTTGTCAGGGGGTCTGATCCGAGAATTTCGATCCCTGGATAAACCGAAGCTGAAAGTGATCAACGTCTACGGGCCGGCCGAATCAACCTTGGCTTGCAGCAGTGGAGCTGTTCCAATAGATGAGGCCTCTGAACCTGATTCACTGTGTCTATACACACTTCCACACTACTCGGTCTACATTGTCGATGGAGATTTGAACCCTTTACCGATTGGAGTGCCTGGTGAAGTGGTTATCGGCGGCGCCGGTGTTGCACTGGGATATCTTGACCAGGCAAGCACCAAAAAGAGATTCTTGCCCGATCGACATGCAAGCCCATTCTTTAAAAAACAAGGGTGGTCGATGATTCACCGTACTGGTGATCGAGGCCGAATTACGCACACCGGTGGTTTGATATTGTTAGGCCGCATCGAGGGAGACAACCAGATCAAGCTCAGAGGCATTCGCATTGATGTTGAGGAGATCGAGGCAACAATCGCTCGTACCTCAGGTGGTATAATCACACAAGCCGTGGTCTCCTCCCGCGCGACCTCGGAGCTGACTGACAGCGATAAATTCCTCGTTGCCTTTGCGATCATTGCTCCCGAGCAGCGCAATCCAGACCTGCCTGCCTTCCTTGAGCGCCTGGCTCGGGGGTTACCCTTGCCACAGTATATGCGCCCGGCAGCAATCATTCCCATCGAGAGTGTTCCACAAAATACCTCTGGGAAGATCGATCGCTTTGCCGTTGGTCAGCTGTCGATCCCACAGGCCCCATCTGAGGAGGCTACTGATGAGACGCTTACGCCCTTTGAGGAGTCAGTTCGTGGCCTCTGGAAAGAGGCACTACCAAATGAGATAGCGAATTGCTTCTCCATTGGGGCACAGTCGGATTTCTTCCACGTTGGAGGAAGCTCGCTGTCTTTGGTCAACCTGCAGGCCTTGATCAAGGATCGTCTTGGCTTAACAGTGGCCGTGCACCGGCTTTTTGAGGCAAGCAGCCTGCGTGGCATGGCGGCTCAAATCCAGAATGTTTCATCTGGTCCTGTAAGGCCTGTGGATTGGGAGGAAGAGGTGGAGCCTGCCCCTAATTTCTCCCCTACGCCGCTTGGAATTGACGCCTCCACGATGCCATCGGGTGCTGGGGTGGTGGTGCTCACCGGGGCCACCGGGTTCGTGGGCAAAGAAGTGCTACGACAACTCGTGGAAGATGAGCGGGTGACAACCGTTCACTGCCTTGCAGTCAGACAACGCCATGTTCCGCTGCCTGCGATTTTCTCGGACCCAAAAGTTTCTGTTCACCAGGGCAATCTGGGAGCTCCCCGGTTAGGGCTTTCGGAATCGGCTGCAATCACTGTCTTTTCCAACGCCGATGTTATCATCCACAATGGCGCCAATGTGTCCTTTATGAAAAGCTATCAATCTCTCAAGCTGGTGAATGTGGCTTCCACAGAAGAGCTGATCAAACTCGCCCTGCCCCGACGGATTCCATTCCATTTCATTTCCTCCGCTAGTGTCACCCGTCTCGTTGGGCAAGAATGGTTTGGAGAAGCATCCGTGGCCCCCTATCCGCCTCCTTCGGTCCCACATGACGGGTATACAGCTGCTAAGTGGGTCAGCGAGGTATTCCTGGAGCGTGTCAACCAGCGATTTGGACTCCCCGTGTGGATCCACCGTCCATCCAGCGTCAGTGGCGCCAACGCACCCGAGTTGGATTTGATGAGCAATGTGATGCGTTACACTCAAGAAACCAAGAAGATCCCGGATTCCGGATCGTGGTCAGGCGTCTTTGATTTCATTGCTGTGGAGTCGGTGGCCAGCCAGATCATCGAGGCCGTACACCTCTCCGGTACTCACGGGGAGGATGCAAAGGGTGCCCGGTATCTCTATGAGTCCGGCGAGATTCAGATTGGCCAAGATGAGGTACAATCACTGATGGAAATCGGGACGGGAGAACAGTTTGAGGTGGTTCCTGTCAATCAGTGGGTCGACCACGCCGAACAAGCGGGCATGAGTGCGCTACTAGGGACTTATCTACGGAGAGCATCGGAAGGTCAGGCTTTGCTGCCTCGACTGGTGAAAAGCACTACAAGTGACGCACGGGAATAGTGAGGACGGTCGAGGTATGGGGATGAGATGTATGTAGAATGCTATAAAAAACCCATATAACTCCACATCTCTCAGGGAATACCATTCTTTCACTGCTTATTAGACGCAATAAATTTTCATTTATGTATTCAAAGACTCAAAAACAGTTTCCACGGGCAGTAGCTGACGCTATTCACTGTCTCTCTATCAACCCCACTACCACGTATCGCAAAACGCGTACTCCGAATTCATCAACAGTCGGGGTGGCTGATAGTTATTCACGTAAGACATGGCTAGCAAATACTAAGTTTATCGAGTTGTTTTGTCGGCGGCAGTAAGATTGATTTTTAATTCTAAAGTCGACTCTGTCTAGTGCTCTCCCTGGTGCCTCGGCTCTCTGCGATTGACTACTCGGCCGCAGGAAGCATGCAACCATCATCTCTCGTGTTACGAATAGCAAAACGCCTTGAGCTCATATAACTTTTGGCTGACCATCGCAAGCGATGGTGTATCTTGAGTTGATTACGAGATAATCATGATATAAACAAAATAAACCACGGTAATTGTACTCGAGGTTATGCGTGAAGTGTGCCTTCCATCAGCCTAACCCCAGTAGAAGAGACGCTCCTACCCATGGACCGGCTCACACTTTCCTATTCCTCGGTCCGAGGTAGGCAAAGTTAATCACTGTCCTGAAACAAGGCGTGGGTGGTTAAAACCACGATAGTGAGGCTATCCCAGTCTGTCTGCTGCCGCCATGCTCGAGTCGTTTCGAATTGAACGACATTGGAATTTCGTCTGTGCAGCACCAAGATCTAATCCGTATCCATCACCCATAATCAGCGCTATATGTGGTATTTCCTAGGCCGACAGATATTTCACGATGGGCTGGGCCGTATTCAGCATGGTTTTTTCTGTTGTCTCTTGGAAAATCTCTGCGGTCTTTGGATCTATAAAACTCATCGCAAGGGGTTCTACGCCTGCTTTCAACACCAACAACTCCTTTTCTTTTACCTGCAAAGTGTTATTTGCTCTTCAACACCTTTAAAATGGCTGAATGCAATCTCCCACCGACATTGACCGCCATCGTTCAGCATGAAGGCGGCATTCTTCGAGTCACTCCTGGGCTGTCGCTCCCGGAGCTTGCACCCCACCACATCCTGGTGCAAACGGCCGCCGTGGGCCTGAATCCCTGTGATTTCAAAATGCCTCTTCGATTTCCCACTCCCGGACTGTGGGATGGCTGCGACTTTGCCGGTAAAGTCGTCGCCTTGGGCAGCGCAGCCGCCGCAGAGGCCCGCTTTCGCCTCGGAGATCGCGTCTTCGGTGCTGTTCAAGGCTCCAATCAGTCTGACCCAGTTTCTGGCGCATACTCTGAGTACGTCCGTACCGAATCGGATTTTGCGTTCCATATCCCAGAGGATATGCCATTTACCACCGCGCCCGCCATTTCGGGCACAGCTATCGCAACGCTCGGGGTTGCTCTCTTTTGGTCTCTGAAACTCCCTGGAACATTTGAGGAGCCCGCGACCAAATCAGAGGATGTGCTAATCTACGGCGGTAGCAGCACGCTGGGGCTTCTTGCCATTCAGATGGTGAAAATGTCAGTGCCACCTTCTACATGCAGGACTTTTCTTCTAGCTTGTCTTTGGCAAGTACTTACTCTCGCGCAGCTGTGGTCACCGAGTTGTCACGACGTGCTCGCCTCACAACTTTGAATTGGTTCGATCTTATGGAGCCGATCTCGTCTTTGACTATAGCTCGCCCACGTGTGCTGAAGACATTCGCGCAGCCACCAAAAATGCCCTACGATATGTGCTGGATCCGTTTGGGGAGGCAAAAACCCTGCGACTGTGCCAGGCGGCCGTAGGCCGCACTGGCGGATGGTATTGCGCGCTGGAACAATACCAGGAAAATTTCTGCTCGCGGAAGACGGTGAAGCATGAGCTGGTAATGGGAGGGGCTATCTCCGGCCGCGGCGTCGAGCTTCCTGAACCCTATGGAATCCCCCCTAGGCCGGAAATTGGCGTATGGGCTCGTCCGTGGTACCGCACCATCCAGCGCTTGATAGATGAAGGGCGGCTGAAACCCTGTCCTCGGGAAATTCTCTCGGGGGGCTTTGAGGGCATTCTCAAGGGCTTGGAAGTGCTCCGAAACGGAAAAGTCTCAGGAAAGAAGCTCATTGTCCCACTAGAGAGCTAGAACAAGGAGAACCGATGGGACCGATGTTGAACTTTGCAGCTTTTATTTGTAGACTTCTTATTCTTCTCTCTCGTTTTGTCAGGATATGATCCGATTCCTGTGATATCTACTATCTTTCACTTTCCCCTCGATATGTCACTCATCTTTCAAGAAATGTTATTCCTTTTGTCCTGGCGTATCCATTTTGGCTGCGTACTTCTCGTTCAGCTGAGCTTCCATCACTGCCATACACAGTTCCTGGAGCCTCACGGCCTATCTTGTCTATTTCTGAAAATCATACACCATCCGGGCAATCACTGTCGCACCGGCTTTTGTCGTTGTGACGTTGCGAGTGAAATACCTCTTTCCATCCACAATCTCAAACCCCCACATCACCCGGCCCTGCCATCCCTTGGATGTATTGTGGGCCACTTCATCAATCACAGTCTTCGATGGGCTTCCCTCACCCAGTCTCTGGGCAAGAGTCTCATCTGGCACTTCGTCGGCATTGACATACCGCAGCTGCATGCTCACGTCGCCAAAGATAGGAAGCGAAAAGTCATGGGGTTTTCCATCGACCGGGTAAGATCCAATACTGTCAAAGCCTCCGGGATGCACAGTCTGTTTTATGTGAAGAGTCGCGAACGGCCCCTTTGCATCATGAGACTCGCCGTTCCCATTCGTAATTTCATTTACGTTTTCCTCGCTGGTTTCTGGAAGAGATGTGGTCTGCGTGATCTCCATCGACAGAGACGCATATCGCAAGACTTTGCGGACCACCCATGGGACACCTTGCTAGCTTCACTATTAGTGTGTGGGTGCATGTATGTGGATACTACCTAGGTATCCACCCAAGGAAACAGGCTTACCAAGGCAAAGATTTTGTCTGGGTCATCGGAAAGCTTCCTGTTCTGGCATTCAAGTCAGGTTAGACGTAGAGATAATCATCGGCAACCAACTCACAAACGTCCAGGTGCCCACCAAGTCGGTGGTGTCCTTGTGATCTGGTGCAGCCATGGCGGATTTGAGATCCTTTAGACTTTGAAGGCGATGAGAATGAAGAACGTGGCTGGCTCAGTTTATCGAATTCTCTAGGTCATCCAAGCATTTTAAGGAGTAGGTTGTGGGTTGACTGAAGACGGCTTGCAGCATGAGTTCAGCTCGGGCTCGGACTCGGCGTCGGAGTATGCGGGCGTAGTCCATTTGGCATTTAGAAATTTGAGGGCTGTTTCAGTTCTCCATGGATAGACTAGATAGGACAGGCTATCACAAGCGGCATGATGTGCGAGAACCATAGCTAAATCAAACGCCACCAACTACTGCAGTTTCAGTCACTATGAAGATATATCCCTTAGGTTCCAATGCAATGAGTTTATGGAGCTCCAATTTAAAGATGATTCACAAGTGCCGGTTTTTGCCTCACGGACTCAGACAACAAATGCCATTATGTTTCGGCAATCTTTCCGTACAGCTGAGTTTTGAACCAAAGTGTCGAAAATAGTGATAACCTTTGATCGTCGTAGATCGAAAGCGAACTGAGTTCAAGCAGGTTCATATTAAGATCATCACATACAGGGCGAAGGACTTTTGAAAGAAAGGAAAAATTGGAAGGTGTGGAAAGAATGGCAATAATCATGGCAAATCATCAAATACTAACAGGATCCTTCACCAGTTGGCGCAGGCATTTGATCGTCTCTCTCAGTGACATCTCACATTCGATTTGTTCCTGGGATGATACTAAGTCTCGGAGAGAGGCGAAGACACCAGTCTCAAAAATAGAACCCCCTGGGCTGGATTCCTCGCCTTCTTGTTCTCGGACCGAGCTGTAAGGGACACTCAAGGCTCGCTCGACTTTACCAAGTATGCTCGAGCTGAGTTCAATCAACACTTGGACTTGCACTCTGTAATTCTCCTCCATATGAAATTGACCGAATTGTAAACTCGGTAGTAGGAGAAAAGCGGCGGCGTCCGCGGGGGGCACGATGAGGAATAGTTGATACAGACGGGCAAACACAGCGCGATGGAGGCGAATTAGATAGCAATAGGTCGTTAGAATAGTGAGAGAGGTCATGATATCACATTTCAAATTGGACGTGGCAACCTGATCCGGTGAAGCGGCTAATGCGGTTTGATACCCCGAATCATGCGACGATGTAGTGGTGGCCCCCTCATCCAGAGTGCTCTCGGCGACATCCGTAGATAAGGTGACATTGTCAGGCATGCTGGAATCTTTTTGATTTGGTTCCGGCACAAGTATGGGCTCCATCGGCTCACTGGGTGGGCCAACCGTACCTTGGAGAATTTCGAGGAACCGAGAGGAATGGTTGAGCATGCGAAAGATGGGAAGATCCATTTTGCCCGTACACGAGTTGGTTTGATCTGGTAATATAGATGACGGTGCCAGCATCATAGAGTCCGCCTCCATGAGGTGCAAATCATCCATGAGATCCAAGTTCAACTTGAGAAGGCATTTGCAGGGGTCCTGGCGTGTGTCGCAAGGCCCACCCAGCGTCAGGAGATTGGGCGGGTCATCTCTGGGGTGCCATCCGGAAATGTTTTCCCAAGAAGGATCCCCATGGCTATCTGTGAGACTCAGAGCCTCTGTCCCGGTGTAGCTAGGAGGCTCGTTCTGGGGGAAGGCGGAAATTTCCATGCCATTTACATTCCTGGCATCCAGTGGGCCATCGATGCCCGGAGTCGAAGAACAGGATGTATACTCTTCATGCCGGTAGGCTGGCCCCGGTAGATAATAATCCGGAAAAGGCTGTTCTCGTATAGGGTTAGTGGCGGGATCCCGAAGTAAAATGATTGGGAGCGACTGACCAACTGAAATGGATCTGCAATCCAGGGAAGTGACTGATCAGCCCATGGCTCTAGTGCGAACGACGAGCCCCCGTCGAGTGCCATTGGCGGAATCGTTTCTTCGGTCGGAGGAAGATTCTCTATGCCAAGATAGGGCAGGGCAGTAGCTTCTAACCAACGATCCGGCGGCTGCGATTCATGCCTCCGTGGCGCCACCACCGGCAATGTTCGCTTGATGACTTTGGGGCCGGAGGACTTATGGAGAACGGACATGGACAACCGTTCGCTATCCAGTCCTCGGCCCTCACGGCCCCTCGGCAGGGGATGAGAGGCATGACTTGACGGGAGGAAGACCGGTACTGGTTGGTTCACACTCGTCGTACACATCACTTGGGCCTTGAGACACCGCTCGCAAGACATGCCATTCACATGGTCTCGTTCACAGCGTAGTTTGAAGCCACGGCATCGATCACATGCGGATCGTCGCGAATGGCGGTAGTTGAGGGTTGGGTGCATCATGGAGGTTCACAAGCTTCTGAGAATCATGCGGAGATATGATCGTCCGTCAAGAAGATCGAGAACAGCACTTGGAGGGGAACCATATGTACCACACCCCCGGGACAATGCAATTGTATAGACATGCGTGCTTGACAGGTCCGTGGGCTGAAGACGCCGTCTGATTTCCAAAATGCAGGCCACCACTACACTCGACCAGACCCCCGGCTCCAGGAGTGGCCAGACAGGTTGCGAATGAGTGCCCAAGAGATCGGGACCCAAGAGCGGAGAGATTCCAGGGCTCTGTGGCCACTGAACTTTTCATCGTGGCGTTTCGAAAATAGACATGCATTGACCAGAGCCCTGGTCATGCAAGTCACATGCGGCGTTTCGTTTCCAACCCATGGAAGCTGCTGTCCCACCAGATTGCATATGTGCAGACAGGGCCCAAGGTGCAAACCCCCGGCCCGGAGTGCAGGACTCAAATCAAGCAGGTTGCACAAGCGGACACGATGGCGACAACGAGGCTAGTTCGGGGGAGAGAGAGACTTGTCTGGTTCTCCATTTGCTCGGATCAAGGAAGGGCTGTGAAGGGCTGGGGAAATACCAAGGCAAAGAGAGAATTGGTATGGAGAGCATTATCCCCGGTGGCCATCGTCCCCACAGACCCAAGCCAAGTCAGGGATCCGAGTCTCCCACTGATCGGCGCGTGGCTAGGATCGACGGTGCAGAGAAGGGGGGAGGGGACCATTGTGTTGGGAAAAGAGCAGGGGGGGACTTTCATTGCAGGTCACGGGCAAATGATTGGATTTGCTGATTTGATTTATATTTGATATTTGATATTATGATTATTACTACTATGATTATTACTACTATGATTATTACTACTATGATTATTACTACTACTATTCATATCTTCTATTTGATTATCCACACCGACACTTTCCACCAGGCAACGGGTTATCGCCCCCCCCCCCCCCCCCCGGTGGATAGCGGATTGGGCCAGTTGGTGACAGCTTGGTCCCAGGCAAAAGATGAGGATGTGTTACATTAATAAGAAAAATAATCATCATCATCATCCAGACTCGACCTATGTACATTTCATCTCCACTTCCCGTGGACTTGAAAATCCATCGGGCCAAGTGCGCGTGGCAACATCTACAGTTCACCAGACCACTAGGCCTTTCCAGTGGGGCGGAGGATCAGGAATACAGTAATCAGCAATCAGCACATATACCTGAGGGCGGGATCCTTCGCGCTGTAAGACGTACGAGCCATGTCCAATCATTCCTGGATCATGACCCGGACGCCTTGGCTCTCTTTCCGAGGATGGCCATTAAACATATCGCGCACAATGCGGACATCGTCCTCGGTGGTTTCGTACAGTTTCATGTCGAACTCCCGGAAGATGGTGGCAATGGCCATGAGGATCTCAGCCCGTGCGAGACTGCAATCAAAGTTAGCGAGAAGTAACGAGCGCCCCGAGGGGGCTAACGTACGGAATGCCAATGCATTGTCGGGAACCCTTGGTAAAAGCCACCAAGTATTTCTCCAGGTGCTTTCGCTGCTCCATATCCATCCAGCGTTCGGGGATAAAACTCTGCGAGTCGGGGAAAATCGACTCGTTATGATGCATGAAATAACTCGTCATGCCGACGGGGGTCTGGATGGTCATGGTCAGCATAGAAGCAAAGACAGTGGGTTCATTGGAAGCGCTTACTCCGGGTGGAATTGCCCAGTCTTTATATTTCATGACTTGGTTGGGCGAGCTGCGCTGGAGACGGGTAGCGACGGCGTTGGTAATTCTGTTCATGGGTCAGAAATGCAAATTCGAAAATGGCCCAGTCACTGCGATGCAATTAATTCATACCGGAGACCTTCAAGAAGAATAGACGTCTATTGAGGTTAGCTGCGTGGCCAAAAGAAAAGAAAAGAAAAGTTTCAAGGCACTAAAAGGGACAGCATACCAGGTACGGCATGGACTCGTAGTCGACCAAGGATGCGGTGCGGTTAGGATCCATTCTTTCCAGCTCCTCGCGCAGCTTCTGGAGTTTTTCGGGATTGTTCAGGAGGTGAAAGGTAATGGTCGACAAGTTCTTTGCGGTCGTCTCGCCGCCGGCCGAAATGACGGTAAACACTTCCTGACTCAGGCGACTGGCCTGCTTCTCTTCCGGGGGCAGTTGGCTGTCCAGCAGAGCATGGAACAAAGTACCCTTGGGCACCGTCACCTTGGACTTGGAGTTGGGGTCACTGCTCGCGGCCTGGCTATCAATCACAGACTGAGCCAGCGCCAGGCTTTCTTGTTTCTGCTCAATGACGGGACCAATGTCCGGGTTGATGCACTTGACAAGCCACGGGGGCAGCAGCTCGAACAGGCTGATGAGCCAGCGAAACTGTTTGAATTTGACGCCCACCAAAACAATCGCATGAATGGTTGTCGACCAGTGTGGACTAAACTCGGGGTCGTCGAGATAGTGGAACGATTCACCCATGGTGTACTCGGCGACGACATCGGTGGTAAAACTGTTGAAGGCATGATATACATGCAACGGCGTGTGTCGGTCGCGGAATGCCGCCATCCCTTTGCACAACTTGTCGACCAGGCGCCGGATCATCGGCTCCAGCTGCCGGATGCGCTGTTGGGAGAAGAATGGGTTCATCGGCTGGCGCAGCATTCGATGGCGACGATGATCGAGCGCACCAAAGCTTGATCCTGCATTGCCAAACATCCCGACCAGATGCAGGGATTTATTGCGGGGGGAGTCGCGCGAGTATAGCACGTCATAGTACTCTGGGTCGTCGATATGGAGCTCGTACGGGCTGATGCGCACGATGGGGCCATATTTGCGATGCATCTCGGCGATGCGGAACGTATATTGGCCTTCCAGAAAGGAATCATAATAGAACTCATACCACATGGTCAGCGCGGCCAACTTGGGTCCGGGAAAATGAGCGATCGGGGACAGCCACAGCCGGTCGATCGCCAACCACAGCACATAGGCTGCTATGGTCACGCCGAGGGCTGGCAGGGGGTGCGCCACAACAACATGCCACCACGCCATGTTCGGCGGTTTTTTTTTTCAAGACTGCACTAAAAGGACCAGGGTGATAATTTCGGTGCAGAAATGAAAAGCAGTCACGACCGAAGTGGTGGGAAAGGGGGGGAATGACCAGGTTTATAATTTCACCCGTACCAGTCAGGCCCCGCATAGCATCAAAAAGAGGGTGGACCACGACCCCATTGCGTTGTTACCCGAGTCATTGGAGAATCCACAGTGTCGGGAATTGCAATGCATGTCCTTGGGACCTTCGATGGAAGCGGAAGGTCAAGGGGGGTGAGTCGAGAACCACTGGGGCTTCGTGCATTAGTAGAGCACCGTCGGCCTATCGCGGCACTGCCGGGTCAGCAGGAGCTGGATGATAGCGTCGAGAGCTCCTATGATCGGCTCTTCTGGGTCCATAGGAGCGGCCCGGATTTTAGATGCCCACAATTGCCAGTTTGTATGGAGTGCACGGCCGTCAAGTGGAGAGGGGACCAAGCGTTGACAGTCTTGACACGATGAAGTCCGCCCCCTTTTTTCGGGGCGAAAGGGTGTTTCGGTTTCTCTTTTGGAGAGAGCGTGTGAGAGTGAGAGAAAGGGGAAAACCGAGAGGTTACACGGTGTGGAACAAAACCATGGAGAGAGAGAGAGAGAGAGAGAATGTAGGGGTTCATACCCAGACTCGTGGGCCCCGACATGTTGGATCGCGAGGTCTGCAGCGCCTATCACACACGAGGTGGAGTGGTATCGACGAAGTTCATAACTAAATTCACTAGTGGAGATGCTCCGTTCCCATTAAATGGTCGAAATCCTGGCTTGTTTTATTTTGTTTTGTTTTTATACCGTTTTATAGCCACTTGATATACTTTTTTTTTTCTCTTTTTTTCCCAGCGTATGTGGTATATCTTGTTTCCTCGAATATCCACGTTCTGTGTTTTTAATAGTAAGTTAATCTGTCTTTTCTTTTCCTCTGTACAACGGTGTTGGATAAGAGATCCGTGGTGGCTGGGAGATCGACTGTCCACCTGGCTTTAGTAGAGTGCGCTGTCAATAAGATGAAATTAATGTAATACATAGTAAACAACTATCGTAGAAATTAATCAAAATTAATCTATACGTATCGGGGCAGCAACCTGGATAGCTCTGTATGTCGACCTCCATTCTATATCTTTTATTCTCTCTGGACATCCCTTGACATTTCACACGTAGTACCTACCATTTGATGAGCTAGTTTTGGATTTAGCTTATTGATCGCTCTTTAGTATAATTTCGATTTGTTGCACTAGGAATTCGGGGGCACTTTGCGACCCTGATCAACCGCATCTCCCTAGCGATAGTGACACTCATCGATGTCAAGACGTTAAAAACTACAGACCAAAGCGTGTAATTTGTATTAGTAGTAGTAGTAGCAGTAGTATCATCATTTTATGTTGTTTCTCTTCATAAACATCAGCCGAGGGCCGAAAGGCGGGGAATCTGGTGGATTGTTATTTATTCGAGACCAACCAGCCCCAACAACTGCAACACACCATGAATTTCGATCTACCGGCTGAGCTCCAGTCGCACCTGGATTCAATCGATGTTTTCATCACTGCAACAATCTTACCCCTGCAGAATGCCCCTGATAACACCCGCTTTTTCGATCATCGCCGCGAGCATACTCGTACCGACTGGGAGCAACAGGGGAACCCGTGCGCGGAGTGGGAACGACTATTGAGTCGGTCGAAATTCTGAGTCCTGTGAAAAGATCAAGCAAGTGAGACTCTGACGCATGACAGCCCAGGCCCGCAAGCTCGCGGATGACGCAGGGCTTTATCGCTTTGCCCTTCCCAAGGTCTACGGGAGGCCAAGGACACCCAGAAACCAATGTGTGGATGTCCGCCATTCGCTATCATTTGTCGTCGCATCCGGTATATGGCGGTGGTCTTGGTCTGGCCAACGACTTGCAGAATGAGCACAGCATCGTGGGAAATTTCCCAGATATCATGACGATTCACCATTTTGGCAATGAGCAGCAGCGACAGACCCTCATCCCTGCCCGGCTTCGAGGGGAGTTCCGAACGACCTTCGGGTTAACCGAGCCTGACCACGGAAGTGATGCGACCTTCATGTCGACCGCGGCCCGTCGCGACCGTGGAGGCTTTGCGATCACGGGGACCAAGAAGTGGCAGATAACCAGGCCATCCAATTTCCTATTGTAGAACTAGTGACCCGGGTGGAGATGCTGCGACTGCTGATCTTGAAGACAAGTTGGGAGATGGATCGCATTGTGGCCGAGTGTCGCACAGAATCCCAGCAACCCTGGGTGGAAATCGAACAGCGCCTCAGCGATCGAGTAGCCATGTGTAATTTCTGGGCCAACCGTCTTTGCTGTCAAGCAGCGGACCGAGCCATTCAGGTATGTGCGCTGGATATAGAGTCCCCACGATCACCACCTGACTAGATAGATCCACGGCGGCGATGGATATTCCCGCCACTATCCTTTTGAACATATCTATCGCCATTTTCGACGCTACCGGATCACTGAGGGCGCAGAGGAAATCCAGATGCGCAAAATTGCGGGCTATCTCTTTGGCTTTGCCGGACCCCAGAAGAAAGGGATGCCAATGCGAGGTACAGCCAAAATATAATCAAAATGCTGCCCTGGTGTTTTGTAGCCATCGGCTTGCCGATTCTCGCCAGTACGGGCTTTTCCACGGATTCTTTCCGAGTGGTGCGATTTACCTAATAAGAATTGTCTCCACGGCTCGAGGTGGAATTTTGTGGAGACTTGATGCGTTTTGGCGGCGAAAACGGAACTTGGCATGGAAAAGAAAATTCCTGTCTTGCCTGTCTTGTTAGCAGAGTTGTTCGCGATCTCAATCTACCCGGGGCATTTCACTCCAAGTATCGATCGGAAACTGACGCCGCGGTGGCCCAACATGGCCTCTCACGATGCCTCCGCGGTGCAGCCGGACATCAAAAATGCTCTACACACCAAGCAGGCCGATATCGAGCAGGGCCATGTTCCGGAGTCTAACCCGGGCGAGCTGAAGAGGAAGCTCAAAAGCCGGCATCTCCAAATGATTGCAATCGGTATGTGGTGACCGAGTTCTCGGATCTATACACGAGTGGGCTAACAACTCACCCCAGGCGGCACTATTGGCACAGGTAAGGTGTCAAAGCGAAAGCAGAACACGTCAAACCTAACCTGGCCAGGATTATTTATTTCTAGCGGCACCGCCATTGCATACTCTGGTCCCGCCGGCGCGTTGATCGCCTACATTTTCGTCGGAACCATCGTCTATTCGGTCATGAGCTCCCTGGGTGAAGTCGCAACTTACATTCCGATTCCCGGTGCATTCACCTCGTACGCGGCACGACTGATCGACCCCAGTCTTGGATTCTCTATGGGTTGGATCTACTGGTTCAATTGGGCCTCGACGTTTGCCGTCGAGCTAACTGCCACGGGAACCATCATTCAATACTGGGATCCAACTTTGAATATTGCGATTTTCATCGGCGTGTTTTGGGTGCTGATCACCGCATTGAACTTCCTACCTGTGAACTTCTACGGCGAATTGGAGTTCTGGTTCTCAACCATCAAAGTGGCTACCGTCATTGGGTTCATGATCTTTGCTATCTGCGTGGACTGTGGAGTGGGACGGCAAGGGTACCTTGGTTTTCAAAACTGGAAACAGCCGGGGGCTTTTGCTACACACATCATCGATGATCCCCCATCTGTCGGTAAGTTTATTGGTTTCTGGACAGTGCTGATTCAGGCCGGGTTCTCCTATCAAGGCACCGAGCTGGTTGGTGTGGCAGCTGGCGAGACCGAGAATCCACAAAAGACCGTTCCATCAGCTATCCGCAAGACCTTCATTCGCATTCTTCTGTTTTTCGTCTTGACCATCTTCTTTATTGGACTGGTGGTGCCCTCGGACCACGATCATCTCGCCACGGCCACCACGAATGCATCCTCCTCTCCTATGGTCATCGCGGCGAAGTTGGCGGGGGTCAAGGTACTTCCAAGCTTGATCAATGCCGTGCTGTTGACTGTGGTATTATCTGCAGCCAATTCAAATGTCTATAGTGGCAGTCGGGTCTTGACGGGGCTCGCGCATGAGGGCTTCGCGCCGCCATGTTTTGCCTGGGTGACGCAACAAGGCGTTCCGTACGTCAGTGTTTCATTCACTGCTGCCTTTGGTTTGCTGGGATTCATGAATGTCTCCAATCAAGCAGGGCAAGTATTCAATTGGCTGGTCAATCTGTCGAGTGTGGCAGGATTCGTAACGTGGTCTTCTATCAACGCATGCCATATTGCTTTTATGCGTGCACTGGCAGCACGAGGCATTTCCCGTGATACACTCCCTTACAAAGCCATCTTGCAACCATATCTAGCATGGTATGGTCTGTTTTTCAATGTCCTCATTGCTCTGACCCAAGGATTTGGGTCCTTCATCCCGCATTTCCGCGCCTCGGACTTTTTCGTGGCCTACATCTGCCCCATCGTCTTCGTTGTTCTCTATGTTACACACAAAGTTATTGTTCGACCACAATTTGTTCGGGCCTCGGAGGCCGATATCGACACCGGTCGACTTCACTATGAAAAAGACGTGACGCCTCCAAAGTCGTGGTATTGGAGAGTCTGGGGCTGGGTAACGAAATAGTGATTCCCTTAATCGGGCACAATGCATGGAAAGTGATTTTGATTCCATTCCCTCGACTATGGCCGACCAAGGCACATAGCGTGGCGCTGGTGTATATAAACAAAGCTTTTCTAATGATCTATGAACGCATCCCACCTGCCTGGTCTGCGAATTTTTGAGAGTATCTCTGTATCCTTTCCCTTCATTGCTCTGTCCTCGCCCAGAGCTTGGGGCCTTGCTGCACATTCACACCCACTTGAGGTGGCGGGCCACCACACACAACCCTCCCACGAGCGCGGTGGTTCCAGTGCAAACCACGAGTGTGCCGTACCCACTACCATACGCGCCCCATGCATGTCCTCGCCAGACATCTCCTTTGAGTAGGACCTCGCTGAGTGGACCACAGGCCACGTTTCCGATTCCCCGTCCGGTCTCCATGAAGGCGAATATGACAGCTGTATCGGCAGATGGGCTGGCACGTTGAATCTCGTGCGAAGCGCTGGACCAGGTGGATGAGAAGCCGCCGGCGGTGAGGCCGTAGGTAATACAAAAGACATAGAGTGGTGGGATGGTAACGGCGAACCCCCACAGAAAGAAGACAGATATCACGGTGCCGACAGTGGAAATCAAAATGCAAGTCGTGACATGATACCGATCCGAAAGAAATCCCATCAGCACACAGCCAAATACGGATGCCAAGTTGACCAAGGTCACTGTGAGCGAAGATAGCAATTCATTGGCTCCCAGGCTACGCGCGTACATTGGCAGGTAGATTGCGGGCAAAAAGTAGCCAAGTGCCTCGGCGACGTTGCCAAGCTGATATATGATGTGCACCTTGTTGTATAAAAACCGGAAATCGAGCCGATGCTGACACGCAGTTTCGGACATCGGCAGTCGTGGTCGATGGAAGTATAGGAAAGGTGCTGCGAGAACGAAAAGTGCCACGCACGAGACGCGCAGCGCAGCCTGGATGCCGTACTTGTCTAAGAGCCATCGGATAGCTAACGGGAAAATCACACCGGACAACCCCGACCCGGCCTATCTTGTGATGAGTGTCTCTTACACCTCGCGTGGAGATTCGGTGGTCACTTACCCAGACAATCCCAAAGGCAAGTCCCTTTCGCTTGAAGAACCATTCCGATAGGAACAAAATTGATGGTGTATACGCAAAACAACCCCCTGTCCCAAACCCAATTCCCTGGGAAAGGATCAGATGGGTGACATTTGTCGAGAACGAGCTCAGTGCCAGCGATAGGCACATAACAACGACCCCTGCCGTCGACAGCCAGCGAGCAATTGACGGAAATAAAATCATCACCACAATGACTAACGGGGAAACGAGGTAGGCAATGCCCTGTTCATGGCGTTAGCCGAGTAAAAGGTTGAGCGAAAACTAGACTACCCACCATGGCGCAAGTCCCAATCACAGCAATATTCCCCGATCCTTGGAAGGGTGCGTGAGTACTGTAGTAGTCCTGGAAGATTCCAAAAGCGAAGGCGTACCCTATTTTCCAGATTAGTTATATTCAAAGATGCCTCGATTGAGAGTGGATATCAACACACCCCACACAATAGCCTCGAGCATTGTAGAGGCTGCCAGAAACAGCCACGCCGGGAGGCCCCCATCGACCGCTGGTGGGTTCTTTTCGCGGATAATTCTGGCATCAGACTGTTGATCAGAGGGAATGGAGGTTTGGGCCTCGAGACTGAGACTGTCTGTGCGGGGGTTGGATTCCTTGGGCTCCATCATATATGTGCAGCCCAAAAGGCCCGAAAATAAGCAAATTTCAACACAGATCGTTCCAAGACAATCGAATAGGTCTGTCCCAAAGCATGCAGTGGGTCACTTCAGGGAAAGAAGAATAGAAGCTCTTGTTCGTCTGAATGTGAAGACAGGAAAAGCCCGAATCCTTCCAAGTCCTTTGAGGCATGAAATAAGCTAGTCAAAGCTACTAGCATGACTAAATAGAGATTCTCGGAGAAAAAGGCTTTTGGTGTGAACTTGCCCATGAGCTAATGCAAGATTGCATACTTGGCATTCGAGCCGATGGGTTCCCAGCAATGTGATATTGAATTCCTAGATCTGCCCATTCAAGGAGAGCGTTTAGGGCATGCATCCAGCTGTCCAGCGTGTTTCGGGATTCGTAGCAACGCAAGATATAACATGCACAAAAGACAGGATTCTGCCGATTGGGGACGTCTAGACAAGGAGACTGTCAGGAACCTTGTCCAGGCTTGGCTATGGTACAAAGTGCCCGAGTATAGAGATGACTTGGGGAATGGAATGTTGATCATGGTAACTGCATACCAGAGCCGGTACCGTCGGAAACTTGTCTTGTTTTTCCCACACAAATTCACTGCTTCTATTGGCATGAAATATTGCAACAGGGAAATAATTCAAGGCATGACATTGTTTTCGTGCAAGATAACGTCACCGGGCTGCGGGACGAGTGGCTGGTCCATGTGCCGTCGTGAATCTGGCGAGGGCTCCTCGCGATCGTAGCTGCTTATGTTGGATTACGAAACAACCGCCTGGAGGGATCACGATGCAGAAGATTTAGCGCCAGAAGCGCAATGAAAATACACTTCAATATGTGACCGCAGATAGACCTGTATATACTTCGCGATGGACGGGACCACACTCGCGGAAGTGTTAGGAAAAGAAAAACAAGCAAGCAAACAAACAAAAGGCGGCAGCAGGGTATCGCAGATCTTGGTCTAGATTAGTGAGACGCCAGACCCTTGGGATTATACGATGGAATCTGCTTGATACAGGGGGATAGTAACTGGTTCGATGGGGGATTGAGGTTAAAATCCCATTTACGGGAGCGGCGAGGTGGTTTCAAATGTACTCAATAGAAATTAAAATTGAAGGACGTCTTAAGAATGACTGATGGGATGTTGTGGGGTATGGTACGTATCAACATCAGGGAGGTTGACGCTGACATCTAGAGTGTGCCAAGCGATGCTGATGGTTTACAATGCGAGTGGTATGAAAGAATTGCGCCATTCGGAGGTTTTTTTTTTTTTTTTCTTTTTGGTTGGCAGAAATTAGGTATATTATGCAGAGGTAATTCTACTTCTATGAACGAGCTCACGAAGGCAACCGAATCCCAAAAACAAGTTAAACATGAAGATATGCCACTGGACGCCGAGAACTTCCCGCTGTTGCGAACATAACGACCAAGTTGATCGTTTACAGGATGGATCCGAGAGCAACGCAGGGCAGACCGACACCGACACCGTCGCTGTTCTAGCATGGGGTTAATCTTGATAATAGCGTGGGAAGAAGTGATCAGACTTACGGCCGAGGAGGGCGAGTTGGCACAGCAAGCAATATTCTGCTTGCAGCGCTGGTTGACCAGGTCCTGGATGGGGATAGCAATGATGGCGATCTGGAGGTCGAGCTTGGAGCACTGGTCGAAGATGCCAGCGCCCTTGGCACCAGAGCCGGCACCAGCCAGGTTGCTCAGCAGGCCACCCAGAGCACCTGAGTTGACATCGGTTGTGTCACCGGCGTAGGTGGCCTTGTTGCAGCAGGACAGCTGGGCCTGGTCACCGCACTTGGACTGAGCCTCCTTGACGGTCATGGAGTCGGGGATTGGGAAGTGCTTGCCACCATCGTGCTCCTGGGTGCGAAGACCAGACTCGGGCTTAGCAACCTGGGGCAGGGCCACGGCCAGGGAGGAAAAGGCGAGGACAACGGTGCTCAGAGAGAACTGCATTGTGACGGTGGATGAAAGATTAAAAGATGCTTGAAGCAAATGATGCGATGAAGAAGGGAAGCGAGAGTGAAGTTCTTAGGGAGTAGAACAGAGGAGTGTGAGCTGGATGATTCCAAGCCCTCGAATTGGCGCCATTTATCTTCGAAAATCCCAGTGTTTGTGTCGGTGGTGATCTGCAGCTGTTGAAGCTACTGAAGCTACAAGTCCAAAACAAATCCTCCTAATATTCCACCGCGGAATGCCACACGCAAGGGTCTGATCCCAGATTTATTGGGAAATCTCTGTCAATCAACTGAATTTCATAGATAAGCCTGTCGTTTCGGAATTTTGTGATCAACGAAAGGGCCCCTTGGTTCCTGGTGATCCATGAGCCCTACATTCCGCCCTGTCCAGTGGTATCCGTCAAGGTGACCCTACACAAAGATTGCGCTGAGACCAAAATGCTTTACTTGAGTGCCATGCCAAAACAAAAGTCACAAATTTGGGCCGCTTAACACGCTGACCCCTTCCGTGTAAACCCAATCCCCCTCTACAACGATTCCAGAATCAATCGAAAGGGTCAGAATATGTAAGAGCCCTATAGCAACATAGAAAGAATGCACTGATCGGAATTGCTGCAATCTCCGTAGTCTTTGTGTTGGGAATGGCGTGTAGATCGTCGGTGCTAGCTGTACTGGAGAGTTCTGCTTGCAACTCCAGTCGGTATCCTGGGCACAGAGGCAATCATGTAGAGGCAAGAAATTAAACACGGTGATTACATGGATTAGGGGTCGTGACTCGTGCTGAAGTCCTGAATAACTTTCAATCACGGCATATCTCTAGGCCGAACTCATACCGATCTCTTATTCAAATCCACAGACTGGACTATGATCGGGGTCGTGATTCGCTTGGAAATATCGAGTCAACGCAAGAGTGGGAGTCTGAATAGTTTAGCCGGGATTGGGGGTATGGAAATATCGAATAGTCTGTTGAGTGATGATATCCTAATCAATAACCCTGTCCCGAGCAGTGAGAGAGAGAGATATATATATATATCTGTGGATATCCTACGCCCGCCACTCTATACATCTCCCACCAATTCGATATTATCTGTCTGCCTAGCCATTTCTAGCGATTTAAAGAAGAGACTACCGTGAGAATCGAAAGAGGCACAGTGCGTTGGGATTACAGGCAGAAAACCCTCATTCATGAATCCCTGGTGACGAGAGTCAGTTGAAACTAATATTGTTGCTACCACATATCCTTCCCAGTTGTAAAAAGATGAGCCATCGGCAAAACCAGGCCCGTTTGAGATTTGATGAAGCGAGTTAAATAGCATATGGGCCAAAAATCGAATTGCCAACAGATCGCTGCAGCCAAGCGAGCAAATATAAGCAAATCACAAATTACAACAAGTACTATGTCCAAAGCTTCCTGGTCGACCCGATCTCGACCGAGATGATTCCCTCCAAACGCCGGCGTTCCATATATATAAACATCAACGGACCAGGGAACGACTAGTCCGAACAAGACAGTTGTACAATTGGACCCCGAAATGGGGTCGGTCGAAGAAAAAATCGAGGTTGCGATCGTGACGGTCATGATAGGGAGTAAAACTGGGGTCGATGGCAGTTAGGTGCCACCGTAGGGCTGCGGACGTTCAATCTGGGCACTGCGGCGCTCCTCTTTAACCTTGCGCTTCTCCATCTTCTTCATCACCTCTTCAGTCAGCTGTTGTCGAAAGAGTCGCTCCACAATTTCCTTCTTTCGAGTCCGTCGGTCACCGATCATGATTAAGACACCCCCCGAGATGTTACAGGTGATGGAACAGCAAAGGATGACGGTGGTTAGGGCTTGTGGTCGCTGCCCAGGTTTTTCCATGCTCCACGTACAAGCGCCGAGAGCCATCTGGAGGAGGGAATGGCAGTCCAACAAGACCACGATGGCAATGAGGATGCGCGTGGGGAATGCGTAATGGGTCATGGTCTCGTGAGGTTTGTAGAATGTGTGCGACTTGGCAAACTTGTTCTGGTGATGTACCAACCGCAGCTGTTGGCGGGGATCGAGCACGGTGAATTCGTGTTCAGCTTCCTTGGGGGTGTCGCCGAATTCAACATCGATGTCCTTCTCCCGTTGCACGGGGAGATCATTCTTGTCCTTGAGATCAGGGAGCTTCCGTTTCCCACGAATCTTCCACGTGAGGAAGGTGTAATGTGCAATGAAAATCATGTGGTATGTGTCGACGGCCCGGAACGGAGCCAGGCCATCACCCATAATGGCAAACAGGCCGACCAGGATGTTGTCGATGATGTTGATAACCTCCAGCTGCTTCCCGCCAACATTGATCCAGCCTGAACAAAGGGTTCTGTCAATAAAGCTCCGATGGGATACACAGAGGACATAGCATACCGATCAAAAAAAGAACCCACGCTAGCCCAAACAAGGTGATTAGGGTTGCATAGAGGGTGACGAGAAAGCCCAGTGCTGGGTGAACGGCTTAGTTCAACCGTCAAAGACAAGACAAACTGGAACGACTTACGTTTGCGCACATACTGCCAAAACCCTTTCATCGATCGCTTGAATTTGGACCGACGAGAATGGAGCATGTGTCGGACATGATCGTTCAGTTCGACAAAGTCCTCTCGAGTCCATCCCTCCAATTCGTGGCCCTCCGGAAGCACCGCGTACCGGGGACCGGCAAGTACCGAGGACATGCTGGTAAATGGGCGAAGTTGCTCCAATGTCTGCCGTTGTTTGAGTTTCGAGTCCTCTGACATCTCTCCTTCATCCGTCGTGGTCCCCTGCTCTTCATCTGTGGGAGGCGCCGGTGTGAGGGTGTAGGTTGGCATGCGATTCACGAAGCCACCCAGGTTCGGCACGAACAAAGAATTTTGCACATTGGTGAGGGTGGACAGCGCAGAAACCTCCGGATCTATCAAGGTCGCAGTTCGTTAGCCGATGGGAGGGGTGATGGGCTGACCCGGCCTAGTGTTGAGAGACTTACCAATCACATCCAGCACATCGACGACATGAGGCCCGTACTCTCCCGTCCGTTGGTTTTGTTGCGAGGAGAGTGTCGGCGGGGCGCCAGTAACAGTCGATGCACGGTTGCGGCTGAATCGGTTGAGTGCGGCTTGACTCGTTCGGCGCAGTCGACCCCCTGGTCGTGACACGGCCAAGGGAGGTCGCTGGAGGAGTTCTGGGTCATTTTGCTCAGGCTCCTGCCCTGAAGGGGAGGTTGCGACCGGGCTCTGGTGGGACGACTCCTCGGACAAAGGCATCATCCGCATGGGAGTGGCCACCCGCGAGAGAACATCCGGGGGAGGGGATGACCATCGTCCTGGCCGCGGCTCAGAGCTACTGCGCCGTCGACCTGTTTGGTATGAGTCGTCATCCTCGGTAGGGGCCGGGGATCGGATAGTCGCTTGTCGATCCAGCGAGGGGGTTTGGTGCCGGTTAGGCTGCGGAGAGGGCTGGGGTTGGTGATTGTCGGTGTCTAGCGAGGAGAAGGATGACAATCGAGACAATCGAATACTCGGTCGTCGCGAGCGATGAGAAGGGGCCCCGGGACGCAATAAAGTGGGTGCCGGGGTTGACGACTCGATCGAGGGACCGCCGGGAGTCTCGTGCCTGGGAGTTGCATCCTCGACGGGTTCGATGCGATCCATGGCGAGGAAAAGGGAGGGGGAGACCAGAAGAAGGCAAACCTGCAAACAAACACTAGTGCCCAACTCCCCCTAGGCCATTGGCGACTGCTGAAGGGATCCTGAGATAGTTCAAAGCGAAGATATTCTGGAAGATATTCTGGAAGTAAACTTCAGTCATGGGCGAACTGGATGACTCAGCAAGAGAAATCTTGTTTTGGCTTCCAAGGGTGAATGACGATGGCCTGTGCGGATCGACAACTTGGCAGGTACATCACACAATGTCATAATAAAAGGGAATACTATTGGGAGAAAGGCTAGTGAACATGCTATTGAACAATCCATGTTCAATAGACCGGCCACTGGCAATGCATGTGCCCAGTCAACAATGGCAAGAGAAATAATACATAAACACATGAATACATCTATAGATCTATACATCAATCAGAGCATCATCCCCTATAGTTTATATACCACTACCCCTAGCCCAAATCGCTCTGGGATTCTTTTACTATTTAGCCCCTGATTATCATACACTGAATGAAGCATTAATTGCTGAGACGGCCACCAAAAGAAAAGACAGTGGGAAGGGGAAAATCTATCGCACATCCAATAAAGTACAAAGTGAGTCCTCCCCCCCCCCCCCCCCCCCCCCCTTTTACCCTGTAGAAGTGTGAGTTCTATAGTAATGAGAGTCTAGTGAACCGAAAGCGGGCGAGATCGGTGGACTCAGGGTCTGAGAAGCCGGAGAAAAAGCGAGCATCGCAGCACTCGCCAACGCCGTGTCCCTTGACGGACATGTTCATGAATCCCCCACTGACCATCAGCAGCTACAATGTCTGGGATGAAAGGAACGGAGCGGTTCTGAGTCCACTTCATGAACTCCTGCCAGAGGGTTCTTTGTCGTCGACCAACGCCCAGATGCGGACCGGCGAGTGGCGTGTACACTGTCAAATGCAACAAGTCGAGTTTCTGGGCGCGTGGGAGCGGGCGCCTCAGTTTCATCCCGCTATCGAGTCCGTCAATACTCTGATGACCGGCATTACGAGTGATCCTGGCTCCCCGATGGAGATCACGCCCTGGCCCAAGCACCTGCACATGTCTCCCACAAACTCAACCATCTCAACAAGTTCCGAGATGCAAGTTTCCAAGAATGTTGAGAGCCGGTCAACCGACATTCAGTTCCCATGCTGGCAGCATGACAAGGAAATTGTCGTTCGAACGGAAGTCAGACGAGACTTTTGGGGGACATTGGTTCCTGTACACAAGTGGACTGCGCAGCACCGTCCCTATATCACCTCATCGCAAGAACAGGACACTGACGAAGAATGGAGTGATTGGCATTGACAGACTCTCAGAGAAATGGCAATTTTCATACAAGGAGAGCCAGTGTTCAAAGGACCTTTGCTGCGTGAGGGCCGGGTGGATGTTGTAAGAGCCATGCAATGAATTTCAGTTTCCATGTTTCTTGGGGTGTTGATCTGTAGATTGTATCTTCATTAGTTGAATGTCAGATCACCTAAATACCCGGACATCCATTGAGAAGGGGATCGAGAAACAAGGAAAAGAAAAAGAAAAAGAAACACACGGTGGGGCCAGAGGATGTCGAGAGGAGAACGCCATGGTATTTGACCGAACCGCGTCTCCAGAATGACATCAGGCCAGCTGTTCAACCGGGGAAGCCTAGCACTGGGCACCCGTTAGGCATGGGTGCCCCTAACGGCACATCTTGGGGGCACCACTGCTGCCTGGAGTGGCCCCCAGCCCCCCTCCCAGCCCCCCCCCCAAGTCGCGCCTGCACCATTCACCGGCTCGACCAGGCTAGCGCTCACCGCCTCGTCCCCTTTCCCTCTTCGCTCTCTTCCCTTCCCTTCTTTCCCTCCACCTCCCCAACGACAATCTTCAATTTTCCATCTCGTCTTCCGTTTTCTCTTTACTCGGTATCTAGGGCACCAAGCTACCCTGCTCCTTCCCTCACTCCTCTCCTCGTCAAGTTTCTTCCAGGAAGAAAAAAAAAAACCAAACTCTTTCTCTCTCCCCCCGTGACACAACTTCAAACCTCTGTGTCTACACGTCAAGATGTCTGCCGTCGACGCCCTTGCTGACAATGTGGCTGCCACCACTTTGAACGACACCCCTGAGACCAACGGCACCTCTGCACAGGCCACTGATGCTGCAGCGGCCAGTGCGGACGAGGGACGCCGCCTGTACATTGGGAACCTCGCCTACGCGACCACCGAGGAGGAGCTCAAGGAGTTCTTCAAGAGCTACACCATGTAAGTTGTGCTCTTGTGTACGTGGGTGATACTTGACTGACCTGTGGTAGCGAGAGCACCTCGATCCCGGTGAACCCTCGTACCAACCGCCCGGTCGGCTACGCGTTTGTGGATCTTGCCACGGCCGCTGAAGCTACCGCCGCCATTGAGGGACTCTCCGGCAAGGAGATCCTCCAGCGTAAGGTGTCGGTGCAGCTGGCCCGCAAGCCTGAGCCTGCGGAGGCCAAGGAGGGTGTTGCCAACGGCGGTGAGGGCGCCAGCGGCAACGAAGGTCGCAAGAGAACCGGTGGCCGTGGTCGGGGCCGTGGCCGTGCTCGTGGCCGTGGCGGCCGCTTGGGCCGTGGCCGTGCGGTATGTTTGTCGTTTCTTTTCATTGTCTTTCCTCGCCCTTTTCCTTTTTCTTACGCCCCCCAACTGGATGGCCAACGCGCCCTAACATGATCACAGGGCCAGGATGGCCAGGAAGGCACTGATGCCAACGTTGCCGAGCAGGCTCCTCTGACCGAAACGACCAACGAGAACGAGGCTGCAGGCACCGAGGGAGCTAAGCAGCAGGGCAAGCCCCGTGCGCGCCCCCAGAAGCAACGTGGTCCCCCTGAGGATGGCATTGCGTCTAAGACCAAGGTCATGGTCGCGAACCTGCCGTACGACCTCACCGAGGACAAGGTGAGTGAACTGGAGACTCCACCGGGGCTTCTAATTGCTAACTTTGACCCCAGCTCAAGGAAATCTTCGCCGCCTACCAGCCTGTCTCGGCCAAGGTGGCTCTGCGTCCCATCCCCCGTTTCATGATCAAGAAGCTCCAGGCCCGCAATGAGCGCCGCAAGACCCGCGGATTCGGTTTCGTTAACCTGGCTTCGGAGGAGCTGCAGGCTAAGGCGGTCAATGAAATGAACGGCAAGGATATCGATGGTCGCGTGATCGCTGTCAAGGTCGCCATTGACAGCCCCGGAAAGGAGGACGATGTCAACGACGCTGCCGACAAGTACGACGAGGCGACTGCTCCCGCGGAGGAGAACGCCGCGCCCACCGAGGCTTAAATGCCGAACTTGATCAAATGCAGGTTGACTAGGGGGGATGTGAAATGGGACACGGAGGAATGTCATGGTAATGATCATGGGGGTCCCGGGGTCCACCCGGGAATACCATGAATATCTTAGCTACTCGATGATGATCGGGGATGAAGGACGAAGGGTGACGACTTTTTCTTTTTCTTTTTTTTAACACGATGACATGGAACGGATATCCATGCGCGGGAGGGCTATTGCTGATGCCTCCATCCCTAACGACCTTTGCCTTCTGCACTGTATCTTAGCACCCATTTAAAGCTGATGACGATCCACTTTTGTGTCGCCCGTAGATGGGGGTTGGCCGTAGACAAATCGCGATGACGCCAAGTCGACCCTTGCCGATCCACCCCAAACATTCTTTCTCTTCTCTCTTTCTTTTCCTCATCTCCCATCACCTTACTTCCGACGATTTCATTGCATATTGTATTTTCTCCCACCGCGATTCCATCAAGCTAAGTGGGGAAAACTGAAGGATCCGAAAAAGGGGCTCTTCAGCACCAAGCAGGCTCCCCGCTCCAACGTTCGAACCGGCCTCTCTTGCTACACGCACCCCCCGGGCTAGACGAAAATCACTCCGACCCTCCAATTGCTTCCACCGCCGCGGTTCTATATATTCAGTCATAATGTCTCGCATGTGGGAGGTCGATCCAGAGACAAGGAGCAAGGTGAGCCCCAGTGTTGCTCTCTTCCTGAACGTGACTGACAAATCCCCCGACAGCTCCTTCAGATCTCCAAGACCAATGGAAACGACAAATGCTGTGATTGTGGTGCTCCCTCGCCACAATGGGTAGGTTCCCATCCTGATTTCGAGGTCCTCGTAATGGATAACTCCCGGCATATTCTAACTCAAGTATTCCACTCTCAATCCAGGCCTCTCCCAAATTCGGCACTTTCATCTGTCTCAACTGCGCCGGCACACATCGCGGTCTCGGAGTGCATATTTCCTTCGTCCGATCCATCACCATGGATGCCTTCAAGAACGCCGAGATTCAACGCATGGAGCTGGGAGGCAACGAGCCCTGGAAGTCCTTCTACGACGCACACCCTGTGACAGTCTCCGAGGGTCGCACATTCGAGGACTCTACCATCAAAGAACGTTATGAAGGCGACGCAGGCGAGGAGTGGAAGGAGCGCTTGGCGTGCAAGGTGGAGGGTCGTGAGTATGTCCCGGGTCAAGAGAAGAAGAGCAATGTCTCGCGATCGAGTACACCGTTGAGTGTGGGAGCTGGTGGTGCTACCTCCGGAGCCCGCGCCGGGTCACCCGCAGCGTCGTCGATTCGGTCGGCTGAAGGCCAGCGAGGTGGGCCCATGGCCAGCAAGAAGGAGCAAAACGAGGCATACTTTGCGAAGCTGGGGTTAGAGAACGCCACGCGGTCAGATGCTCTTCCTCCATCCCAAGGAGGGAAGTTCACTGGCTTCGGAGGCGGCATGCCCCCGCCGTCTGCCGATGATCGCCGGGCTTCGGGGCTTGGAGGTTTCGGCGGGCTTGGAGGTTTCGGCGGGTTTGGGGGCTTTGGTGGTGGAGGATTTGGCGGAGGCGGCCAAGCTTTTGACGATCTCCAAAAGGATCCCATGGGCACGCTGTCCAAGGGCTTCGGGTGGTTTACTTCTACAGTAGGCAAGGGCGCCAAGACGGTGAACGATTCGTATCTACAGCCGACAGCCAAGCAGGTATGTGCTGTGATCTTTTGATGTTTCAGGGCGATTTTCCTCTACGGCCAATGTATGGCTGATCGTGATATTTTGTCACAGTTGGCCGAATCCGAATTTGCTGCCCAAGCCCGTGTCCAAGCGGCCAGCCTCGGACAGAATCTGCAGGCCGGTGCCCGCGGCGCTGCGGACCAGTTCAACCGCTTTGTTGAAGGACCCGAAGACGGCCATGGCGGTAACCGCTCCCACATGGAGCCTGAGCGCAGAGAGTTCTGGGACGATTTTGCGTCCCTTGGATCTGAAACCTCTGGCCATCGCCGGAGTGGATCGAAATCCGAGGTCATCGGCACTGCAGCCATGCGCAAAGGACCGGTGAATTCGTCCAGTGTTAACTCCTCTATTCCCGCTACGGCGGGCGACAGTACGGCGCCGGCCGGGGCTAGCAGCATTGAAGACGAGGGTGGTGCCGTATCCTCGACAGCCAAGGGAAAGCAAGACTGGGATGATAACTGGTAGTGTATGTGTCGGTGTGACATGGACCCGTCCCAGGTGCCATGATTTTATGCCAGGTGCCTCTTTTTCTTGTCTACTCATATACCTCCCTCTCTGATTGAATAGAGTTCCCTTTAGGGTTCGGAATTATGGATCACAGGGTTGCGTATGTTACATGTAGGCGCCAGTAGATATTCACCCAGAGAAAGCAGAACACGAATGATACAAATGAGATGCCATCGGCAAGATCCAAATAGAAATTCCAAGAGGGGGGTGGAAATCATCAGAAGCCGCCTCTTAGTTCCGCGAGCACGGCCTTCTGTCTCTGCGCAGACATAGTCTCAAACCGATCCACGCTCATCACAAAGGTGCCACGGCCGGCAGTGAGGCTGCGCAAGTGCTTCAGGTACCCAACCATCTCCTTGAGTGGCACCTTTGCTGAGATGGTGCGAGGCTGGGCCCTAGACATAGGAACCTCCACTCCGACAGAGGGGGTCTCGAATGGATCCAGCGGCGCGTACACGCGGGTGGGATCAATAGGAGACAGTGAATCTTCGTTTCGAGCAGTGCCCGGAGCAGGCGACGTGTCCGTTGCGGAGAGAGGCACATCCTCGTCCAGGGAAACAATGTGCCCACCACGGGAGGAGGAGATATCATGAACGACGGACCCGAGACTTGCTTCGTCGACACTTATGACAACGTTCATGACCGGCTCCATCATCACTGTTCCTGCGTTCGACACAACATCCCGGAGTGCGGCAGCCGTGGCTTGACGTGCGGCAGCAGAAAGGGCAGACGTGGTGGTTTCGTTGCTGAATAGGTGTTCCGCTGGGTCGAGGGTGAGAGTGACCTGCGTTTTGTGCATGGGGAATGTGAAATTGGGTCCTCGAGCGAGCGCGGCCAAAGCACCATTTTGAAACGCCGTTCGAAAGCCTGCAAGATCCAGGCCTGGTGGTAGGAACGGACTGGTCTTTCCTCCATCTCGGGACGAGTAATCGACTTGCAGACCGGGGGCCTGGATGATGATCCGGTTGCCATCGTTGGTTTCGGCGAGGATTGTGTCTTCGCTGGCAACGTGAGAGGCATCTTCCGTATCAAATGGTTCTACCAGAGCGGTACAGCCTGCTTTCCCTCGACGGCCAGCAATTTCTTTGTCGAAGATCTTGGTGACCGTGCTAGACGCGCCGAGCACCGTTTCTCGGTATCCGATCTCAATGCGGCCCATAGACGCCTTGGCCCGAAGGTCGTTGATCAGACGATCCCGTGCGATCTCCAAATGCAGCTCACCCATGCCGCTCAGGAGAGTTTGCCCAGATTCCTCGTCCACGGTGACGTGCAAGCTGGGGTCTTCTCGCAGGAGCAGCGCCAGTGCGTCCTGCATCCGCTTTTCCTCGCTCAGGCTGTGCGGCTCCACACTGGTGAAAAAGACCGGCGGCGGCACATCGATTGGTCGCAACTGAAGGGTATTTAGTGGTTCAGGCGGCGTCGCCTTGTTCCCTGCATAGGACACCAGGGTGTCTCCTGTCCGGGCATGTTTGAGTCCGACGACGACTCCAATATGACCGGCAGGTATGGAATCCACTTCCACTGCATCATTGGCATACATCTTCAACAGACGAGGTGCACGTTCAGAAACGTGCAAATTGGTGTTGAAAAGCAGGCTGTTGCGATCCAGCGAGCCCGAATATACCCGCACGTAAACCAGTACGCCACGCTTCGCATCATTGACCACCTTGAAGGCTAGGGCACAACTATGGAGCTTACTCATAGCGTCTTTGGCGTCCAGCGGGGATCCAGATTTCTGCTTCTTGGAAGATTTACCTTTGGATGCAGCAGATGCCTTCTCGCTTTGCTGCACGATCAGGTCGCCCGAAAGTAGCCCCCGAAGTCCTCCCTTGACACCATCAATGCTCACTTCTGGGTCTGGTGCTTCGGGCGGGCTTGGAAGAAAATTGACCACGGCATCCAACAAGGGTTGAACGCCCATATTTCGGAAGCTGGCTCCTGCGAAGATTGGAACAACCCGACATGTCGGCTCTAGGACGCATCGCCGTAGGCTTTCGGTGATATCGGCTGGGGAAACTGCGAGGTGATCTTCGTTACAGTCGAAGAATTTTTCCACGATGAACTCGTCGTACTCGCTGAGTAGCTCAACCAGTGCAATTCGTGCACGCCGAAGTTCTTGCGCCAGGGGCTGCTCTTGCGCGTCCAGCTGGGATAGACTAACCATTTTAGGTGTACGACCATCCTCCCCTGCGTGCCACCGCAGCGCTTGGAGATGGACCGCGTCTGCTATTCCGATGAAAGACTCATTCCCATTCTCGAACCAAGGGATCTGACACACTGCCGGATATACGTTCAGGCGCGAACTAACCTCGCGCACCGTTCGGCCAAATGCGGCACCATCCCGGTCTAGTTTGTTGATGTAGATGATCCGGGGGATTTGGTATGTGCTAGCCTGGTGCCATACCTGCTCGGTTTGGGCCTCGACCCCAGCCACACCGTCCAAGATGCAGACCGCGCCATCAAGGATGCGTAGAGACCGCATCACTTCAAACGTAAAATCGGCATGCCCGGGGGTATCGATCAAATTCACGGTATGCGGAACTGCAGACCGCGGAAGGGTTTGATCGTGTGCCGTTAACCCTCCATCGACCTCTCCGGGAGGCCAGTGAAAAGTGATGGCGGCCGACTGAATAGTAATGCCTCGAGCTCGCTCAGCAGGCAGAAAATCGGTCACTGTGGAGCCTTCATCCACATCTCCGATGCGTCGAGTGAAGCCACTGTAGAACAGCATGCGCTCGGTTGTCGTGGTCTTTCCCGCATCAATGTGGGCAATGATCCCAATATTGCGCGTCCGTTCCAGAGCTTCAGACAGGCATTTTGCTGAAGTCGAGAAGGATTGGCTCGGCTTGCGACGATATGCCAGGCCTTTGACCGAGGAATAAATCGGGTTCTGCGCGGACGTGATCCTATACAAATGGGAACTCAAGCAGTGCACCCCAGACTGGGGGCAGCGCAATAACCCGACAACCATCCCCGAGGATAAAGGTCCATCCAGTATGTACAAAGCAGTTTCAAATATACGAGGTCGATGGCATTGGTGATCGATGCAGTTGCGAAGGGAAAAAGTTGAATCAAAACTCGGGGGGGGGGCGGCTTGGCGTGCGCATTCCTCCAGGCGCAACTCTCATCTCGTGCACTTCTCTCTCTCTCCTCACACGACTCACTCAACTTCCCGAGGTCTTTCTCTTCCCTTCTAACTTGGCGTTATCGAGTCTTTAATATGCACTTTTGACGATCAGACCTGTCCGCTTGTTTTTTTAACCGCACGAGGTAGGTTTACTGACCTAGCAGCTATAGCTGGTCGTTGCTTGTGGGGACCCGTAGACCTCCATTGATCGCTGACGCCTGCCATACCGAGCAGCTCCCTCGTCTTTCCTTCAATCCCGGTGAAGACACTCTGTACACGCAAGCTTCGTCAGAATGGACTATTCGGCTATTTCCCACGATCCGGACCATCCCACCGATGCCTCACCTTGGGATTCTCCGCGGGCCGACCGAACCACGTTCCCCACCAGCAACAATGACATCCCGTCCTCCCCTCTCCCAGGCCACGAGAACTCCGTCGAGGAGACGGACAGAAGCAATGAGGGAGAAGCGCGATCTCCAGGTCTCTCCGCCCAGCTGCAGAGTGCCCAAATAGGCGACTCCGGCTATACCGAGCCCCCCCCCATTTGCTGCTCAGCACTCCCCTCCGGCACCACAGCAGCCCTCACCTCTGCCCGCACAATATCAGACTGCGACAAGCCCAATAGCTCGAGCATCCGCTCCGACCTACAGGATTCAGGGGAAAATTACAGGTCTGGAAAGGACAGGGAAGAAGGATCCGATCCTGCGCTTCGATGTCCACGTAGGTTGACTTCATTGAGAAAGATACGCTCGAAAAAGGGCTAATTCGTGTTCATTTCCTGCCTTCAGACCAACATCCCCAAGTTCCGTACAACCCAATATCGCGATGTCCGCCGCACTCATTCCGAGTTCACCAAGCTTGCAGACCACTTGATCTCGGCCAATCCGGAAGCCCTGGTCCCCGCCGTGCCGCCACCGGTAACGCCTGCGGGTGCCGGCACGGACGAAGATGAACTCAGGGTCAAAGCGGCAATGCAGCGGTGGCTCAATGTCGTACTCAGTAACGAAGTTCTCATCCAGGATGATGAGGTGGTACTATTCGTGGAAAGTGACTTTGGCTATAGCCCCATGTTACGGATGAAACAGCCGGCCACGGGAGTGCGTCGCAAGATGCTGAAGCAGTTCGCGCCGCCACCAGATGACACACCAGAGTTGCAAGCTGCTCGGCCTGCTGTGAAGATGTTGTACTTGGGAACGATGGATTCGAGCCACAAGGTCGATCGTGTTGTCAAGGCCCGTCGAGGTATACCATTCTGGAGAATGCCTTTGGCATGTTTCGTTCGCTAATCTAATGTATCACAGGCTTGGGATTGGCCGAGTCGGATTTTGGTGTGAAGCTCGGTCAGATGCATGTACAAGAGACCCATCCCGGCCTGGGCGCCGCATACCGCAAACTCGGCAAGATCATTCAAACTATGGGCGACTATCATGCAATCCAGGCAACGGCCGAGGCCACGACCCTGGGAGAGCCATTGAGCTACCACTCATCCGATGCCTTTATCGTGAAAGAGACTCTGACCAATCGGCACATTCTTCTTCGCGATCTCCTCCAGGCCCAGCAGAGTGCCCGCAACAAGCGCGCCGCGGCAGATCGGTTGAAGGTCAGCTCGTCTGTCCGGCCTGACAAGGTCGATGAAGCGATTAATGCGCTCGAGGAGGCCCAGAATCATGAGGACTATCTTACCAAGCGGACTCATAGGGTGACCAACAACCTCGTTCATGAAAAGCGGCGTTGGTTTGACCGGACCACCAATGACCTCTTGTTCAGCCTGCGTGAATATACTTTGCGCCAAATTGAAGCGGAGCGCCGCACCCTGGCGACCCTGGAAAGTGTGCGACCGGACATCCGGTCCATCGATGCGTCGGGTGGCCTGAGCCGACTGGGTCGCGAATCCCACCCCAGCACGCGTCGGCTCAACCTTTCGTCAAGTCAAGGCCCGAAAGGTGACGCTTGGAGTGGTGTTCCTCGCCGCAATGACAACCTAGGTCGCAGCTTGAGTGGCAGCTTCGCAGCGCCTGTGGTCCCCGAGGACGAGCCCGAGGAGGCGCCAGGCCAGGGCAAGGGATGTGGACGATCCACCAGCCAGGCGGGATCGATTGCAGAAGACGACGATGACCGGCTTGATGCGCGTAACGCGGCGAGTCGCCTGGCTACCAGCACATTCTGATATCCCGAGTTCGATTGTGTACATGTTTCCTGCGCACATGATTCCCCGTTGGCTGTATATTTCTTTTTTTTTTTTTTTTCTTGTTCTGTGTTCTTCCATGTCCTTTTCTACGTCCCTGCGATCATGACATGAGTCTTACTATAGCAAATTTTCTAGAGTATGACTGGCGCTGGTAGTATTCAGTTCTCACATCACCGCCATCTTGCGGACATTCGTAGACCGTGGCTGAGAATATCTTTCTGGAAATTCATTCTTCCCACTCTTGGTACTTTTCCGCCCCATCCCCTTCAGGCACTTCATACCACGATGCTTTCTCCTTGAGGAAAATATGAGCTCGAGGCAATGGAATCGGACCCTCTCCCTCATCCAGAGTTCCCGCAGCCAGGGCGATCTCCTCGGGATACCGATCTAGTATCATGCTGAGGGTCGAACCGCATCGCGGGCAAAAGCTGCGAGTGGCAGAGGTACTGGATCGCCGACCCGTGGGGTAGACCTGCCACTGGACATGCGTCGCAGGGAAAAAGGCCCAGGTCTGGTAGGGAGCACCGGCCTGTTTGCGACAGGTTGTGCAATGACAGTTCACCGGAGCGCTTGGGACGCTGGTAGTCGTGTACCGAACGTAATGACAGGCGCAGCTACCCGAGGCCATCGTGAAAGTTGCAGGCTTCGAGATATCGCAGGATCGTCGGGTGTGGGGTAAGTAAATGGTGCTTCAGAACAGGCCCTGACATCATGCGGAACCAAGAAAAAACGCCGAGGGGTGAGGATATCCGCGAAGTATCCGACATGATCCTCACACAAGGCCACGTCAACAAGGTCAGTAGGCTTCTCTAGGCTTACTGGATTGACGAGCTCTCATAACGATCTCGAAATGTTGCAACCCCCTCTCGGGCCAGGTGCCTTAGTTGATTTCAAAGCAGCGATGGAGCCACGCGTGTCGTCTCTCGCTGGACTTATTCTTTCTCTTCCTCTTTCCCTTCACCATTCCTCACTGTATCTGTACCATGGCTCCTCCCAAGGTCTTCCTGTAAGTCGTCTTTCCCCACCAATCGACTTGGTACTCATCTAGAGTCTTCACAGAACTGGCGTCACCGGCTATATTGGGGGTGATGGTTTATTCGCCGTCGCCCAGGCTCACCCTGACTGGCAGCTCTCAGCCCTCGTCCGCAACAAGGATAAGGCTGCCCAGCTCACGAGCAAATACCCCCAAATCCGCGTGGTGCACGGCAACCTGGACTCTGCTGACCTCATTGAGGAAGAGGTAAAGAATGCTGACATTGTCTACCGTAAGTGCACCGGTGTATTTGTGATACGTATAAAAGAGACCTGCTGGATTGACAGGTTGCTCTTTCTCCCACCCCAGACTTTGCCGACTGCGACCACGTCGGCGCAGCTCAAGCGATTGCCAAGGGTGTTCAACACCACACCCCCGAACGCCCTGTGTGGTTGATCCACACTTCTGGCACTGGCATTTTGACGGTCGAGGATCAACGCGCCCGCTCGTATGGGATCGAGCGCCCCAAGGATTACAACGACTGGGAGGGCGTCAGCGAGCTTGTCAACCTCCCCGCCGACGCCTTTCACCGGAATGTGGACGAAATCATCATCCATGCCGGTCAGCAAAACTCAGCCAGCGTGCACACTGCGGTCGTGTGCCCACCCACCATCTACGGGCCGGGTCGTGGACCTGGCAACACCAAGAGTGTCCAGGCATATTTGCTGAGCGCCGCCGTGCTGAAGCGCAAGAAGGGCTTCCTCGTCGGCAAAGGTGAGAATGTCTGGCACCAGGTTCACGTTCAAGATCTAAGCAATGTCTACCTGGCACTGGGCGAGGCTGCTGCTGAAGGTGGTGGCAAGGCTACTTGGGGCGACGAGGGCTACTACCTTGCTGAGAATGGTTCATTTGTCTGGGGAGACATCCAGCGAGCCGTTGCGCAATCCGCCTTCGACCAGAAGCTCATCCCATCCCCCGAGGTCGAATCCCTGGATGATGCCCAGATCACCGAGATTCTTTCTGTCGGCTTGTATGCCTGGGGATCCAATTCCCGGGGCCATGCAATCCGTGCTCGTAAACTTTTTGGCTGGACGCCACAACAGCCAAAACTGATTGATCTTATCCCCGACATTGTGGCGCTGGAGGCCAAGGACCTCGGTCTGTGAGACAAGCTCTTTCTATGAACCATGAGTTTAAAATAGTTAAAAAAAAATACATTCATTTCCAACGGAGCGATGGCGGGATGTATATGACATTGTTTCTAAGATATTTTTTTTTTTGGATTTCATTTTCATTTCAATTGGTTCGTTCGTCCACTGGCACTGATTCCGATATATACTCTTCCAAGACATCGTCGAGTATATTCATTTACATCACCCACAGAAAGCTTCAACCTTAGAAAGTATTAGCTTTGCAAAATATGAGAAATTATGATAAGGACATTTATTGATTACTCTGTCTATTGTGTCATGTGAATAATCGCCTATTGTCGATTCAGATCAATGGCGCGGGTGCCTAGACACCTCAGGCAATCAACGTGGTCTCCGTCTTTCATCCGACCAAACCTACCTGTGAACCTCCATCGCCTCATCTCCACCTTGCTTCATCTGCTTCCCCCTTCTCTTCTCACATGGAGTTCTTTCGTTGGTATGCTTATCTATTCTTTCACATGTATCTGCATATTCCATCTCTGCTCCACTCACCACAATTTCTCACAATCCTTTTTTTCTCGTACAGATTCAACCCCATGAGTTGCAGTCTCTTGGGATCCCATCCCACCCTATCTGTGCTACGCGTTTAACCTGGCCCATCCGCCATGGCGCCTGGGCACGGTGGCAAGAGAAAGCGCAGCGAGCGCGCATGGTCCGGTGACTCAGCGAATAACGACAGCTCGAGGCCTTCTCCCCATCGCCCCGGCACACTCAACATGGCGCGACACCCTCATCACGCAGGGAGCCAATCCAACCAACATCGAGACCAGCCTGATTCACGCGACCGATCCCGCCGGCAGTCGAATCGCTCAGTTGGTGGTCGGCCTTCTTCTCGTCGCGGATCTCACGATGGTCAGAATTTTCCAAGCTCACAGCAGAAGGAACAGGGCGCGATGTCTCCCCCAGCCCCGAATCAGCACAAAGAGGTTGCTGAGCCCACCCAGATCAATGGGGAACCTGCGCTCCAGCTGGTCTCGTCTTCAGTGCCCAATGCTCCTGCGTCACAGCCGCAACCCCGTCCCCCGTCCCGAGCTGGCTCCGAAGCCACGGTCCGCCGTCCGTCCGTCCCGCCCACTCCTTACGATTATGAGTATGTCACGGATGGCGCGGTCACAGAGTGGGGATTGACTGGGAAACAAAAGGTCGTGGAAGAAGGGATTGCGGCCCGCTTGCAGCAGGATCTCGCTCGGTTGGCATCGGTCTACCAGGAGCTTATTCGGTCTGCCATTTACGGCCGTTTATCGTCAGCTGATGCCGGGGTCGCCGTCAAAGAAATAATAGACGAGGAGCTAGTGTCGCAGGATGTGGATATGGAAAGGGCCGTCGACAGAGCTTCAACATCCGAATTGGACCCTCGATCTTTATTCCTTGATACCCTTTCCATCGTTACGGACGCAGACACATCCAACCCGGCCCTTCGACCTCTCGTGTTTGCCACAAATATCTCCCCAGCCCTGATGCGCTTGCAGCTTGATACCCCTTTGTTGCAGTCACTGGGCTTGGTCCGTGAAACCTTTGCACGCATGGGGATTCGCAAGCAGACCAATCTCCTCTACCGGCAGTCTAATTATAATCTGCTCAGGGAAGAGTCCGAAGGATACTCGAAGCTTCTCACCGAGCTGTTTACCACTAGCAGCAACGAGCCGCCGTCAAGTGAAGTGGTCGAAGATACGTTCGAGAAGGTGAAGGCTATGGTTGGGGCATTTGATATGGATGTTGGCCGAGTTCTCGATGTGACGCTTGATGTCTTTGCTGCAGTCCTGGTTAAGCAATACCGATTCTTTGTGAAGCTCCTGCGGGCTAGCTCCTGGTGGCCCAAGGATGACCCAGCTCACTGCATCGACAGTGGCCGTCCCAATTCGAGGCTACCAAACTGGGCCTTGCCTGGCTCAACGGGCTGGGTAACAACGGAAGAGGAACGTGCGACCATCATGCAGGCCAACGAGCAGCGCGACCGAGAGTTCTGGGATCGAGTGAGACAAATCGGCATTCGCGCCTTTTTCGAGATTGGTCGTCAACCGATTTCCGAGGATGAAAAGCAACGGGCATTTCCAGATGCGAACGGGCAGCCCGAGGAAGACGTGACTCGCACTTGGATTGAAGAGACCGGGGCCCTACCGCCAAAGGGAAACCGGGTTGCGGCGCAACTTCTCGGGTTCAAGCTACGATTTTACTCCTCATCGGCTCGTGCCAAATCTGATGTTCTTCCCGACAATCTCATCTACTTGGCGGCTCTGCTAATCAAAGTGGGCTTCATATCCCTGCGAGACCTCTACGCCCACCTTTGGCGACCCGATGATTCGATGGATACACTGAGAGACGAAAAGATGACGGAAAAAGTAGAGAGAGAGAGGGCAGCTCGACCCGGTGGCGGCGTAAACGCTCTGATGATGGCTGGTGCTCTTTCGGACGACACGCTCCCTGGCCCCCGTATGCGTGAATCGGAGTCACGGGCGACCCCTTCGAAAGAACAGGAATTCGAGAAGCAGAACGCAGCCAGAACAGAAGACTATCTACCAGACCCTTCGGACCAGAAGGTACTGTTATTAAAAAGTCTTCTCGCCATTGGTGCTATCCCTGAATCCTTGTTCGTCATGAGCAGATTCCCCTGGTTAATGGATGTCTACCCCGAATTGCCTGACTTCATCCACCGGATTCTCCATCACGCTTTGAGCAAAGTCTATAACCAATTGCGGCCCTTGTCATCCATTGAAGATTTCCCCGGACAGCAACAAATTCCGAGCCTCGATCAATCTAGTGTGGGAAAGGGACAAATTCGACTTGCACCATCACCACCCAGGCGAGTTCTGCGTTGGGCTCAGCTGGATAAAGAAGACACCAACGATGGCACCGACTATCGGTTTTACTGGGATGATTGGGCCGACAGCATACCCATTTGCCAGACTGTGGATGATGTCTTTGCGCTGTGCTCCTCATTCCTGAATCTCTCCGGCCACAAGATTGGGCAAGATGCGAGTTTGTTGACGAAACTTGCGCGAATTGGCAAGAACAGCTTGGTCAAGGACGGGTCAGATCAGAACAAAACTCGATGGCGAGACCTCTGCAAGCGGCTGCTGTTGCCCGCTGTCAGTCGTACGAAGGAAAACCCTGGCGTGGTCAACGAAGTTTTCGATCTGGTCAGTTTCTTCCCTCGTGACGTCCGATACAACATGTACGCAGAGTGGTATGCGGGCCAGACATCACGACTGCCGGACATCAAATCTGCCTTTGACCAAGCCCGTTCGGAGACCAAGGACGTTCTCAAAAGGCTCAGCAAAACCAACATCCGGCCAATGGCCCGTGCGTTGGCCAAGATCGCTTTCGCCAACCCGGGAATTGTCATCAACGTCGCAATCAACCAGATCGAGTCCTACGAAAATCTCATCGAAGTTGTGGTTGAGTGCGCGCGCTACTTTACCTACCTGGGATATGACATTCTGACCTGGTCGCTTATCAACTCGCTTGGCCAAAAGGGACGGAGTCGTGTGCAGGAGGGCGGCTTGCTGACCAGTCGATGGCTGAATGCCCTGGCCACCTTTGCTGGTCGCACCTTCAAGCGGTACTCGGTGATGGACCCCACCCCGCTGCTCCAGTACGTTGTGGAGCAACTTCGGCACAACAACTCGACCGACCTCATCGTGTTGGAGCAGATGATTAGCTCAATGGCTGGTATCATCACTGATAACAGCTTCAATGATGCCCAGATCCAGGCCATGGCCGGAGGGGACGTTCTCCAATCACAGACTATTTTGCAACTGCTGGATAAGCGACACGAGTCCAAAACTACTTCCAAACGGCTGCTGAAGTCATTGACTCACACCAGACTCGCTGGGCAATTGCTGGTTGCAATTGCCCAAGAGCGGTTGACCTGTGTTTACCACGAGGAGTCTTCGGAGCTCAAACTGCTAGGCAATATCTTCGACGAGATCCACCGCATCCTCACCCAGTATCTCGATTTGCTCCTCAGTAATTTGTCGGTAGACGAGTTTGATTCCTTTGTTCCCAACTTTGAATCTCTCATCAAGGAGTTCGGCATTCAACCTGAGATCGCCTTCTGGATTCGGCGCGTCAGCGTCTCCCGGAAGATTGCGGACGTCGAACAATCGAAGGAGGAACCAGACGCCCCCGTGAAGGCAAACTCCGGCAATGCAGTGCCTGCGTCAACGTTCGAGGACAATAACAAAATGGACACTGCCGATGACGGGAAGTTACCCGCGAAAAAAGAAGGACCGCCTGCAGGGGATAATGCTATGGATGTCGACAAGACTGAACAAGGAACCGACTCTACTCCCGTCCCTATCGCCGAACCCTTGGCTTCAAACCCTGTAATGCAGGATCTGATCGATAACGTCAAATCCGCCTTGCCATCCGAGACGTGGGAAGTGGTGGGTCCCCATTTCTACGCAACCTTCTGGCAGCTTGGCCTCTACGATGTGCATATCCCTCAAAAGGCTTACGAGGACGAGATCGACCGGTTGAAGCGACGGGTCGTGGCCATCAACAATGATCGGTCTGATCTCAGCATGGCAGGCACGCAGCGCAAAGAAAGAGAGAAGAAAAATCTTACCCAGCTGCAGGAGCGGATTCTAGAGGAGAACAAAACTCATCTGAAGACATATGGGCAGACGCGCGCGAGGTTGCAGAAGGAGAAGGACCGTTGGTTTGCCGGTATGCGCCTCAAACATGATGCTCTGAATGTGGCACTGCTAGAGCAGTGCTTTATACCTCGGCTGCTCCTGTCTCCTCTTGATGCATTCTTCAGCTTCAAGCTGCTCAAGTTCCTGCATATCTCGGGAACACCCAACTTCCGGACCGTTGGGCTACTTGATCAGCTCTTCCGTGAACAACGGCTCACGGCACTCATTTTTCTGTGCACATCCAAAGAAGCTGACAACCTGGGACGTTTCTTAAACGAAATCTTACGTGATCTCACGCGATGGCATGCCGACAAGTCTGTCTACGAGAAGGAGGCGTTTGGCACCAAGAGAGATCTTCCAGGATTTGCGAAAAATGTGGACCCCGAGGGCACACCGGTCATGTTCTTGGAGTTTGAAGATTTCCGACGCCTTCTCTACAAGTGGCACAGACTGCTGTCGAATGCGCTCAAGGCATGTCTTAATGGAGGCGAGTACATGCACATACGCAACGCCATCAGTGTTCTCAAGGCAGTGGTCCAGCATTTCCCGGCTGTGAACTGGATCGGCCGTGATATGCTGAATTCTGTCAATAACCTGAGCAAGAATGATGACCGGGACGACGTCAAAATCCCCGCAGCTTCACTGATTGGTGATCTCAACCGACGAGAGAAAAAGTGGATGCTTCCGCAGGCGTTCAACCTTGTGAAGGCCCAAGCTGACGCCGGTCAACCCAAAACGGGCTCTGTACCCCCAACCGATGCCTCTGGAAAGCCCGGGACTCCGGGACCCCAGCCCACCACCTCGACACAACTCAATGCGACAGCCGCGGAGTTCAACCCCCTCGGCGCCCAAGAGTAAGTCATTTTGTCTAGACACAGGCTGGATCGAAGACTAATATTTCGATCAATTTTTAGTGCGGAGAGTGCTGCAAAACAGGAGCCCTCCGGTAAAGCCGAAGTTGAGGATGGCGAGATCGAGGATGCGAAGATGACGAATATTTCCCCTGGCCAAAGCTTGGAGGAAGCAAAACAGCTAGTCGGTGCGGCGACACTCTCTCAAGCGGAATCGACCCCAACAGCTGCGGACTCAGCTAACGCCATGGACACGACGCCGGGCCCAACATCCGCTGATCGCTCTACTACCGCAGTCGAACGTGTACAGACCGAACCACCCGTGCGACCCCGCCCAGGCTCTCGGACCGCCGAGTCAGGGCGTCAAGCAGACCTCCCAAAACGACCGGAAATCGAGCGCTCCGCGTCGAATACCACACCTCGCCAGCAATCTCACCTACCCCGTCTGCCACGACACGGCGATGGAAGACTGCCCCCGCGCCCTGAGTTGATGGATGACCGCCGAGACAGGCACCATGACTTCAACCCTCGCACTCGCCACGGAGCCAGTGGTGTTGACCATGGGCGCTCGTTTGATAGTCCCGCAAGTGAATTTCGAGGCCATGGGCGTCATGGTGACCGCGATCGCGACTTTGCGGCGAGACTCCCTGGTGATGAGCCAATGCGTGGCCCGCCTTACCGCGAGGGTCGGCTGCCGCGGGAGCAGGATTGGCCGTCTGATCGCCCTGGACGACTGCGTCCCCCTTCGGACTCGTTTCATGGGCACGGTGAACTCATGCCCGAGTACCCTGACCGACCAGGCGATGGTCCGCGGCGCGGAGATTTTCCAAGACCCGATAAAGACGACCGAAGGCCTTACCCCCCTCGTCCTTTGTCGCCACGATCTGACTTACCCAACCGCCCCGAACGATTCCCCGCCGATGACCATCGGCCTGCCTCCTTTCCTCAGCCTGTCCGCCATGAAGACTTCCCACGAGGCCCCCGCACCGACCGTCCTGTTGATGCTAGGGATGGTGGGTTTGGCGCCGATGTGAACCAAGGTCGGTTGCGTCAGCCCGAGATCCCATCAGATATTCCTTCTGGACCTCGGGGACGGCGTGGCGGGCGTAATGCTTCGGGTCAGCCTCCAGTGCCCGGCAATGGCCGCGCACCAACTCCCGAACGCCATCTGCCTACTGGCTCCGGCCGACAGAGCGGGCGTGGAGCCCCCGAGCAAGCGGCATCGGCAACAGCAGCTCCCACCGCTGAAGCCCTTAATATCGCAGGCATTCATCCTGATCGGCTCAAACATATTGTCCAAGAGCCACCGTCTCAGCAAGCACCCTCTGCTGCTATGACCCCTCCCTCGGGGCCACGCGGTGGATCAGGTACACAATCCGCACCCCGTGGACCATCGTCTGGGGCAGGCTTCGGTGGAGAACGTGGACGCGGTGATAAACGGTTCGCCGGTATTAATACCATGCTCCAACAATCCGGTGGACCTGTTGATCGCGGTGGCGCCACTCCGCCAATGCGCGGGAGAGGTGCAAACCGACAATCCGGGTACGTGAACGCACCCTCTCCACAACCATCGGGTCGCCCGTCCCTGGGCCCTGGCCCGCCTGAGGATGACAGCTCCTCGCGCAAAGGCACTGGGCGAGGCGGTGACTTGATCGATGACGCAGGCCTCGAATCTCGCCGCTCAGGGCGACACGGCGACCGGGATCGTGAGCGCCGCAGCAATGAGACCAACGGCGGCGGAAGCCGGCGTGAGGAGCATCGCGAGCGCGGCCGAGACCATGATCGCGAACGCAGTCGTCGGGGTGATGTAGCTGGCGGAGCAGGTCGAGACGAGAAGGAGCGTGATCGAGAACACCATGCTGAACCCCGCCAATCCCTCCGACGAGCTCCAAGCTCACGAGAAGAAATGCGGCGGCGGGACCGGCGCGAGCGGGACGATGGAGCACCGGAGACCGGCGGACCTGCGGCCAGCACCGGTCAGATCCACGAACCTGAGGGTCGTGCTCGTCCGCCTTCATCGATGGGCGTCCCGCCGCCGCCACCCCCTCCACCACCCCCTTTGCCCGCGGATGCAAACGACCGTCGCTGGGGACCTGGGGATCGGGGCAACCGGTCTGACAACCGGGATCGCGAACGAGAACGTCGAGGTGACCGCGGACGTGATCGAGATCGCCGCGACAGTGGCCCTGGCCCCCGCAAGCGCGGTCGTCAAGGCCAGGAAGACCACTCAGGAGATGGGCCGCGAGGAACCAGAACGGGTGACAACAAGCGTCCCCGGCGTGGGGCGTGATATTTTCTGCATGTACTTTGGTGTATTCGGTTGATGTCAGGATCTCACGATAGATTCCCCGCGTTTCTTCTGTTTTTCTTTGTAGTATGCATTCTGACTGGTGTTGGGGATCCCCATCCGCTTTGCTTCTAGCTGATGTTATTTATCCTTTTTTCTAATTTCAATTTATTTTTCTTTTGAGGATGCCAACCTGGAAGTTGTCAATGACTTCTTTTTTGACTCAGGCTCCACGGCCCGACGAGCCGCCTCCCCACTCCCGCGCGCTCCATCGGCTAAACTTCGGGCGCTGCTCCGTACCGGTTTGAGCGATGTGGATGCATGCGAGAGGTTGTGTGTGTGTGTGTGCGGACTGGGGAGGGTTCGGGTTTTAAGGATCGGCTGCTGCATTACCTCGAGGCGGGCTCGATTTTCTTGACCATCTCTCCAGAACCAACCTTGGTGGATATTTTGGTGCAAACACTTTGTTATCTTCCCTGTGATATTGTCGTTTTATTTCTATTCTTCCTTTCGTGTCTGATCTGGGCAAGACTCATTTCTGGGTAATCGCATTGCATCATCGCCATGGGTCGGATTGACGTCGACGAGGCCATCGAGGAGCTGACGCTAGGGGAGAAGGTGGCTCTCACTGCCGGTAGGATGTTCCTTAGTAAAGCTTTTATTGATTGATTGATTTTTTTCCCTGCGGGTTCGACATCTTCTTGAGGCTCACTCGCTTTCAGGACGCGACTTCTGGCATACGGCCTCGGTGCCCCGCCTCAACATCCCCGCCTTGCGTATGTCGGACGGTCCTAACGGAGTTCGTGGCACTCGCTTCTTCAATGGAATTCCCGCCGCGTGCTTTCCCTGCGCAACAGCTCTGGGTGCAACCTGGGATACTGAGCTGCTATCCCAGGTTGGCCGGCTGATGGGTGAGGAGGCGATCGCTAAGGGCACGCATGTGGTCTTGGGCCCGACGATCAACATCCAACGATCGCCGCTCGGTGGGCGCGGGTTCGAGTCGTTTTCAGAGGATGGTGTGCTTTCTGGAACTTTGGCCGGCCATTTCTGTAAAGGTATGCAGGAGAAGGGTGTTGCCGCCACGTTGAAGCACTTCGTCTGCAACGATCAGGAGCATGAACGCATGGCCGTGAGCAGCATCCTCACCGAGCGTGCCCTGCGCGAGATCTACCTGCTTCCATTTCAGTTGGCCATGCGTATATGTCGCGCAGCCTGTGTGATGACCGCCTACAACAAGGTCAATGGCACGCACGTCAGCGAGAACAAGGCCATCATTGATGATATCCTACGTAAGGAGTGGAAGTGGGATGGTGTGGTCATGAGCGACTGGTATGTACCTTACTCGACATCGACATCTGTCGTCCTCCTCAGGATGGATTGAATCGTATTCTAACTAGAGTTGCTAGGTTTGGCACTTACAGCACGTCGGATGCAATCAATGCCGGGCTTGACGTTGAGATGCCCGGAAAATCCCGCTGGCGGGGAGAGGCCCTGGCACACGCGGTGTCCTCCAACAAAGTGGCTGAGTTCAAGCTGGACGAGCGTGTGCGTAATGTACTTAACTTGGTGAACTGGGTCGAGCCTCTGGGGATTCCCGAGGGCGCGCCTGAAAAAGCACTCAACCGACCCGAGGACCAAACCTTGATGCGGCGCGCAGCTGCTGAGTCGGTGGTGCTTTTGAAGAATGATGGCGGGGTCTTGCCATTGAATAAAGATGGATCGGTGCTGGTCATTGGGCCCAATGCTAGGATCGCCTCCTACTGTGGTGGAGGGTCGGCGTCGCTGGCCCCGTACTATACCGTGACTCCGTTTGAGGGCGTGTCCGCCAAAAGCCAGGGGGAGACCCGATTCACCCAGGGAGTGTATTCACACAAAGAGTTACCCCTTTTAGGTCCGCGCATGAAGACTCTCGACGGCAAAACTGGCTTTACGTTCAAGGTTTACAATGAGCCGCCGAACTCGGGTCAAGAGCGCCAAGTCGTGGACGAGTTGGACTTGGTTGAGTCCTCGGGCTTTTTGATGGATTATGTGAACCCAAAGATCAGGTCGATGACCTACTATGTCGATATGGAAGGCCTGTTCACCCCCGAGGAAGATGGACTGTATGACTTTGGTGTGACGGTTGTGGGTACCGGCCGACTTCTCGTGGATGGCGAGGTGGTGGTCGACAACACCGAGAACCAGAAGCAGGGGTCAGCCTTTTTCGGTACCGCGACCATTGAGGAGCGAGGAACGAAGAATCTCAAAGCGGGACAACCCTACAAAATCCTGTTTGAATTTGGCACTGCGCCTACCTCGGATCTAGATACCCGCGGCATCGTGGCCTTTGGACCTGGAGGGTTCCGATTTGGTGCCAGCCGGCGTGTCGGCAAGGAGGAGTTGATATCTACGGCAGTCAAAAAAGCGGCATCTGCCGAACAGGTGGTGATCTTCGCGGGACTGACGAGTGAGTGGGAAACGGAAGGCCACGACCGCGAACACATGGATCTGCCTCCGGGCAGCGACGAGCTCATCCACCGCGTGTTGGAGGTGAACCCGAATGCTGTGGTGGTGATCCAATCGGGAACTCCCGTGGCGATGCCGTGGGTGAACGAGGCGCGGGCAATCGTACAAGCCTGGTTCGGCGGCAACGAGTGTGGCAACGGGGTTGCCGACGTGCTATACGGCGATGTGAACCCTTCTGCTAAGCTGCCTGTGACGTTTCCCCGGCGCTTGCAGGACAACCCTTCGTACATCAACTTCCGCTCCGAGCGTGGCCGCGTGCTGTACGGCGAAGACATTTACGTCGGCTATCGCTACTTTGAAAAGAGCGATGTGGCACCGGGATTCGCCTTCGGCCACGGTCTGTCCTACACCACCTTCACGCGATCCAACCTGCACATCGCTACGGTACCCGAGCAGCGCATTTTCTCGGAATCCGGTGAACTCATCACCGCTACGGTCATCGTCACCAACACTGGCTCTCTGGCGGGCGCTGAGATCGTTCAGCTCTGGATCATTCCGCCGCCGACGGATGTCAACCGGCCTCTTCGGGAGCTCAAGGCATTCCACAAGGTATTCTTGCAGCCCGGCGAGTCCAAGACAGTGGATCTCGTAGTCGAGAAGAAGCTGGCCACCAGCTGGTGGGACGAGCAGCGAGAGCAATGGATCTCAGAGAAGGGCAGCTACACTGTCCTTGTGACTGGAACGGGCTCGGAGGAATTGCGTGGCGAGTTTGAGGTTGGCAAGACGAGATTCTGGCTGGGGCTGTAGGCTGTGGTTTTGAGACTAGTTGAACTGATTTGACTATTTTACAATCCATTGCTTTTGAAAATGAGCCATGTCAATGAAAAAATGATGCAGCTGGAAGACACAAGAGAGTATATACACAGGTGAAAAAAAAAGCAGTATACCAAAAGCCAAATAATGCGCCACCCCTAGTTGCCTCGTCTGAATTCTATCAAACACCACGCCCATCCACAGCTCCGGTTAATCACTCGCTTCGACTGTTTGTCCTGGTGGATTTTGGGCGAATGGATCCGTCACTTTCCGCCACATTCCTAGGCCCGCCAACTTTCGTAGCAACTGAGATGCTCGTCCGCGTTTGTGCCCAGGTTGAACACTAGGAGCTGCCATGGAATAAATTGTTGGATGGTGATGTCGGGCACGATACAGATCTGGGATGTCGCGGCTTGTGTCCTCCGTGGCAAGACTCCCTCTCGAAGCATTGCGGAAGATACTGGAGTCCCGACTTTCCCAGGGGGCGTCGGTGACCAATCCCTGGGAAGCAAAGGCTTTGAGTAATTGACAATCACTGTAAAATCGGCGGAGCGGAGGACCCGACGAGATTGGCAATTTTTGACCATTTCTTTGAGATGAATCTTTCCCAACATCAGGTTGACGGAGATGTTGGATATCCACACTGGCTTGGAGCCAGGTCACCCCTTCAGCCCCGAGACCTGTATCACTCGCTTTGGCATGGCTATTTTCGACATGTTCAGCACACGGGGATTGCGGCTGGCCTTTACTTCTTGGACTACCGGGCAATGACTGTCCCAGGGGAAATTGGAGGTCCAGCTGCGGAGGACTATAGGGAAACAGCCCGGGACTCGAGGAGCGGGATCGGGAAGTGATATCTGCGTCAAAACTCATACCCCGGGAACGGCCTCGGGCCAGCGTTTCTTCCTGAGGTGGGGAAATCGAGAGATATTTTTCATAGAACCTCGCGCTGCCCGTAGCAGCCCCAGGCTGTTCGGAAGAATCGGAGCCCATTGCGACCCCAGAGTCATGTTTGTCCTTGGAAGACTGGGTCTCAGCCCCGAGATCTTTCGGGTGAGGTAGACAGGCCGCCTGATCGGAGGATACTGCGAGAAGTTTCTGCCTGGATTGCACGGGCTGATGTGAATTGGCAGATGGCGGCACTTGAGCTTCAGTCTGGGGGAATAAACCAGTCGGGATTCCTCGCTCGACACTATGTGCCAGAAGTGTACAAGCGTGTTTGACGTCAATCTCCAAATCGGTGTCAATTTTTGGTCGGTCGATCAACGGGGAAACGGGACGAAAGAATCCTGGCTCATCGGTGAAGTCGTCCTGTCGGCTTGCATCATACTGCCACGGCAGATCTCCTGAGGTTGAAGAGCCTGGGGTTGAAGAGCGTGGACTTGTAGCTGAACGGGGACGGGTGCTGGACTGGTTGGAACCGGGAGATGTGATCATCGTCGAGTCCCTCTCTCCGGCCTGGGATCCACGGGTGAAGGTGAAGCGGCGGCGCATCTTGGTTGCCTTTTTAGATAGCTTGCGCTCCATCCTAACGGGTTGTTGAATGGATTGATTGCCGCGAGAGAACTTGAATGGCGCAACAAAGCGATGTTCTGGTGGCCTTCTTTTCTGGATGAATCGGAAGAAGGGATGTTTGAGCAAACAATGAGAGGGCCTTGCCAATGCCGGTAATACACCGTGTGAAAATAATGCCAGTGGCAAAAGGGACGCCAGCAATCTCGAGCTTGTTGTGCGCAACGGGGTTTCTTCAAGTAGACCCCGAATTATGCGATGCTAATTTGGTTGTTTAATTGGGGAGTCGCGAGTTGGCCGTGCAACCATACGGTATGCGGGGTGTGAAAACGGAGGCCCAGGAATGACACGGGAAAACAAAGCACAGGGCAGATAAGAATGGCCAGACTCACTCAATCTGAATGTCCAAGGACACAAAGATAGCACGGACCCTCGAGTCAGCCAAGGCCGCTAAGTGTCATCTATTGAGTGATGGGTGTAGTTAGGGCTTACTCCATGGGGATGCGATCGCCCAAGGACATGGCCATTTGACAATATGGATTTACCATGATCATAGCGGTGGGCATATAGAAGGATGAGAACTATAATTTTAGTGTGATGGTTGAATCCTTTGAATATCATTACATAGGATCTTGGTCCGCGCACCGAGAGAGTTTCACCTCTAAACCCGGCAGTGTCAAGGCCACCGCCACTGCGAGTTCCAGCAACTAGTGGATTTCCGTTAGAATTACAAATCCTTTAGATTCTTGCAGGAAATAATGTTTTGGTGGCATGGACAACTGCCATCCATTCTCAAGTCAGAACCAAATTTAATAAGTATACACCAACTGTGCGTCCGAAGTCCCTTTGTCTTTTGAACTTGAATGCTTCCTATCGGTTTGCAGTGTCTTGTATTCCTATTTCCCGCTTTCTTTTACTCAGCAAATGATTTTCTCATACTTTCTTTTTAATTATACATTATTTTAAACAAGCTTGTGATTATATATCAGGTCTTGTAAAAAGAGTATGCCCTCCAAGCACCAAGTATATTAAACCAGACACATCCATGATGGATCGATTCCTGACCTCGTCATCGCCTATCGTCCAGTTGTTCATGAGGTATTCATGTCAATCATTTGCCCTAGAAGCATCAAAAATCCAATGTTTTCATCACAAACAACCACAGGGGATCTAGGATCAATCCGAGTCCAAACCTGGCTACTTCTGATTAAGAATGAGTGCAAATTCTTTTTTTTTTGGGGGGGTTCTCCCATGTTGGTCGACCGGCAGAAAATAATTCTGAAATGCTCAAGGGCCTTCCAGCCAGTTTCGCATTTTAGATGCCCACGTGTATTTCATACACCGCGGGCCGCGGCAAGTAGCGAGCCGACTGATCGGCTTGCCGAGTAACCAACCGAGTTTTGGAGTGGAGCCGCATCGCCGTTTTCAAGCAAATCATCACGTTTCATTGCTGCAATCGGAAACGACCATAAACATGGACGCGTTTTTTAAAAGAGCCTTGTGCCCCCCCTGGCTGGGATCAAGGGGATATCGCCCACCATGGCAACTGACGAAGATCCGGAAGGTTCGCGCCCTCAACGCATCCCTTACTGGCGCATCCTAACGGACCAAAGCGTGGTCACTCCTCAAATCCTTGAGTACTCCTACCTCGGCACCGGCACCGAACAAGACCCCTACATCGTTGAATGGATTCCCGATGACCCGCGCAATCCCATGCACTTTGACCCTCGTCTGAAATGGATGTATACGGTCACAGTCGCCTTTGCTACCCTGGCCGTGTCCCTGGCCTCCTCGGCCTATGCCGGTGGGATTAGCGAAGTCTTGAAAACTCTAGAAGTGAGTCAAGAGGTAGCGACACTCGGGGTTTCACTTTTCGTACTGGGCTTCGCCGTCGGACCGCTGCTGTGGGCTCCACTGAGTGAATTTATCGGACGCCAGGTGGTATTCTTGATCACCTTCTTTTCGCTGTCGGCCTTTTGCGCAGGTGCCGCTGGTGCCCAAAATATCTGGACATTGACCATCCTCAGATTCTTCGCGGGCTCCTTTGGCTCGTCCCCTCTCTCCAATGCCGGTGGGGTCATCGCAGATATCTTCACAGCCGACCAGCGCGGCCTGGCAACCAGCCTCTTCGCCGGTGCACCGTTCCTGGGTCCCACTTTGGGTCCGGTTATCGGTGGTTTTCTCGGGGAGAATGAGGGCTGGCGATGGGTTCAGGGATTCCTCGCAATTTTCACCGGCGTGATCTGGCTGGCCCAGTGCCTCCTAGTCCCCGAGACATATGCTCCACTACTGCTCCGCAGACGCGCTGAACGCCTCTCGTCTATCACGGGCCAAGTCTATCGTAGTAAGTTGGAGGTGGAACGGGGCCGGGTATCAGTTCGGAATGCGTTCAAGGCGGCACTAGGACGTCCCTGGATTTTATTGTTTGCGGAGCCTATAGTCCTGTTGCTCTCGTTGTACATGGCGCTCGTTTATGGCACGCTTTATATGCTTTTTGATGCTTTCCCAATTGTCTTTCAGGAGATCCGGGGCTGGAGTGAAGGTGTTGGCAGTCTCCCATTCCTCGCTGTGATGATCGGGATGATGATTGCCGTCGGCCTGAATATGTACGACAACAAGCGCTATGTGCGCATCCACCACCAGCATAATGGCTTCGCACCACCCGAGGCCCGTCTACCACCAACAATGCTGGGTGGACTGGCCATCCCTATCGGGCTATTTTGGTTCGCGTGGACCAACAGCTCCTCAATCCACTGGATTGTGAGCGTACTCGCCACGGCCCCCTTCGGGTTTGGTATGGTCTTCGTCTTTCTGGGGATCATGAACTACCTCATCGACGCCTACACTATCTACGCGGCGTCCGTCCTAGCTGCCAACTCGATCATCCGGTCCTGCTTCGGGGCTGGGTTTCCTCTTTTCACGACATATCTGTATCACAATCTCGGTATCCACTGGGCATCATGTATTCCTGCCTTTCTGGCCCTAGCATGCGTCCCGTTTCCTTTTATCTTCTATCGTTATGGGCCGACCATTCGACGGAAATGCAGGTACGCTGCCGAGGCCGACAACTTCATGCGCGCATTAGCCCAAAAGGCCCAGAGCCAGGGTTTCGACGACCAAAAGCAGGTGGAGATTGCGACTGAGGCCGAATTGAATCGTGGCGATGTGTCCTCTGCCACGGAACCTGCGGCCGACGAGCACTCACTCTCATCGTGGTCGACAATGGAGCGGACTGACACGGCCTACGATGCCAACCCGTATGACATCGACCATGTGAACACGTGCAACTCGGCTATCACGCAGCGGTCCTGGTCGACACATGGCCGGGGTCGCGGGATCTTTGGCTTTTGGCGCAAATCATAGGACGGAGGTGTCTGGCAGTCGATATCAAAATGGCCGAAGCAACGTGGCGGAAAACAAGGAGAAAGAAAAATGTCTGATTTGATATTCAATACCCAAGCATACCATACAAAGTTAATCATCATGTCATTTGCATCCTAGCATACTATGTACGTTTTAATACAGAGGGAAAAAAGGTATCATTGACATAAAATTCATTCATAGTGTCGGCATACAGGCCGGATTAATAGCCGAAGGCGTTGGCTAGTTTCTTGGGGGTGTCATCACGGTACTTGTTGGTGATCAAGTTTCCAAACGAGGGCGACCACTTGACACGCGGAGTGAGGACATCCAAATCCCAAAGCTCGGACAGGAACTTGAGAATAGAGGTGTGGGTGAAGTCATTGCCATCCTCGGACGGCTTGTTCTGAACCACACCTTTGCCCACCCAGGGGGACATCAGAATCGTCGGAACACGCACACCCAGACGGTCAAACTTGAAGGTGTACTCCTTTCCGTCCTCTGCCTTCTCCGTGTAGGTCAGGTCGTCACCAGCGGGGACATTGGCGGGCGGAGCGACGTGGTCAGCGAAACCGCCGTGCTCGTCCCAGGTCAGAATGAAGAGCGTGTTCTTCCACTGCGGAGAGTTGCGCAGGGCCTCATAGATCCCCTTCATGAAGTTCTCGCCCATGTTGAGCGGGGACGCGGGATGCATGGACATGTACGAGCAGCACTCGGGGTTGATCCAGCTGAACTTGGGCAGTTTACCGTCCTTGGCATCCTTGTAAAATTGGTCGATGGGGGCCACATTAGTCTTGTTCTTGCCAGACTTGTAGGTCCAATCGTAGAAGCTGGCATCTGGCAGGAACGGCGGATCGGACTTGGTCGAATTCTCATAGTTCATCCAGCTGATGCCCTTGTCCGAGAGTTGCTCGAAGATGGACTTTTGGGGCAGCGCCGAGTTGAGGAAGTCGTCATCGTTTTTGCCGTGACCGTGCGAAGTGCCCGAGGTCAAGTAGGCACGGTTGGGGTTGGTAGGCCCCGGGACGGCAGCAAACCAACGGTCAAAAAGCACGAAGTTCTCAGCCATGGAGTTGAGAACGGGGACGAGATCAGGGGTGTGGTAGTTGATCACCTCGGCGGCACGCTGTAGGTTGTTTGCGTCCTGCTTTTTCCAGTAGGTTCGCTGCTCGGTGATAAATCCGTTCATTTTGGAGGCAGCATTGGCGTCGGGGTGGTAATCACCAAAGACCTGCATGTTCCCACCAGCGATGCTGTGGTTGGGATCATCGGAGGCGACGTTCTGCGCCGTCGACTTGGCGCAGACCTTTTCGCCGTCCGGCTGCTTCACGTCCGCCGGGTTGCAGTATTCCCGGTTGACCAGCCCATCGATCTTGGAGCTGTATTTCAAGCCACCCGCCAAGGTGTCAAAGGAGCGGTTCTCTTGTACCAGCACCACGACATTCTTGATGTTGCTCAGACCGGAGTCGGAGTTGCTCACAGGACGCGCAACGGCGCCGAGGACAAGGGCGAGAAGTGCCAGAGACCAACCCATGATTAAAATGAAGAACGGAGATGAAGAACAAAGAGGAAAGGACGTGTCCTCGGGGTTCCTGACCCTCGCCTTTTATGTTGGACCAGCGCAAGGCACATGGTATAGTAACTCAAACATCTACCGTCATGCAACAATCTCCATCGGCACTAAAACCCCTAGCGCTGCCGATCGCAGGTTTATTTCCGCGTCATATGGGCATATGGGACCAGGTGTGGTCATGATTGGCTCAAGCTTCAGTCCGTGATCGTCCTCGAGGCCAGCAGAAGAGCAGCGTCCAATCTCTCCGACAGGCATCAAGTCGGTTCCGGTCATTATCGGTTCCCGTGCCATGGCGGAGTGGACAGCGCAGGCGGGGGGGGGGGGGGAAACAAAGGAAAGGGCCCTTGCTTCCTGCGTGATCATCCCTGGGGGAGATGATTTGCTCGGGTTGCGGTATGCAAGCACCTCGGGAGATTCGCCTGAGCCATCCAAGTGTCTCTCCTGTAGCTCGTGGCATCGCATACCTGTGGTTCCCCTGGATGATATTGTGGGTGATGGAAGCCGAACTCCGCTCGCCCCACTTGGATGCGAAATTTTTGGTGACTACTTTGGCCAGTCCTTCGAGCGCGTGGCTCCAGACTGTCCTTGGAGAGCTCGTTGAGCCTGGATCTTCACACATCTCATCTTTAAGTCGAACTGGATGGACGTGTCGGGTCTCTTCGGGATGATAACCGAAGCGCATGATTTCTGCACAGGTCTGGTCCGACGAGAAATATCACATCTCGACCCCTCAATCTGTGGAACGGGGAAAAGTAAAAGTAAAGAAAAAGGAGAAGAAAGTAAGGGAGAGAGAAAGGGGAAAAAAAAAAAAAACAGACTGCTCATGCCGGACAGTGGCCCCAAATTCCTGTGGGTTTAAAAAAGCTTGGACGCTGCACTCCTTATATTCGCCTCAACTTGACATCGCAAAAATAGAGAGAGAGGGAGAGATTTTTGCCAGAATTCCTAGAAATCAATCTGGTGTTTTTCTGACTTTATTAATCCTTTCAAATCCTTCCATCTAGCGTAACGAGGCTATAATAGCTATTTCACCGCGTCTCTGGTCGCCTGCCCTTTTAGTATGATTCTCTGGCCGCTTTTACCCGGCTCATCTAGACAGGTCAACTCCCTCCTCGATTCCACCAGCAATATTTGCTTTTCCTTCCCCTCCTCTCCTCAATCCTATCCCCCTATGCATCACAAGATAGTTGCAGCTACTCGAGAAAGAGATTATGGTTCTCAGTATTGCTGGCCTATACCTAAACGGGATGAGTCTGCCAGGGCAGTGATATTGTTCTTGCAGTTATAACCATGGTTGTTTTCTTAAAATTCTCTTCATACGGATACTCTAATACCATTTTTAAGCTTGTTTCCCCCGGTCGCGGGAGTTCATATCGACATAGGTGACTGTGCAAAAGCGAAAAATAGAAAATGACTGCGAGCTAAACATAACACATCGTGACCAGAGTCCACCGGCCAGGGATTATTCTTCCAAGCCTCGCCCCACTTCAAAGTCGAGCCGACTCTATCATTGGCCCATTTCCTTTTCAAGCGGCGAGGCTGCCAACATTGAAAGAGATTCACAGGAAGATAGTGACGAAAAGCACGTGTTGGTATGGCTATGAATTCATCGCTAATGCTTACTTCGGAGTACATCATCTCCCATTCAACTCTCTGGATAGGGTAAGAATTCATAAAGATACTATCCAACCTAGTCCTAACCAACGAACTACACGAATGTTTTCGCCGCGGCGCCTATATTTTTCGCGTTAAGTGCGCTGAATACGAAATATCTGGGGCAGATCCTCCAGAGACCAGACTCTGGGCTCTCGAGGCTCAGCCGGGTACAGAAGAAAGAGCAGAAGCGGCAAATGAAGTAGAGGAAGGTGGAGGGAAGCAGGGGCAAATGGACCTCGGGAGACGTCGTAGATGAGTAATAAAGCGCAGAAAGAATTGATTGAACCGGCAGACTTGAAAACATACCTGAATTATTCTAGGCAACATGACTCGGCCTGAGATGAGAGTGTGGCACGGTAGAGCACTGGGGTGTATGGGGTTGTAGTTGCTACAGCCCGGAGGACTCGGGTTGGATACAAGCAAACGGACAATTTTCACGTCTTGGCAATTTTGGGACAATTCAAAATGTGCAACTGGGAGAGCATCGCATTGCCTTTCTAGGGCATTTATATGACGGGGTGCTTCGACTTGCCCTAAACAGCATCAACCGAGTGGAGCACCGAGGAACAAGTCCAGTGGGCCCAGGATAACCCAACATGGAGAAAATAAGCACCTCCGGCGCTTTCAACTCGCATTATTTGAATGCGAGGCCCCTCTGGTCTGGAGTTGGTCGACTTGCACATTGATTCAGTGACCTACTGCCTGCGACATCATGACGGTCGAAGTCCTTAGCAACGGCGTGAATGGCGTCTCGAAATCCGTGCCGTCGGCACTGCCTTTGGTGCAGAAACTATCCAAGAATCACGACATAGTGCTCAAGACCTTCCGGTTGCTGATTGCTGATCTTTGCCAGCAATTCAACGGTGGACATCCGGGGTAGGTTGTGCGAAGCCTCTAAAGAAATGGCTGCAAACTAATTCGCATCTAGAGGTGCCATCGGCATGGCTGCTATCGGCGTTGCGCTGTGGAAGTACGTGATGCGCTATGCACCACACACCCCAAATTTCTTTAACCGGGACCGATTTGTGCTTTCAAACGGTCAGTGAATCTGAATTCCTTCGTCTACAAACTCAGTCCTAAGTAACTAACCCGCAATCCCATCCAGGCCACACCTGTCTCTTCCAATATAGTTTCCTGCACCTGACCGGGTACAAGGCTATGACTTTCGAGCAGCTCAAATCCTATCATTCGGATCGCGTTGATGCCTTGTGCCCTGGACATCCGGAGATTGAACATGAGGGTATCGAAGTCACCACCGGGCCGCTGGGCCAGGGTATCGCCAATGCCGTTGGTCTTGCTATGGCAACTAAAAACCTCGCCGCCACCTACAACCGACCCGGGTTTGACGTGGTGTCAAACCACACTTGGTGCATGATTGGTGACGCGTGTCTGCAGGAAGGTGTTGCCCTCGAAGCGATCTCGCTGGCCGGTCATCTTCGTCTCAACAACCTGACTGTCATCTACGACAACAATCAGATCACATGTGATGGATCTGTTGACCTCACCAACACCGAGGACGTAAACGCCAAGATGCGCGCATGTGGCTGGGACGTGATCGATGTGGAGGATGGTTGTTTCGATATCGAAGGGATCATCCGTGCGTTGGAACAGGCCCGCGCATCTCAACACAAACCCACTTTCATCAACGTCAGGACGGTGATTGGCCTTCACAGCAGCGTGGCCGGTACTGCAGCGGCACACGGTGCTGCTTTTGGTGCCAAAGGCGTTGAGAATATGAAGACAGCCTACGGTTTCAACCCAGATGGGCATTTCGTGATTGACGAGACGGTGCGCCAGTTCTTCCAGGACATTCCGGCTCGTGGAGAACAGTGGGTGCAGGAGTGGAACCAGCTGGTCAGCAACTATAGTACTCAGCATCCCGAGTTGGGAGCCGAGTTCCAAGCGCGGGTCCGCGGTGAACTCCCTGCGAACTGGCAGGATCACATCCCTACCAGTTTCCCTGAGAAAGATACAGCCTCCCGCGCATCGACTGGGCTAGTCTTCAACCCAATTGCCAAAGAGGTTAAGTCATTCATGGTTGGTACGGCAGATCTGTCGCCCTCGGTCAACATGATCTGGTCCGGCAAGGTGGATTTCCAGCACGTAAGTTTTAGCCTTGAATATTCCCGTTGTTTCTATGCTGATCCAGAATGCAGCCCGATCTACGCACCACTTGCAATATCAATGGTGACTACTCCGGTCGCTATATCCACTATGGCATTCGCGAGCATGCGATGTGTGCCATCTCTAATGGCTTGGCAGCCTACGCGCCTAACACGATCATCCCCGTCACCTCTTCATTCTTCATGTTCTACCTGTACGCTGCTCCGGCGGTGCGAATGGGTGCTCTCCAACACCTCCAGATCATCCACTGTGCCACTCACGACTCCATTGGCATGGGTGAGGATGGGCCCACCCACCAGCCAATCGAGCTGGCTACACTGTACCGCGCCATGCCAAACCTACTGTATATCCGACCCGGCGATAGTGAAGAGACAGCTGGTGCATGGCTTGCGGCGATCGGCGCAAAGAAGACCCCGAGTATTATCTCAACTTCGCGCCACGCCCTGCCACAGCTGTCCCAAACCCGGCGTGACGGTGTTGCGCATGGCGCCTATGTTTTGGCAGAATCCGAGTCAGCCACGGTGACTCTGATCGGAGTCGGCGCTGAGCTGTCTTTCGCTTTGCAGGTCGCCGAGCAAGTGAAGGCACAGAAGGGTATCACTGCTCGCGTGGTTAGCTTCCCGTGCCAACGCTTGTTTGAGCAACAGCCGCTCGACTACAAGCGAGAAGTTCTGCGGCGCCACCGCGGCATCCCCGCGGTTGTGATCGAGCCATATGCTCCCAATGGCTGGGAGCGGTACGCGGATGCGGGCATCTGTTTGACACGATTCGGACACAGTCTGCCTGGAAAGGCGGCCTACAATTTCTTTGGCTACGAGACTGACGTGTTGACGACCAAGGTGGCGGGGTATCTGGAACGCCTTGAAAGTGATGTATTTCTTCGAGGGGAGTTCGTTGAGCTATAAAGAAAAAACAACTTTTTTGTCTGTTTCTGGTGTTATGTATAGAGAATGGCCTTAGAGAAATAGAATATTATCGATTTCAAATCAGCCTCATCCCCGTGGTCGCGTGTGCTCTTCTCATGTTGGTCTTGTACAGCGCATGTCCAAGTGGCCATCGATGCTTAGAACTTCCTATTCGGGAATACATGCCCTAAGTCGAGTCCAAGGAGCCACCGAGGTAGAAATGCCCAGTTTCGGGAGAATACTGTCATACTAGGCCACCAAATTGTACAACTAAATGAATTGAAATGATATGACAGTTGAAATGTCTGCGAGACTGGGCAACCATTTCCCACGCAGGTAGGGTTGATCAAGACAAGTCACCCCGGACCCACCGACGCCGTGGGGTAGTCAGTTCCTGGAACAGGCAATTCGAGCCAAACCTGCCTGGTTCGGATTGTTGCAAGGCGAAAAATCGCAGCATTAAAGAATGGTTCATCGCCCAGTATTATTTCCACCATCTTCAAAGCCATGGCTCCCTCGATGCTTGTGGATCAGCTCAACGGCGAGCAGGTCGACGTGCCGACCAAGTCGCGAAGCAGCGATCGCACTGTCATCACAGCTTCGTCCCCCAATCCCTCATTACAAGTGACAGCCGACCACCAGCTGAAATTGGTTGACACCCCCGTCTACGCGCCGAGACGCGGCGAGGTGCTCGTCCATATTAAGGCGACCGGGATCTGTGGCTCGGACATTCATTTCTGGAAGACTGGTCGCATTGGGTCGTTGGTCTTTGAGGGCGATTGTATTATCGGCCACGAGGCCTCGGGGATTGTCTTGCAGTGTGGCGAAGGCGTCAGCCACTTGAAGCCCGGTATGTGGTGTTTGGCTATCTGTTAGTTGCGTGATATCTGATTGATTTCCAGGCGACCGAGTGGCCATTGAGCCCGGAGTTCCGTGTGAGCGGTGCTTCTTGTGCAACGAGGGACGGTACAATCTCTGCGAAGATGTCCAGTTTGCCGGGGTCTACCCCTACGATGGAACCATGCAGCGGTACAAGGTGCACCCGGCCAAGTGGCTGCACAAGCTCCCGGAAAATGTCAGCTATGCCGAGGGAGCCCTGCTTGAGCCTCTGTCGGTGGTGATGCATGGCATCAAAACGGCCGGACTTAGTCTAGGTCGCGGAGTGGTAGTGTGTGGTGCTGGTCCTATTGGTTTGATCGCACTGGCCGCTGCACGCGCCTCGGGTGCCCATCCCATTGTGATTACCGACCTAGAGCCAGCGCGCCTGGCCTTTGCAAAGGAGCTGGTACCCTCATGCATCCCGTACGAGGTGGACAGCACCAAAGATGCACAGGCCAATGCCCAAGCCATCCGGGCCTTGTTTGGATCCAGTGAGTATGTGGCGCCAGAGACCGTGCTCGAGTGCACCGGCGTGGAAACCAGCGTGTGCACGGCGGCATATACAGCCCGACGAGGTGGCACGGTGATGGTAATTGGGGTGGGCAAGGCCATCATGCACAACTTACCCTTTATGCATATTTCTCTCGCTGAGGTATGGAAACGTCCCAGGTGTTATTGCGGGCCCAAAACAAACTTTGCTCACTCTGCTAGATCGATCTACGATTTATCAATCGCTACCGAGACACTTGGCCACCTGCTATTGCTTGCTTGAGTGGCGGCATTTTGGACCTGAAGAAGCTGATCTCGCATGTCTTTCCTCTTGAAAAGGCACAAGATGCCTTGCACCTCTGCGCGGATCCGAGGAACGGAGGGATCAAGGTGCTAGTAGTGGATGAGCAAGAGACATCGTTGTAGATAAACATAGTGTCATACTTGGCTCAATATAAAGATGATAGATTCAATTATCGAAACCATTTGTGCGGACAACCCGGTAGTTTATTTGAACTTGGTAATGTATTGGAGTATTATTGGGATTATTGGAAATCGAACTTTCGTTCAGCAATCAACAAGGAGGTCCGGGATATTCCAAGTAAACACGCGCCGAAATATAATTCATGCCGAGTGGCAGAAGATTGCTTCCACAGGTACCGGGTCCTTGGCCGAGTGATCGCCGGGGGCAAGCACCGTGTTTCGCCCGGTGCATTCGGGGCCACTAAATCGTTATGAGCGAGAGTCAATCGGAAGCTAAGAAGACAACGTACGTGAAAACACGGCACTTCTTGCGGATAGATACTGTGAAGACCTCTCTGCGACAAGTCAGGATCGGATGCATCATCTAGCAATCATCTAGCAGTGGGGAACAATAGACCTACTCTTCCTCGACTGCATGGCATTCATCCAGCGAGACGTGAAGACCGCGGCTGGTCTGTGCCGTTTCAATGCCCACCTGTACGGATCAGCAGGCTAGCCCTTTCATCTCTTCTGGAGGTGTCGTACCGTCGTTTTCTTGACGTTGGCAGTCGCCGATACGGAGAGCACCATCAGGCTCAACAGCGATAGTGATGTGAGACCATACATGATGCAGGTGGCAGACAAAACTCCAATGAGAGTGGATGAGAGGAAAAAGATCAATCTATTATTATTCTTTGCATGAGGATTGCAAGGGAGATGCCATCTGTTGCTTCTCGAGGGCGAACATCCCTTGCGTCTGTTCAGGAGGGATGGAGCCAACGGTATTTGCAAGGTGAGACTCATTCAGGGAGCGATCGACTGCGATCGAGGGATTGGAATGTTCCTGCATCGTATATCGTGGCAAGGAGACAGTTGTAGCGGTGGAGTCGATATCCAAGACACACAGTTGTATACTTCAGCTGTGTGAAGGGAAGAAGGGGAAATTGAGACACCGAGGGGGGGGGCAATTTTTTTTTTTTTTTTTTTTTTTTTTGGCGCTTGAAAGCATGAACTATTGCATCAATGGACGAAATTCAAAGAAATAATCAACCGCAATGCGAGTCCTAATTGCATGGAAACGATCTGCGGCGTTGGGATCGACGTTCGGGTTGTCTCCCCCGCACTCGACGGGTGCATTTCCCCAGAACAACGCTGCATGGCGATCCATCCGGTCACTACTCACCATACGCCATGAACGACTGGCATTCGCAACCGCGTGCTCTCGCCCCGTCATACACGCCATCCGACTCTACCGAAGGCCCGGCCTTTGCCTCCCCGCTGGGTAGCGCCAACTGGGGCCACGATGAATTCTCGCACGACCCGGGATTCCTAGCTTCACAGGAGGAGCTGCGGTGTATGCTCTTTAATATCGCACATTCTGCTGCTCCGACTCGAGCCCCCACGCCGGATGAACACACACAAGATGTCGAGCAGGCACAGAAAAGGGGCGGCGCACCAATGCGCCCGGTGTTGTCGCACCCGCGCCGAGTCGAGTACTTGAAGAATTACGTGGGGCAGGTGGCTCCATGGGTGAGTTGATGGGCTTTTTGGTTTGCAGAAAACCAGAGGTGTTGCTCACATGTCTCTTAGCTGGATATGTTCGATTCGCAGTGCACGTTCCGAGTGCAGATTCCCGCACTCGCTCGGTCGTTCCCCGCGCTGCTCAACGCGATCCTTGCTATATCTGCCCGGCAAATGGAGCGAAAGGAGGGCACTCAGGACTCCTTTGACAGCCTCGAGTTCTACCAAGAGGCGATTCGCTTGCTGAGCCCGCTTCTTCAGGTCCGCGACCCCAAGGTTGTCGCCGCCTGTGTACTGCTCTGTTGCCTCGAGATGATGTCCGCGCGGGCGCAAGATTGGCGGCGTCATTTAGAGGGGTGTACGGCACTCTTCGATGCTTTTGAAATCCACGGGTTTAGTAGCGGTCTGCTACAAGCCGTGTTCTGGTGCTACGTGCGCATGGGTGAGAAATAGGGAACAGAAATGACCAATGAATTGAGGCTAACTCTTCTTCCATAGATTTATGTGGTGCTTTAATCTCCGACGGGACACAGAGCACCCTTCTGCGTCCGAGTAAATGGCTTTCGCCTGGTTGCTCCGAAGACGATGCGGCCCGGCTCTTCTATGCCGCCCAGTCTCCTAACATGCACGCCAATTACGCCGTATACCTTTGCGCCAAAGCATGCGAGCTGGTGTCCGACCGGACGCAGTTTGTGGAACTCGGTGTTCGAAATGAGTGTAAGGGCGACACTTTTCAACGCCGCTGGTTTCGACTTTGGAATGATTTGCAGAAATGGTTAGAAAACCGCCCGCCAGAGCTGTTGCCCGTACACACGACTGCGACAAAGCCATTTCCACATATCCTTTTCTTGCACTGGGCCGCTATATCGTCCAACCAGCTCTACCACACAGCAAGTATCTTGTTGCTGAACATGATGCCCAAGACCGTCAAGCTTCCCCCGGGGCCCGCCGTCTCGGCCCTTTGGCATGCAAGGCGTATTTGTGGCATCTCGTTGGCTAATCCTCATCACGGGTGCTTGAACAACGCTATCCAGCCGTTGTGGATTGCTGGGCGCCTTTTTAGCCATATCTCGGAGCACAAAATCATTGTCGATGTGATTCGCAACATCGAAGCCAAGACTGGATGGGGTGCTTGCTGGCGCATTCGGGACCTGGAGCTTGCTTGGGGGTATCAAGTACCACGGCCAGAGCAGGCCGGTCCAGGACGGGTATCTGCAACAGTTTGAGTAAAGGACATCGCCCTTCTAAAAAGGCAAAACCGCCCAGGAAACCTAGTTCTCTATGTCTCGTCATGGAGACACCACTCTGACCGCAAGCTCTCCAGACATTCGCGAGCATCCCATCCCGTAACTGTGAGGATACGTTGAAATCCGCGAAGAATCTCAACCTGTTGGAATTCATGTGTCATCCGACGCGCTGCTGTGATAAATGACGCCAGGAGGCATGGGTCCCAGCACTCACGCCGGTCATTATGGAGTGCGATTCCGCAGATCCGCTGGGCGTGCCATAGTGGAGACATGGCGGCTGTTTGGAAGTCTGATAACCGCGCAGTGCGTGGTCGGCTGTGCAAGAGAAGAAGCATGGCAGTATGGTAAAGCTGGTTGCCAAACACGCCCGCTCCATTGGCGAAGAGAACAACCGGGAAGCTCTGTTCCGGGCCGCCCAGATGATCGCCCGCTTCCAACTCTAACATTGGTTGAAATCCCGGTGGACGATCTCGATACCAGTGATCTAGCTCATCTACGAGCTGTATCCATGTTTTAAGAGGAGGGCATTCTGGTAACCCGTCTTCCGTGTGGATGAATTGCAACGCTCGTGCGCAGAACCAGAGAGGGCGTTGCGCGTAGTAAAATGTTGTCCCGAATGGATCATCAGCCAGATTGACTCCCCTTGAATGCAGCAGGGATAGGGGCAGAGGCACGTTCATATTCGTATCGCTGACCAGCGCAGCTCCGAGGTCTAGAAGAGAACATCAGATCTTGATACGGACACTCGAAGTGGTTGAGGGTACTCACCTAGTCGAACAAACAAGGAATAAATACCGGAATTTAGATCTCTACCGGCAACATGAGCACCAAGAACATTCAGAAGTTCTCTGTTGGGCTGCCTTTCCGGCGACCACGCTCTCGGGACGTTCGATATACAAGTCTTTACCTCGTCCAGAGCATGCAGTAACGCAACGGCGGTGACTCCTTGTTGCAAATCAAGATGTTCTTGGTAAGCATATTCCTTTGTTATCCCTGGGTGCGGTGTGCGCGGATGTAGTTGGTTGAAAGATGTTTCGGCTAACTCGAGAATCGACACCCAACAGCGCTGCGACGCCATTGCCAACTGCAGACCGTGAATTCCAAATGAGTGACCGAGGTCACAGATATCTAACTGGTAGTCTTGAGTTAGTTCTCAACAATCAATCCAGCCTAAGAACATTCTTACCCATGGAGCGACCTCATAGCGATAGTGCCGGAGCAACTCCTGTATTCCCGTTGCCGAGTCCTGGCAAGGAAGGGGTATGGGTTGAGAGAGAGATTGTGAAATAGGAGTGCGGTGACTATTTGAATAGCTCTGTGGAGTTTCGGGGGCATAAGGAGCTGGTCTGGATGGTGGTGAGATTGCCCAATCTGGCAGATTCAAGTCTGTGCCCATCGATTCGTTCATGCTTGTTCCCAGCGCCAACAAACCAGCGACGGCGGACTCATCCTTATCGCTGAAGGTTGTTGCTGGAAGAGGAGCATCCAGTGCTTGAGACAGGCGCTCATCCGGAGACCACATAGGCAATACGGTGCCGTCATCTACATCATCAGGATTGTTTGCACTTGGCCCAGAAACTTCTTGACTCGATTGCTGAGCCAGATCAGCGACAGAAGGCGATGCTTCTTCTGGCTCCTGGAGTATTTCATGGCGATCTTTCCGGGGTTCTTCGGGAACAAACTAGATCCTCCTTGATCAGTGTAGTCCGGCGGACGCAGTCCGATATGGGACTTACCCTAATCGCGCCATAGGTCCCGGATGAGCTTCCTACCTCGGATGGCTGGACAGATTGTGCGTTTTTTGTGAGGAACGTGAGCTGAGGGCCATATTGACATTGGAAATTCCGGTCAATGCAATTGCGACAACTCGGTTTGCCTTCATCACCTGTGGTACTGTCAGCGGTGCACATCGGGCATCGAGTGGACGACGGCTTACACTTGCGCCGGCGGATACGACAGCGCATGCAGCCAGTGCGACAGCGAGTGAGTCGCCGCGAGGTTGAAGTGTGGCCAGCCATGGAGTGCGGCGGGAAGCCGCGATGCGGCAAATGGGGAAGGCGTAGACACTGTCACGTGGCGCGGATGCACTTACCTTTTTCGGCGTGGGGAAGTGGACGGAGAGCCGATTGATGAGCATCAATTACATTAGAAAGAATGTTGAGACTAAGATATTTAGTTTTAAATATGAGATCGAATAACCAGTAGGGAGTAAGGTTGAACAGACAGTACAAGCAGAGTGACTCGATATATACTTGAAGACGAAGAGAAACAGAAGGGGAAAGACCCGAGATAGTCTTGTTTTGGTTCTGCATATTCCTCGAGAAAGCCAGCATATCTCAAAATAGTACTCTACTGATACTGTGTGGAATTTTCTCGACTCCGCCATTCATCCACAATCCCCGCATATGCTGATGGTTCATAGACTCCCGTGAGCTCTGTCAGAAATCCCCCGCCTAGTCGACATGGATTCAATCCCAGATCTCGCAGAAGCATATCATTATACTATCGATTTCTATTAGCCAACACTGAAGCCAGCCGGATTCTCTTCTGGACTTACCTGGATAGCATCCACTTCCAACCCAGTCCCAGTCAGCGACCCAAGGACAACATCCTCTGAAATAGAATTGTCCATGACATCCTGCGAGATATCTTGAAGACGAAGACAATCATTCCGATGGGTCTTTGAATCCACAGAAGAATCTAAGCCCCCAGCCAAAAAGGCAGCTACCCATAGCGCTTGAACCTCGGCAACCACCGCAATGGTGGAGGATAGCACAATGCCGAGGACAGCAAAAGATCGATCGCCTTGTGCAACCAATTCGGGCGCAACCATGCGGCGAAAAAGGCGATATGGAAGCAACTTGTGTGATTCAATCCATGAAGGTGGGGTGCGGTCGACTGGGGTACAACCCGTGGCAGCTAACTTTTTCTTCACCATCACCTCTGACTTCTCATCAAGGTTATGCCAATGCTGGATACGGGCCTCGGTTACGGAGTCCAGGGAGCCATTGATTCTTTCTAGGGAATTGATTTGGCTTTGTTCTGGGTCGCATCGAGGTTCATGGTTCACCAGGCCGGAAAGACCCAGAGTGAGCCGAAAGCTCGGTGGCTGAAACTGGACGGGCACAATTGGTCTGTAGCCAGTGGCGTGAACAACCAAATCAACGTCGTTAACTCGGGTACCATCCTCCAGATCAACTCTGGCAGTTCGGAGAATGCTAGCGTCCAACTTTGTGCCAGTGTCCGTGATTTTGGCTATGGTTGATCGATAGACATGCACCTGAGGCAAGCGGATGGTTTCCCAGAGATCTCGCTGGTTCGCAATCCCGATACTGGAGGCACACGAGACGACACTAAACAAAGATTAATCGTCTCCTAATATTCGGAAGAGAACGATGGACAGACCTGTTATCTGGGCGAAGCTTCTGCAACTTTGGGTCGGCACTGTATCGCGCTATCTCCTCGAGGTTCTGATCCACAGAGGCCCAAAACCTCCGGATCCACCACCGGCCCAAAGGATTCCCGTGGAAAAAACGAGCAAGCCACGAGCCCTCCATCTGAAACCCCCACCCCCATATTAGGGGAGAAGAAGCCGGGGATAGCCGCTTAGGGATCTCGTAGCAGCATGGACTGAGATGATTTAGGAGTCGTGTGCTCGCCGCTTTGTCGCTGGCCACTGTCTCGCCATTTGGGAGTGACGAAGTGGGCGGTGCCATCCATGCTGGGCCGGCACCTTTATCTCGAATAATCCAGTGTACTTGCACGGGGTCTTTGGGGGTCGACCGCAAGTGCAAGTTAGGATCATTGCGATGCAGAGTTGCGAAGAAGTGCACCAGATCAAATGCTGATTTGGCGCCACCGTATATGGCCACAGACCGTAGTCGTGAGCCAAACTCGCGACCCGCGTCGCTATTGAATGATGGACTTAATTTCGGTAAGGGCTGGTATCCTAAATTCTCTCGAGCCCAGTCTCCGACATGCTTGGCATGGATGACGGTACCAACAGGTTCAGATACCTCGCCAACGGGTTTGGGGTTTGGGAGGTTTGGTACCGAAGTCAGGCCCGTTGCCAAAATCAGCTTATCACAGATGATATGAATAGCCTGGTTAGAATCTTTGCTGTCGCTGAGATCGAGTTTCCACTCCCTGCTCTCCAGGCGGGTAATGCCATTGACCTAAACACACCGTGAGACGCGGACTCTCCAAGAAGATCTTTACCACTTACCCTCCAGTTCAGCCGTATGTATTTCCGCAGGTCCCACTTGTCAACCCACGCATGCAGATACCGATTGATTTTCCAGCCGGCAATGAACTGACACGTTGAGTCATCCTCGTTATCCTCCTCTGGGACGACGTCGGAGAGCGGCAAGTCGCTGAACTCATAAAGCCCGTAGGAGTTCTGGCTCAGCAAATTCGGGTATAGTCGCTCCTCGGCCCAGGTACCCCCGAGATCTGATGCGGAGTCAATCACAAGGAGGCGACAGTCTGAAACATCGTGTGTGTGAAGCTGTTGAGTCTCCGTGAAACAGGCAGGGAACGCGTCGCCAGCCTCAGGGGTATTGTCGGTTGATTTGGCTACGTCGTAAACACCGGCAACTTGCAGATATGTCTTGGCGGCGACGAGGCCGTAGAGACCTAAGCTCGTAGTTAGAGGTGTATTTAAAATCTGACGAGGATACAAACCTGCTCCAACAATCACCACGCGCTCCATGCGGGTCAGAAATTTGCACAGGACGAAGGAGGGTGTGGAAAGAGTTGAGAAGTCATCTTGGCCGAAATATGCTCGAGTGATGGAAGACAAAGACACATTGTAAGGTCGCGTTGCTATTGTTCTGGTGGGGCCACCCCGACGACCATCGCGTGGACTCACTCACGGCACAAGAATCACACACATTGTCCTTGGTTTCGATGGGACATGCCCTGTTTGATAGCCAGGATAAATCCCTGGTGATTGAAGACACGAATCACGCCTGAGTCGTCCATTTCTCAGCTCGTGTGATGGTGCGAAGTAGGAGGCCTGCCCCTGATCAGTTTCAAGCGAGTACTTCGATCTCATCTTCGGCCCCGCATTTTAGGGAGATTGATGATTCTAGAAGAGTACCAAATCATGCGACATGAGGGCACAGTAATCTGTGAGGTCGAAGGCGCTGTCGATCGGAGACGGGCCGTGACACGATCCGTGGACTGGCAGGAGCTTCAGGCCATCAACGGGAGCCTCCTATCGAGTGACCCACCAACTATGCCAGAACCTCGCGTCGCACTAGATATGTTAACATAATCTCCTCATGAGAAGCGGTACGCGGACCGTGAAAACGGGGTGCAATCCGGCCAGAGAATGTATAAAGGGATTCATTTACCCTCCCGGTCGCTGTGGTTTCCCAAGCTTTTACCTTGAGCTTGTCTCAAACTACACTCTCTCCATCTGCTATGGACAAGAACGAACGTATCGTCATTGTCGGGGCAGGTGCCTTTGGCCTCTCCACGGCACTGACGCTGGTGCAGCAAGGCTACAACTCCGTGACGGTGCTGGACCGATCTATGCCCCCTGTGCCCGACGGGTCGAGCAACGACATCTCACGCATCATCCAATTCGACTAAGGTGACCCCGTGTATGCGCGCATTGCCAAAGAGGCGTACGATCTGTGGAAGACCCCTGAGTATCAAGATGCATTCCATTCCACTCCGTGTCAATGGGTGTGCCAGGACAGCACTCCCGAACAGCCAGTACAACCACGGGCCGTCGAGTACATTGCCAAAACCAAGCGCATTTTGACCGATATGGGCCAAGACATGGTTGCAGTCCGAAGCACCAGAGAAGCTAAGCAGCACTTCCCCAGGCTGATGGGAAAGATGGCCGATCGTGGTTTTGGGGGCTTCTACAACACGTAGGCCGGATGGGCTGACGCGGGCCTTGCGGTCAGTCAGCTCATGTCACGATGTGCCTCAGTGGGGTTGTCCCTTGTTACAGGACCAAGCGGCCAGGTCGAGGAATTCGAAAAGGCGATCGATGGGACTATCACAGCTGTCTGTACCAAGAGCGGCAACAAGATCCAGGGCGACCGGTTCATCGTTGCGACGGGTGCTTGGACTGCGAGTCTTGTCCCAGCGAGGAACTCGATGCTCGCAGCGGCACAGGTTGTGGGATATCTACAACTCACGCCCGAGGAGGTAGCCCAGCTCAAAGACCTCCCCATTTACTTCAACTTCTCGACGGGCTTCTTTTGCTTCCCGGCACATGAAAGCACCGGCTATTTGAAGGTGGCCATTCATGGATTCGGCTACACATCTACCTCGCCGTCGTCTGTGTTTGCCCCTCCCAGTTCGGCCGTAGCCACTCGCGCCAACTTTGTCCCGGCGGATGGAGTGCAGAGACTTGTGGCAGGGCTGAAGGACTTTCTGCCACACTTTGCACCAAGGGGCTTTGAGCGCGTTGGATTGTGCTGGTACAACGACACGCCGACCGGCGACTTCATAATGGACTATCAACCCGAGCCTAAGAACCTGTTCATCGCGACCGGCGGCAGTGGACAGTGAGTAAAGCCAACCGGCGAATATTGATGAACCGAAATATTATGACTAACTATGCGGCTTCTTCCAGTGGATTCAAATTCTTGCCCGTCATTGGCAACTATATTGTTGGAAGTCGCCAACGCAGTCTCCCCCAGGATCTTCTGGACAAGTGGACGTTCCCCGTCCAGTTCCGCGAGCGCTTCCAGGGCGACGCTTTCATGGGAGACGGGAGCCGTGGAGGACCAGAGCGAAGAGAGTTGAGAACCTCGGAGCGAGACGCATTCAACGCTGCTCTGACTGCCTCGTCTTGGCAACCGAGTAAGATATAAGGGAGACAGGAGCTCATCTGCTATCGCAGACACATCTTTCCTCTCATGATAGGACGAGGTTAACAAATTTTATATATCATTACTAGGGAGTGGTCCCTGATACTACTCTCGATGAGTTTTGAGTACGAACGGACAATGGCCTGCCTGCCGAATCTCACAAGGTATCCGGTACACCAAACCCCACCCATTGCATCAAAGCCTTCATCTTATCGACATCGGCTTTATAAATGCTCCGCCATGTAATCTTCCAACATCAGCCAGTCTGGAATATCGGGCATCGCTGCTCCAAGCGCATCACAACCATTGCCGTTCGAAAATGGCCACACTGATATCGAATCATGAGAGATCGGCTCTTGCACACTCCCATGAAGAGGCGAGATGTCATGAGGGATTGGTCCCTGCGAGATCGGGGCAAGCGAGTGATCCGAGAATCGCGGACTACCTGTTCCTATCTCTTGGTCGTGATTAGGGATCAAATCCCCAAGCTGGGAAGTCGACGAGCCCATGTCGAGAATATCCCACGTGAGAGCCTCATCCTCGGCAGACATCCTCGGGATATTCGATGAAGTGGGCATACTCGAAAGAGCACCAGAGTATCCGTCCTGGTTGTAGTACAGAGACCCATAATTCTGATGCCGGGAAGCAAGCTCGTTCAGTTTATTGACCTAATTCCAGGTCGTTAGCGTTAGCATTCAATCTGAGACCTGCCGACATACCAGACCCCTCATGTTCTCCCAATGCACGGATAATTCGGTGATGAAGTCTACCAGAGTCTGGAACTCTCTGTTCACCAACAGAGCAATCTGCGGGTTTTTGCTTCCCGTATGCTCCAGTTGAATTGTGGCCGCGATTGCGGCAAGATACCCTAGGAAAGGATCATACAGTCCAAAGTCAACCTCGGACATTTCTCGAATGAAGCGCGCAATCCATCTCGAGTGCAGCAAAGAGTTCTCAAACGACTTTTGAAGAAAGGTCGCCGACAGATTCCCATTCATCTGGCGAAGCTTGATCATGATAACAAAGGGATGATGCAGAAGACACTGGATAGAATGGAAGAGGAACTGGACACACATCCAAGTGGAGAGGTATGCGCGAGACTCGGGTTCTTCACGAGCGCGTCGTTTGAAGTCGACGTTGATATAACGATGTGTGTCCGCAAACCGAGTCTCAAACTGCAACCACTCGGACTCTAGAATCGCCAGCGCCGACCCGGTTTGCCACGGCGGTAAATCATTCTCATCAAATGGCTCGAACACGTACTCGGTGGCTTTGCCCCACAGCGAATACAGTCGCAGGAGACAGGCCAGGATGCCATGGTCGACATTCTGCCCTTTCTTTTCTGGCCCATCGCGCAGCGTTCCGTGGAACAATGGATCATTCTCTTGATGTGGCCCTTCGGTGCCTGCAGAGGGGAATGAGAGCGTGAAGTGTTTATCCGCCAGACAGAGCGAGTAATTGCGAGAGGCATTGTAGGTGCGGTCAAGCATGAAAAAGGCCCACGCTATACGCCTCCGCTTTTCTATTTCAGAGCTGGGCACCGATGATGCATACTTATCTTTGTTCAGACCCGCGGACTGGAGAGTTCGAATGCCCAGGGCAACAGATGCATATGCGCGATGCGCTTGGCCGTCGGCAAAATTCACCTGGGCCATCAAAAAAGCCCCCTGGAGAAATGAAAGCCCGACTCGACAGTCTTTATATTGCCCGGATAGAACGGCCCATGCTTTTTGCGCACAATACTTGGTGGCACGGGCATTGTCTCCAAAGGCTTCATGCGAGCGGTGGGGAACACGCGACGTGAGTGCTACCAGCGGAAATGCAATTTCTGGTGGCAATGAGCCCGCATGATTCAGTAACCAGTCTCTGGGAAAGACACAATATGGCTGGTCATGGAAGTAAGTGAGGTAAATCTCCACTTGGGATTGAAGAAAATCCGCAGGAAACGAAGACCTAGAAAAAGATCGTCAGTCACTGGGGTAGATTGGATGTTTCAAGACATACCAGAGCGAGTCCTCCTCATGATGTCCTTGGACACCAAATGTGCCGCGACTCTCCTGAGTGCTACAAGAGTGACGGTGTTCGGAGTTTCTGCGTGGCTGTATAGTCCTACTTGGGACATCGGCCAGCGGATTGACCTTAGGCAAACTTTCCCTAATATGGGACATTCCTGTCAGGAACTACCGTTGTTTATTGGCCATGAAAAGTACTGTGATGAAGCTTACTGGAGAATGCAGGCCATTTTCTCCAGCCGATCTTCAATTCGTTGGAATCGCTGTGAGTTCGAAATCTCCGGGGTCTTGCAAGATCATACGTCACATTCCGAGGCATTTAAGAAGATCAGCGCAGTGCATACCTCATCCATCTCACCCTGGACACGATCTTGGCTCAAACTTGAAGACATTCGGGTGTGTCTGATCCGGGCCGAAGCCGCCTGCGGCCCGTACACGCAGCGCTGGCCTAACCTCTGGCATAGCGAACATGCTGGCTTCTCGCCTGGGCATCGTGCCTTCTTCCGTCTGCAATATGGGATCAGCATGCAAGTCATTTATACTTCAAGGATCCCCCTCCTCTGATTCGAAAATCCTGTGATAGCTCTCATATCTCTCACTTACCGACAGGGACCGCAAGCTTGACGAGTGCGTTTCAGAGCAACTTTATGAATGGCATAGTTGTCATTTGAAGGACTCATAGTGCATGAATCCCTTCCCCAATCTGACAGAGGCAAGGCATCGAACTACGAACAGCGATGGACAGCCGTTGAGACTGGCGTTAGTCAACGCGTGCGGGGCATGCGGTGACCCCAAGTTTTCTCTCGGCATCTCTAGATGGTTCCAGCATTGGCAGCATTCTCCACCCATTCAATGGGATCTACAGGGACCGCCACCTATGCTCGGCAAGAAAAACGCACATCTTCATATAAAAAGGGGAATTCCGTATTCTACTCTCACTGCCTTGGGAGTTGATCAGTGGCGACTTCGCCCCAGCATGTCTCTTATCTTGCCCGGCAGTTGGAGACTGCCCCACTGACCTGCGCGGGATCACAATTCCTGATCGGGATATCTCATCGATTTCGTCCCGCGTGTTGCCCTCTGGCACCGCTCGGGGCGTCGGCTGGTCGCCCGCCGGTTCGAAGTACACGCCAAACTCTAGATATGAAGCATACTGAGAGATGCGTGCCTATCGGCTGTCGATACCTCCACGACAACATTTAAGATCGGCCTGGGAAGGGACCCTGGGCTATGAACGAGCTTAACGCAGAGTGATATACATTCGGATCTCCATGGGTGCAAAGCGATATCATTATCGGGACATCACCAAGTCGTGGATTGGTATGATTGGCACAGCTCTTCCTTGAAAGAGACCAGGTATAAGACGCGGAACAAAAATAGAAACGAAACCCCATGAGTCATGGACGTCTGCCGATATGTCTTGCATGGCCCAATAACCCGCGATCCCATGGCTCGCCACTCGCAATCAATACCCCCGAGTCACATGGAAGTATTATCTGACACTATTGGGTTTGAATGGACAGCCATGGCTCTTTTATCAATTGACTTCTGAGTTCGATCCTTCTTGTCTGACAGGCGATCGGGTGCAACCCGCTCATGTGATCGGAAACCATATAGATGTAGCTATCTACAGTTCATTTACTTGCGGAGGAATCATCTCACATCGGACAACACGTCATACGAGTTTTACACCCTGATCGAAACACGGGGTCTGTTAATGAGCCTTCCGAGCCGTTAGTCTCGTCTGGTAGCTGCCCAGCTCTTCCATTTGAGAAAGCTTCGATTGTCTGTCTTTGCCTAAACGTAAATCATGCTGCGAGACCGGATCGCTCCGCCCGAGACATACTACCTGACCAAGGGTGACTTGGTTCCCAATAATTCCGTGCCAGCTCTGGTGTATCGTAATGTTCTCCCACGCCCCATAACCCAAGACTCGGCACAGACACTTTGCGAGGGAAATCACTGGGAGAAGAGGGTGAGCTCAATACCCGAGTTCCAATTCCGTCCTCGTTTATCTATCACAATACTCGAAAATCATACAGGCTTGCTAATACCATCGCAGGGAGAATGGGGGCCTCTTTGGGAAGCGCATTTTCACCCCAACACCCATGAATGTTACGGTGTGCTACTTTCATTTCCCTGGTGGGAGTCAAGGACAATAGAAGACACTAATATCCAGGCTAGCGATCATCCGAGGCCAGTCAACTTTAGTTCTTGGCCGTGAACATGCAGCAACAACGGGAGGCGTCGAGGTGGATGTCAGCGCCGGTGATGTGGTCGTTGTCCCGGCCGGCGTGTCCCATCGGTCCATCAGCGCAGACAACGAATATCGATACATCGGTGTATATCCTGAAGTAAGTAGCTTAGAATCTTTAGGGACAGCTGCGGAGTAACCAAGATATCGCTGATCACATGGTTCCTGACAGGCCGCGCCGAAGTGGCGAAATAACTTTTGTAAAGGCAAGGAAGATATGCATCTTTTGGTGGAAGAAATCACGAGCGTTGCAGTTCCTGAGGATGATCCTGTTTACGGCAAAGATGGTCCTCTGGTGACTTTGTGGCAGCAGGCATCGAGGTCGAATAAGCTCTGAATTGATAATATCCACGGATATCTTAGTTTTCACTAGGTTTCCAATTGGCTTTCGAAGAATACAAAAAAGAACGCTACTCAGGAAAACCGAGTGGGCATAGTAGAGCTGGTTTATAAATGCAAAGTTGTCAGTCCTATATCCATTATCAGACAAACACATGTCCTTCATCAACGGAGATGCAGAAAACCCACCCAGTAGATACTCGATGCTAGCCATGCAGAGCTGGGTCCCTCACCTACAAAGTACAATACACGCCACATAAACCGCTGTAGGACCCGTTAAAGTGAAGCAGGTCTTACTGTGTTGAGCAAAGGGGGTGTTCATCCGAATCGCTGGGTTCTGCACGGCAACTCGAAGAATCAGGCACGGCGGCAAAACCGTGCACTCCGAGTGGCGCTTTAACAAGGCCGGTATTTCGAACCGTTTACCGTGCTGACCCCTCCTGGAGATACGTCCGGTCGGGTGTGAAAACCGTCGGCAGATAGCAGATATGCGGGGCGATCCTCCGTGCCGGTCACTGGACCGGCCGTAGCCCTGATCCGGGGTATCAATCACCGTGGAACCGACACGGTTGATAGCAAGGTAGTTGAGTATACAGGGGATGCCATGGGTATATTAATCGGCTTGATTGCTGGCCTGGAGTAGCAATCCAACAGCAATCCAAGGAAATCAAACTTTTTTGCTTAACTTCGGTCGCAATGACTTCATCTTTCTTGAAAAGCTACCTGGGCCTCGGCTCTGGCGCCTCCCCAAAGAACGAAAACGCGACCACGCGAGCACTGCCAGCGTCATGGTACACCTCTCAGGAGATGTTCGAACTGGAGCGACGAGCCATTTTCTCCAAGAAGTGGCTTCTGACGACCCACAAATTGCGTCTCCCCAACACCGGTGACTGGCTTCGGTATGATGTCGCCGGGTATGCCTTCATCCTGGTGCGAGATCGCGAAGGAAACATCAATGCCTTCCACAATGTCTGTCGACACCGAGCGTTCCCTGTGGTGACTGAGGGCGAAGGGACCTCCAGGATCTTTTCCTGCAAGTACCACGGTTGGTCGTACGGTCTCAATGGCAAATTGGCCAAGGCGCCCGGATACCAGGACCTGGAGGGCTTCGATAAGAGCAAGAATGGCCTCCTGCCAATCCATGTACATATCGATCACAACGGATTCATCTGGGTCAACCTGGATGCAGGCGAGCAACCCGAAATTGCGTGGGAGGATGATTTCAAGGACATCGACTTGCAGTCCCGATTCCAGGACTTCAATTTTGAGGAATACAATTTCGACCACACTTGGGAGATGGAGGGCGACTTCAACTGGAAGATCCTGGCCGACAACTACAACGAGTGCTACCACTGCCTGACGGCACACCCGGATATTCCGTCGTTGGCAGATCTGAGTGCCTACGCAGTCGACACCAAGGATGGCAGCATTGTGCACTATGCCAACGCCACGCCCGAGCAGATTTCGCGCGGGCTGAAGATTGCCAGCACATACTACTTCCCGAACGCCTCGATGACCGTCTCGTATGTCCTGTCCATTCCCCTTCTACTTGATGTCATGCTAACCCCAGACTAGGCCACACTTCTTTTTCATGCAGCGATTTATTCCGACCTCGCCGGGCAAATGCTCCATGCAGTACGAGGTGTACCGGAACAAAAGCTCGAGCGATGAAGACTTTGAGTTGATCAACGCCATGTACAAGCGGATCATGTCCGAGGACAAGTATCTGTGCATCCACACACAGAAGAACCTGAACACGGGGGTCTTCGTCAACGGAGAACTGCACCCGCGCATGGAGAAGGGTCCCCTGTATTTCCAGACCGTGGTGCGGGATATTGTGTTGCAGCACCACAAGCGAGAAGAGCAGGCAGGACATGAGATTTGGCCCGCTCGGCAACACTTGCCAGTGAATGCGTCCACGAGTCAGCAGGACATTGATTTCTGCTCGAAGCTGGCGAGTCAGAGCCAGGCCAATAAAGACTGTGGTTCGGCTGTGGCGCGCGAGAGCAGTGGATGCTGTGGGGGAATGGCATGCCAGACCGGCAATGAAGCCCTGGTTTATTAAGATGTTTCTTTAATATGTTACGCCCCCTAATGACATAGCGTGTTTGTGTTTTATGCAATGAGAATGACGGTCTTTAACCTTGGACTCTCCGAGAGGTAGAGTCTCATGACCTTTTTGTTTATCAAAGATTGAATTAGATTTCAAGTGGCGTCCGATTCTCATGACCCTTCCAAGGTTATAGTCGACTTCGATCGGCTTATCGGAAAAGAATTCATTGGAAGACGCGTGTTATCGTCCGGGAACTCATCTTTGGGGTGAAACTATATTCTTGTAGGGATTCAACTATCAGACCTCTTCTATTGAACCGTGTTATCTATCTATCTTGAGGTCACAAAGGGGTATTCAGAGGTGAAGCCGAGCAAGACAAAGAGAGTAGATCCACGATCGATATAAGCGCCCCTCTGTTATCTCTTCAAGGTCAACCCTCGCTATCGAGGACTTTTTAACTATTTCTGGCAAAGACGCGATGGGGCATGTGGAGTCTAAACACCGCAACCGTGTCACCCGCTTGTTTATGTCGGACGCAGAGCTGCAGCGATCACTTGCACTCCCCCCGTGGCCAGAATTCTGTACGGCCAATTGTCATGCCTTGACAAGTTTTGCCCTGCGCTAAGTGCTCTCCCCCACTTGGTTTCCCGCATTCTCTGCCCGAGGGATTAATGATGCTTCGGGCGCTTTGTCACCACCCCGCAGCTAAATCATTAGAACTACCCCGTCTTGATCCCCAGCGTGGACCTGATTCCTTTCACCATTCTGCAATTCCCCACTTGCTTCGACGATGATGTCGCGTGAAATCCATCGTGGAAGATTACGTTCCCATGAGGCCTGTCTGAATTGCAGGTAAGAGTCCCTCATCCTGAGATGGTCCGGGTGCTGGGTTGATGTGCTATGCAGGCGGAAGAAGACCCGTTGCCCGGCCGAGAAACCGGCCTGTTCCAGCTGCGTACGGCTGAACCAGCCGTGTCTCTATACGTCAGTCCCCAGGGGATCTCGGGGTGGCCAATCGGTAGGTGTATGTCCATCACAGCGTTCAATGATGCGGAGTGTGTTTGACCATTTCGCTAGAGTGACCGACTGGCCTACCTGGAAGAGAAGGTAAATCTCATCTTAAATGGTTCTAGGTAGAAACGATCTCACAATCTGCTCCATTGGCATATTCTTCTAACGGATTCCTTTAGACCGGCCCAACCGGCCCGTCAGGAACAGGGACACGATGCGATCAATGATCTGTCGGAAACCTCCTACTCGACTAACACCCGGCTGTCCTCTGGCGAGCCGAACTGTTCTCTCAACGATCCTTTTCTCTTTGGCTTGGGGTTCGAAGACTCAGGTCTACAAGCTTCCTCGCCGGCAATCGCCAGAGGGATAGACCTCTACTTTGAAAATTGCCACCGACAGCCAATCTGGTGTTTTGACCGAGACGAGCTCAGAGACCAGAGCTGCTTGTCCGAAGAACTTGTCTGTAGCATCCTCGCGCTGACCTCACGATTTTCCCGAGAGCAAGACCAGTTCCAGCATTATGGCGACAGCGCTCGAAGCTTGATCATGCTTCGTATGGCTAATGGGACTGTAGAGCTGGAAACCATCGAAAGCCTTTGTTTACTATCATATTCCTCCTTTATAGGTAGGTACCGAGTGGCTCCTCATTTCTCACTTCGCGCGACTCACCTCAAATGCAGATGGGAATATACGACTCGGTCGCTTTCACCTCGGACTTGCCTTTCAACTTTGTCGCTCAGCAAAGTTGGACCTGGAGTCCACCTATGTCTTTGACTGTTCCACCACCGAGCGGAAGAAGCGCCTCTTTTGGAGTCTTCAGTCTCTAGAGCAGTCTTACGGTCAACAGGATGGCTTTCTCAGCGTACCATCCGAGATTCTCCGTTCATTTTATGTCTCCGCTGGTGGAGAGCAGGTTTCCGAGAAGGACCTCGAGTCTAAACCCCCACCGTTACCCAGAGATGACATCGGTTGTGCCAGACCATCGGACATCAGTATTTGGAGTTTGGCCGCCCACTTTGGATGGGTCTGGAGTCGCGTGCGAACATACGTCTCGGAGTGTGCCCGAAACAGACTAAAAGCGCCCTGGAGAAATGACTCCATGTACGCGATGATACTGTCAGACCTCACAGAAATCGAAAACAAGATGTCACAATGTCACCGCTATGACTCGGTCAAGTTTTATGAGCGCAAAGGTGACGAGCTTCGTGTTAATCGGGACTACTGGGTTCCTTGGTTAAAGCTGCAGTTCACTTACCATTCTATCCTGACCGTGCTAAATCACCCCTTTCTCTACATTGTGGCCTCGCAATACAACCACAACTTGGCCATCCCAAATGCCTTTTGGCGACGGTCCTCTGAATTGGTTTTGCTACACGGGACTTGGATTGTTCGCATGATAGACATGGTATCGGACAAGAAGATGCGGCTCGTTGACCCGTTCTTTGGACATGCTGCCGCCATCGCAGCGACGGTGCATCTCTATTATTGCTGCGCCGCAGACCCCCGACTGAAATATAAATCCAAAACAGACTTTGCCAAATGTAGGAGGTTTTTGAAAAGATTTGTCTCCTTTTCGCCTCTTTGTCAAGCCTTAGTATGTCGATCCAGACTGCCCAAAGTTTTCCCGACTGACATGACATACCCAGGACCATACCTTGAACAAGATGACGCGAATCGCGTCTGGCTCCGAAAGTGTGGACTATGATTGGGAGCCGTCCAAGATCCATCTGAGTATACCGTTGATGTGGGATGTGCTTCAGGTCAACTGCATACCAGAACACCACGAAACATCCTCTGGCGGTCTCCTTCATCCTTCACTAACCCCTGCAGTTGCTCGCGAGGAATCCGAGGGCCCCGCCTCCACACTTGAAATCATCGTGGCCATGTCGCCCGAAGTGACCGTCAACACAGCCGATGGAGGACAGACGGCGCATATGCCACCTCATCTGACACATATTCGCTCGGCACCCGCTTCGCCAGGTAGCATGGCGCTCGGCGACAAACTGGTTGCACCTGCCGACAGCCTCATGACGAATACACCGTGGCTCTGGACAGATCCCTCGCAGTTTGTTGATATGGACAATATAGGATATCAGGATTCGGATTCCGCGCTCGGCAACATCGAGGGATTTTCCACGTGGTGGGATTTCGGAAACTTATAGGAACAATCACGTTCATTCTCACTACTTTCTTGCTACCCCTTCTCGATCGCGGTTGCTTGTGTGGTTCTCCTCTCCTTTTACTGGCCTCTTGGCACTGTGGCCCCTTAACCATAAGAAGAACCAAAACCTCAGATGCCACTCGATCCATGACCGCCGATCGCGATCATGCTATGCCGCCGCGACTCGTCCCAAGCCTTTCCCGCAGCGCCGTGAATTCCCTACTCGCATAATCAAAGACTCGAGTCCCGGATGATCCAATCGGATACTTCTTTATTGGCCCCTGGCACCATACTTCCTGGCGCAGATTGAAATCACTCGATGCTATCCCGGTTTCCACGTCCTTGGAATAGTTGCCGACTGACCACGCACATTGTCTCCGGTGAGATATCAATTTCAGCAGATCACCCGACCACAACATGAGTAAGTCGCCGATGTTGCACAACACCTACCACCCAAGCCTCAATCAGGGCAATATCGGACTCCGATACGAGCTCGCGCCTCCGTTGCCCTTGTTATGTTACTGGAATAGTAAAGTCCCAAACTCCCGGTCAGCATGTGGCCCTGCGCGATGATATACTTTGCCGTCGGAGGTTCCCGGCGGCGCGAAGTACAGAAGTAAACGCATGGTGGTCTGCGAGGTTAACTGCAATGAATGATGCTCTAGCACTCGCTGACCAAGTCTTCAGGAAGCCGGACACAATAGCCAGACACAACACTCGAATGGTTCGATATCTTCTGCCCGCCACGCGTGGAATTGAGCTTGCAAACTCGAATGCCCGGTGAGTGACTGTCCGCCACCCACAAGTCCCATAACTTTACATCATAATGCAACTGATAAGAATTTTTTGCAGTAGAGCTCGCCAGTCAAAATGGAGTTCCCGGTCTACATGACGCGTGGCCTACAGGATGTCGTTGGGAAGGGGGAGGGGGGGGGATCTCAAGGAGACTCGGTGAAAACTCTCACATTCCATGCGGTGACCTTGTCTATCCGATTTTCACTCGTGGTTTAGAAGCAGTGGGATCGCAGTCCAATGATTGAATGTGCTGTTTTGTCCCTCCCGCTGACATTAGACAGGTCCTTCCAGGGGTTAAACCCCTGGACGTTGGATTATTTTGAGGATCTTCATCCCCTCGATGCTAACACAGTACTGATGACAACTGGGAAGGTTGAAGCAAAAAATTAATAAATAAAACCGAAATATTCTATTCATTCCACTGCCCAGAACTTCAACTATACAAATTAGATTTACCATATGTGCGTGGGAAAATATGTACGGCGATCCAAGGAGGTACATGCCACTGTGGATCGATGCCTGAGTGCCGGGATATAAAACATGACACCCCTACTCGGTCTTGCGAACCTGCGTGACAGGCGCTTGGTAGACGCGGTTGCCATGGACAAGGTACTGCAAAATAGCAAAGATAACAACAAACCCAAAGACGACAATGGACCAGTTCATGTCCACGGGTGTTGGGTTGTTGGCGGTAGGGAAGAAGGTGAAGATGATGGCGAAGCAGAGATAGCCCAAGGCGAAAAGATTAATGGGCAAACCAAGCGGCCCGAGTGAGAAGTGCGACGGCGGGAGGCCGTCTGATTGGAACCGGGCGCGCACAAAGGCGGCGATCGACAGAATATAGGTCGTGAACAGCGCGGCAATCATCACCGAGGCAATGGCATTGAACGCAGCGGTGGATCCGATGTTGATCAAGCAAAGCAGCACGGTGATCATAGACGAAACAAGCACGGCGCAGACCGGAATTTGTGTCCGTCGGTTCACGTGGGCCAAGTAACGCGAAAATGGAAGGGCATTGTCGCGAGCAAAGGCAAAGGTCTGGCGAGAAGAGGTTGCCAGGATACTAATGGCGCTGCAGACCTCCATGACCAGAATGATCGCCGCCACGCCGTTAGTGGCCGCCCTCGACCCCGTCGCATGCTTGACGGCCGGGATGAAAGAGAATCCACTGGCGGGTTCGAGTACGTCCTTGAGATTGCCCATATTGTACAGCAGGGTAACAAGCATGATGAACCCCAGACCGCCGTTGATCAACGCCGTCGAAACCATGCACCAGGGAACGATAGAGGCCGCATTGCGAACCTCCTCGGACATATGTGTCGCCGCGTCAGGCCCTGTCCAGGAGAAGATGGGAGTCAGCTGGCCCACCAGACATGCCAGGCCTATACTCGGCCAACTACCAGAGTTGGTGAATTCCTTCCAGACCTCCGTCGACGAGGCTTGACCCGGCGACATGGCCCAGATAGGAACCAGGACGGCAACGAACCCGCCCAAATGCAGGGCCAAGATCAGACCCTCCAGCGGTGGCAGGAACTTGGCACCGTAGGTATTGACCAAGGTCCCGACAGCTGCAATGGCCATGGTAAACAGGGTCCCATGCCAGCGTTCGTAAACATACACGTAGTCACCGGGAGTCGAGTAGTTGAAAACCAACAAGCCCTGAATCAGGGTGCCACAGAGAAAGCAAATACTGGCAAAGGCCGCCTGCCAGCCCAACACCGACAACCACCCTGGATGGCATCAGTGGCACGTCCCATGAGGAATATCGAACCAAGATCGAACCTACCAGTCAGATAGCTCAAGAATCGCTGCGACCTGGGCCAGGCGAATTCACTGACCCAGTGATATTGTCCGGCCGAAGTTGGCGCACTAGCGTGCAGTTAGCTTTAGTTCACCGGATATCACGCGCGCACGACGGGATTCCACCTACATGGACGCGATTTCTGCCATGGAAATGACAGCAGCGAAAAACCCGACAAATGAAGCGATATAGACATAAATCATGCCGGCGCGACCCCCGTCCGTCAACCCGTATGTACTCGTCCTGCGCATCCGCCGTTAATGTGGTGTCATGCGACCGGGCGCGCCATCCAACTCACAGCAGAATCGACTCCCATGTAGCCATCAAGGTCGTGGTGAATCCGAGAATCGAGTAGAAGCGAAAGTTTCTCTGTCGCTGGTCAGCGCGAGTTCCGATCGCAGGCCGCGTGGAGACAGACCTTGAACTGCTGCGACTTGCCCAGGCGATGCATATCGCGATCATCCTGGGCATTGTCGAGCCCGACCTCCTCGGCGACCATCTCCTTACGGCTGGAACTCAACATGGCGAAAGATAGAGTCCCTCAGGCCGCGAGGGAGAGAGGGGGCATTGGGGAGGTGGAGATCAGAAGTTTAATGCGCGGTCGGGGACCTGTGGCTTGGCGCCTGAGGATTCCACAGGATTTCGCTCAGGATCGCCCTGTTCAGTCCCTCGAGCTTCTGGACAAGATCCTCTTTTGTGCGCATTTCATCTGAATCCTCCCGAATGCTCCGATCAACCTCGTTGCAAACACACCCGTCACTCATCCACAACCCGCCAAGTGGAGAAAACATCATATTCTGCAGTCCCCGCTGATCAGGCTTGTCGATCACGCCCTGAAAAGGGGAGGTGCTAAGGCGCCGGTTGTGCAGATGAAACCACCGAGCACACTCTCGGACATGCAAGATTGTTTGGGAAGTGGAAATGAGTAGTCTCACTATGAGAACTGATTTTCTATGCTCAATTCTGTGTGGTGGCCGTCCAGGTGATCATTAACATGGATCTATCTGTCTTCTCCCAGCACAATCTCCTCTATACACAGGAGTCACTCTCAAGGTACCAGTTTGGGGGGTATCATCCTGTTATGCTCGGTGATATATTCAAGGATGGTCCCTATTAAGTACACCATAAACTGGGTTGGGGTAGCTTCTCAACCGTTTGGCTTGCATACGACAGAGAATGCGTTGATGGACCAACCCAGTCAATCAGTTTATTGGTCACGACTAACAATATCACAGTCGGGGTGAATGGGTTTCGCTGAAAATCATGAGGGCCAATTCTCAGGAATCCCGCGAACTCCGCAATCTGAAGCTGTTAGAAAAGCACTCTTTCTGGAGTTCTTTTTCGCATTATATTGTGCAGCTATTCGACTCCTTCTCTCACCAAGGCCCAAACGGAGCCCACCAATGCCTGTTTTCGGAGTGACTGGGTCCTTCTGTCCATCGGGTTCTCGCTGACTACCGAGACGGCCATGATCAACTAGAATCAGAGATCATCCTTGGAATGTCGAAACAGCTTTTAGAGGCTGCCAATTTCATTCATGGTGCCGGCATGTGTCATGGGGGTAAGGTCGAGTTTTCAAAGACAGAAATGTACTTGCTAACTTTATGACAGATATTAGCGGCCGAAACATGGCCTTCAGCAGCACTCACTTGGCCCACAAAACAGAGGAGAAGCTGTTTGGAGTTCTTGGGACGCCAGAGATAGAGCCATTGGCCCGCATTGATAGGTTGCCTTTAGGGAATGAGTTTCCCGCACAGCTCGTCAAGGCAGCAGAGTGGGTCGACTGGGTGGACGAGGATGAGGAGGACATTCGCATATTTGATGTGGGGGAAAGTTTTCTGCAAGGAGAGGAGCCCCGAGAAGCTGGCCCAACTCGGTACATTACGGGTGCCTGAGACAATATTCACACATCATTTTGATTATCGCGTTGACCTATGGCGTATTGGGTGCATGGTCAGTGAGCTAGGTCTCTATGCCGCAGGAAGAAGCATTGACACCTATGATACAGATCTACGCATTCTTGTTTACAACATATCCCTTCTGGTATCTAGGCGAAAATGAGGTTTTCGTTTTCCAGATGATCGGCTTCGTCGAGCGGTTGCCGTCTGAATGGCAGTCATAGTGGGAAGCAATGCAAGCAAGTACTCTGCAGGATTTGAGAGTGGAAGAAGGTAAGGCAAAACATCCGTAGCAAAAAGTATTCAATGGCTTATGCTATTTAAGGTTCTGAACCGTTCAAATTGGAACACATGTTCTCTAAGAAAGTGCACGACCCAACACTGGCACCTCTTCTCTCCGTGATTCAAGGACTGATGCGATTCCTACCGTCGAACCGTATCACTGCGGATGAGGCGCTTGGTTTGATGGAGAACGCCGAAGCGCGCTAAGGGAAAAAATTCCTGGGAGTAGAACGATTAATCATGGCTGCCTCGGTGTCAAGTGCCGCATATACACTCATATTCTTTATGTGCTCAACGCTTCCATTAGGCAAAGATTGGAATCTCCCTGGTTGTTTAGGGCTGAATATACAAAGTATGATGAGCACAGTAACTAGGGGAAATCAGCCAGAGAACCTTTGTGGAAAGCTGTCAGGGCAATCCCTGTTGCTCCCATTTTAGAAACGTGGATTGCATCTACGTGCGCCAAGTTGGAAGTGGAAATGGAGCTGAGAGATCGATGGTGGCGGAGTTCTCGGGGAGACGAGATCAATGGGGCAGTGATGCGATCATCCACGAACAACACAAATCGCTCCCGCACTTGTTAATTAAATATGGTCGACGAAAAAGAAGAAAAATAATATAGATTCCCAAGAGGATTCAAATTATATTCAAATAAATAGAAACTAAGACAGAGTCAAAGGGTTGGTAGTTTCACATCATGAGCGCGTATATCAACTTGATATGGGCTTCAGGTCAATTTTCGCACTTGAGCTCCTGGGGCCATTTTCCCCACAAACACAAACTCCTACACCATTTATACGAAGAAACAGGGAAAAGGTCTGTACGAGACGCTAATCTACGTGGAAACGTCTATCCTTTGCTGACCGCTTACAACAGAGCCACCGGAAATGAAGCACTGAAACAGTCTAAATTTTATTCAAATCAACTAGAAATCACGCCACTGTAGGCGTCTCTCCGCGTGGAAACTTTTTTTTCAGCGCGTATAATCAAGCTGCGTCCCTACGGAAGTCCAATTTCACAGCCCCTGGTCATATTCGTAGGCCCGGCACCATCCCCTCCACAATCTGATCGTCTCGAAATACTGCTACGTTGGGCATATATCTGCTTGGTCGGTTTGTGTAGATGTCGAAGACACTGGGTGGTTGGCAAGAACCAACACCTTCGGGGTCGCGAAACCCTAAGGAGGATAATCGGCAACGGTCGACTGATCCTCGATGGATTTTAAACAGAGCAATAAACACGCGTAAAAAGTGAGGTGTATCCTTGCTTCAGGCCCGAAAAGACGCTAGTGACCTGAAGGCCCACTCTTCGTTTATCCTCGTTCTCGCGGGAGACTTTGGGGGCACATTCACGATGATATACTACGAAAATAGATGCGTTGTTACGCGATGCTCTCCCTATATTACGATGTTTGTCTCTTCTGGCATTCTCTTGTTTTCCTCCCCTTACGTTGCTTAGTTCCTTCTATCTTTTCTCTCTTAACACACCACTTCCTGCCATGGCCATGGTTGGAAGCAAGAGCCCTAGGACGCTGCTTGTCTTATATCTCCTGGCTAGTCAGGCATTAACCCGGGGGATTTCGACGCCCGTCCTTACCACGGCTGGGGGCTTTACCTCTGTGGGTAGCCATGGTTCACTGGGTGGCTCTGCTTCACCTGATCCCCAGAAACCAGTGTCAATACCCCTAGTAGTCCCTGCCAGATTCAAGAACACAAGCCAGAATCATGAATTCCAGAGTGGCACGCGTCCTTCTGCCAATAGCTCAGGACAGCGGCCCGGTGGAGGTACGCCTCAGCCGCCAACGCCTCTTCCAGGTGGCTTCTCAAGTGGGACATCTCTCCCACTCAATTCGCCTCGTGGACCGCAGTCTTCGGCTATCCCGCCTACCAATCCCCCGGCAGCTGGCCACACAGGGAAATCACAAAGCACATCTACCCATAGTCCTGTATCGGCCAACAGTCCCTCTGGCGATGGTCCCTCTGGCCGTCCTAGCAGCTCAGGACCCCCAGCCCCAGTGAACACGCCTTCCGGCAGTTCACGACCGAGCGATTCACGCATTTCCCCAGATTCTCCTGGGTCGTCAAGCAACACCGTGCCAACGGTTCAGCCGACTACGTCCCAATCCACCATTTATCAAGTCACCGGAGGCTCGACTAAGGCCATTCCCACGATGGTCACCGTGAACCCATCTAACCAAGGGGAAAGTGCAACTCCAATCACCTCTCAACCCCCTGCATCATCGTCAGCTACCGCTATGTACGTTGGGCTGCTTCAGAAATACCCCAAATCGGTATCCGCCGCACTGAAGGATTGGGAAGATGCCAAGAAGAACCCGAATGACGAGGAGGGATGGAAAAAGGCGAAGAAATCCATTGATACTGTTCTTCCGCCAGATGACAAGGACGACGATAGTGGTGGTGGCATTTTCGGTGCGCTATTCCACAAAAATACCAAGACGAGTGGGAGCTTGAAATCTGCCTTGAAAGGAGTGTCCAAAGTCCGGAAATCCATCGGCCCCGGTGCAAAGTCCATCGGGGAGGCCCTGGGTGGGGGAGGCTTGAAGTTGCCAGATCTCCCTGGTCCGCCAGCTGCAGGAAAGATCGATCCTGACTTGAAGGGAATCGAGTCAAACACGAAGAAAGCAAACGACGAGAACAAGAAGAAAGAAGAAAAGAAGGAATCCGAATCCGAATCCGAATCAGATTCTTCGACTTCGACTTCTGAGCCATCCTCATCCTCGTCTTCATCTTCAACATCGTCGTCGTCGTTCTCCTCCTCTTCCTCTTCCTCCTCTTCAAGTTCCAGCTCCTCAAAGAAATCCTCATCATCATCCTTATCGTCCTCATCTTCAAGTTCAAGTTCCTCGAGAAGATCCTCATCCTCAACATCCTCGTCTTCGCCATCTTCTTCGTCTTCAAATTCAAGTTCTTCGAGAAGCTCCTCAAGCACTTCCACTCCACGAACCACCACGCCTCAACATGTATGCTCCAGACGACACTCGAAGTGGAGTGGGTCTTTTCAATCCACTCCAATTGTGAGCAGCACGCCCATGTCTTCCTCCCTCTCATCTGCAAGTTCCACTTCCTCCAGAAAACTCTCGGGTACATCCACTTCACGAACGACTACGCCTCCACATGTATGCTCCAGACGACACTCGAAGTGGAGTGCGCCTTCTCAATCCACTCCAATTGTGAGCAGCACGCCTATGACTTCCTTCCCCTTATCTTCAAGTTCCAACTCCTCCAGAAGGTCCTCGGGTACGTCCACTCCACGGACAACCACCCCTCCACATGTATGCTCCAGACGACGCTCTCAGTCGAGTGCGCTTTTCCAACATACCCCAAGTGTCACAAGCACGCCAATGTCCCCCAATTCAACACCCAGGACCTCGCCCACCAGATCTACTCCACAAAGCACGGGTACCCACAAGGGGAAATCTGCATGCCACCTGTCTCGCCGGCCCTATAGCACGCATGGCTCTGGATTGGGCGGCAGCAGTATGAGTGGTCGGGGAACAGGGACTAGCTCAACAAAATTTCACAACACACCACCGGTGACTTCATCGCCATCGAAGACCTCAACCCAAAAGCCAGACAGTTCCGGCTTGCCCAAGTCAGTCTTGTCAAAACTGGAGAAGGATCCTAAATGTTTTGCCAATGGAGGACCTCACGGATCACACCAATGCGGTTGCTCGACCGTCGTCTCAGGTCAAACCTTTTTCGCGTCACCTACACCGAAGGATGTGGGTACTTGCTGGACCCTTGATCCGTGGTATAGCAACCCCCCAAGCAAGACCACGCATAAGCCCGCTCCGACTTCCCCGCCAATAATGACCGCTACCGTGGTAACTCATATGGCTTCAACCAATAGGGTCGTGCTCTATCCTTGGCAGACTACGGCGTGGAGGCAGGTCCAAGGCAAAACGTACTCAGGACCCGCGCCCGCAGGTCCAGCCTACACCCTTCAGCCAGACTTCCCTACTATGTGGGTTACAAATGGCGTGAACCACGGCAAGGGCTCAGGCATGTGCCACGCTATTGATCAGAATACCTGCAAATCCGCTGCCCGGAAACTCCCTGACTGGCTTGTTCATTATCCGGAGACGCCCGGCGACCCCAACACCAAGTGGCTCTCGGCGCATATCCCGTATGGTAGGGATATGTACGCCTCTAGCAATTCCGACACTTTGGAAGGCACTTATGTTCAGATGGTGGGTGGCCCTGGGAAATGTCAAATCTCCACTTGGTGCAATTTGGATGGCCAGGTCAGTAACTACACATACCACGCTCTGACCAAGCCACAGATCATAGAGGCGTAAGTGTCCCTCCCTTTCAAATTGTCATTATCACGTGTTAACAACGGTACAGGGTCAATCGAATGTACAGCGAGGAAAACGGTATTGGCACGTGTGGACTTGTCCACGTCGGTTTGTGCCTGGTGAAGGCTGACTACTGCCACTCGGATGGCGACGGGGGCGGGGGCTGCAAAGACATCCCGGCTGATCGCTCTTATAATGTATCAGAAACGAATCCATTGGATGATGTGGTTCCTTATTTGCCTTACTGGAATAGTGACAACCGCACGATCCCCGATGATGCCGGGGACTATTCAACCTTGTCCACGCCTCAACCCAGCAGTTCATGACGGAGAATGGAATCTGTGACTTTGATTGACCTCGATCGGTAATCATTTGGATGTTATTTAGACCATCATTCATCACAGACGTTTATGGTGTTTACTGTTTGAATAATGATGATTTGAAGTACTTGGATAATACATTGCCTTGTTTTCCCGAAAGGCTCAATGAAAGAGCAGAGTGGGAGGACATCGACCCTAGATTGGCAAGAGAAATGCATTCGCACAGAATGAAAGTAAAATACATACACCGAGACACACACACACACACACACACACACACACGAAAAGCTAGGAATATAGACAAAGAAGAACACAGAAAGCCGATGTTGGGGGATAGTACTCAACACCCCAAGTACATCATTCCACGAAAGGTTTAAGTCGAAGGTCTGAGACAAATAGGGGGCTTGGAGAGTAGCACACAGGGTGCTATTTGAAGGGACGACTTTTTTGCGGATCATCTCATCGTCTCGAGCCTTCGCCCGTACGCGGTTAATTTGCCTATAGGAGAGACCCTCTGGAATCGACGCCAACTGGTCGGCGACTTTGCCCAGCCAGTCAACACAAAATGGAGTTCACCAGTGAAGATACCAGTAACATGAAAATAAAGTGAACATCAAATGCTATGCGAGAAATTTCAATCTACCGGGGGTATATATATGCGCGCTTCTCCAGTCCGTCAATTTTTATTCCATCCCATCACCTCCAGTCTCTGTTGTATTGCTGGGCGGTTCCAGCCGGGGATTTCTCTGGCTTGTTGGCTGCGTTGTATCCAGGTCCTGGCTCATAGGCAGGCGGAGGATAGTTGGAGTGGCCACTATAATTCATTGGAGGATTCTGGTAACCAGACGGGTAGGGCTGTTGGGGATATGGTTGTTGGTGACTATAGTTGGGGCTATAGTTCTGACCATGACTTGGATAGTCGGTAATAGCCCGGGAACCGGTTCCCTGCCCGTGACCCTGAGGATATGCCTGGCCGTGGGGATATCCATGATAGTGGGCGTATGGAGATGACTGCGGTGGATTGTTGGGATTGGGGCCATAGTACCCTTGGGGACCGGGATGCTCGTATGGAGGCTGCTGGGTGTATGGGGGTTGTTGTTGCTGCCGATAGCGCTGGTTGCGCTTGTCCTCGTGTTCATTGGCTGCTCTAAAAAACACAGTGTTAGCTTGGAGCAGATTTTATTGCGAATAGGATTGACCAGAAAAAAAAAACTCACTTGGATCCGGCCTTCATCAGGCCATATGCGCCCGCAAGAGCAATGCCGGTTTTGATGAGACCCATATTGGAGAAAATAGAAGTATATTGGAGAAGTCGTGGGAGATTGAACGAAATGAGGTGAATCAAATTGAGAAGATATTCAAAAAACAAGAAGAGACTTCTAGGAGTATTTGTAGTTTTGTGCAGAGTGCCGATCGCAAGGCTGCAAGTAGTGTTGCGGCTTCTTTGGCCCCATCACCACCCGAACCCGAGCCTCGCATGGGGGCCGATGATCTCGCTTTCGTTAAAATGGGCCAATTCCATTTCCACATCCTGCTGATCGCATTCGGGATTCGCATAAATGGGATACTAAAGAGTTTTACTACAAGATATGCTATAATAAGCTCGAATATACTGAAGATACTAACAGCAATAAACATAATCAGGATGGTGATTATCATAATAAGATCTGAAAATACCATCAATAAAAAACTGGATAGAAGGAAGTTAGACTATCGGCGGGTAAGTTTGGTTTTCCAGAAAACATCCATGGATATAGCTCTGGTGCAGATGGATGTCAATTTGTTTATTTTCTACTAAGTGGGCCACTGGGACGTTTTAAATGCTTTAATTTATTGCCTTTTCAACTATCTTACCTATTGACCGATCGATAAACCCGTAGACTAAATACTCTGAATTCTCTAGATAGTATAGATATATAATTTAGACAGTTAGGCTAGTTAGGCCCTTAGATTTCTGCTCGAATCTAAGTAGGGGCTGTCTTAATCGAATAAGATACTATATTAATAGGCTCTTAAATTTACCCTAGGCTAATCGTGTCTATTGCTCCCCGATATAACTCTTCGATATATAGTTAATTTAGGGGTTCCGCTATTTATTATCTAAGGAAAATATTGAGTTAATAGGGCGTAAGATCTAACCGAGTTTTTGGAGATTTTTGCCCGGGTAAAAATAGAGCACGATCTAATATAATAAGTGTGGATTAATATTATGAAATATATTATCTCTTAATTTTATAGGTACTTAGTCGAATATTAAGATCTATGTGTTACGGACCAAGCCACCTCACTCGTGCCAGCAGGGGTACAGGAGAAAACCAGAGCCAACCAACCCCGCGGCGATGATACAGGACAACAGGGGTATGGATCACGTGACAATGTACCACGATCCATTGCCAAGGAATGGTATATCGGATAGTATATTAATAGGACTACTATATGCCCGCATATAGTATACCACAAACGAAGGCATGGAATAATCGGCGAAGGATATATAAGGATACTTATTTATTGTGTACTTAGCTCCTCGCGTTTAACTCATGTTATTAACCTCAGTTACAAGTTCAACTCAGATTGTCTCGTTTACACTGTGACCCTCTCAAGATAACCCCTCTAGTAGTGAAGCGCCTTTAGTACTTCTACTATTAAGCACTCCTCACCCTTGATCGTTCCTCGATACCTCAATAGACCCGAGCCTATGTAAGGCCTGACGGATAAGGCAATAATACGGTTACGAGGCCGGATATCGTTAATACTAGAAGACCCCTAGTCTTCTAGTATAACTAGAAAGACCTATGTATCTTGGTATCTTAAGGGAAGTATACCTTCTGTTCTAGCTAATAGTTATAGGTGACTAGTGCGTAACACTTTAAACGCCCATCTTGAATTATAGTATACGAGACGTTAATACTCGACAACCATAGCCGGTAACGATAGTGCTAACAACCTTTCGCGTGGTTCTGCGAGCTAATCTGCTCTAACCAACGCGTAACTCATAGATATGATTAGTTAGCTTTAAGAGTAACTTATCTAAGAAAGAGCCAGACCAGCAGCGTCTATGAAACTACCGAAACCCGACTTCTTCGACGGAACCCAATCTAAGCTTTAAGGATTCCTGACCTAGATAGATATATAGCTACGTATTATTAACTATGTAGAAGAAGCGGACAAGGTCATCTACGCTTTAACTTATCTTCGAGGGTAAGCCTTTAATTAGTTCGAACCCTATATTAGGGAATTCAACGAGAAGAGATAACCTAATTAAAGAGATATGATTTAAGCGATTTTCTAATTGTATACTAATTTCAAGAAAAAGCTCGAACAGATATTCGGAGATATTGATACGTAATAGACCGTAGAGCGACGACTTGAATAAATTCGATAAACCAGCTTAGCTAGCATTTACGCCGCTGAGTTCTAGCAGATTATCTCGTATCTTGATTACGATAACGATATATATATTTAGCTGTTCGAACGAGGACTCAAGGAAGAAGTTAAAGATAAACTTATGAGAATTGATTAACCAACCGATCTATCCCGAATAATCGAGATAGCGGTTAAATTCGACAACCAGCTTTACGAATATAGATAATAACGACGTAAAACATAATAGAATAACACTAGATATATCCTACGAGGATTCCGCTGCTATAAAGGTAGATAAGGATAAAGGTAATAAGTAATAAAGGAATCGTATAATAATAACCTTTATAGACTAAGACCTATAGAGCTCGACGCAGCGAGACTTCCGACTAAAGAATAAAAAGAACGTAAAAGAAAGAATCTTTACTTCTACTATAGTAAGCTAGGCCACTAGAAGAGGAACTACCACAAGAAAGTATTAGACAATAGCAATCGGCGATAGTAACTACGAGCCACATAGGATAGAGGAGCTTATAACACTACCGGAGTGCTAGCTTAATAACTCTACGCAACGAACGACAACCGCTGGGATAAGGAATCCCTTAGCGAAGACCCTAAAATAACTAGATATAACTCGAACCTAAGTACCGCGTAGACACTGGTCCTAAAACGCGAAGACGTATTCGTTATACGTAAAGAATTCGCTAACGACGGTATACCTAACTAAGGAGAGTTAGAAGGTTTTCCAGAGATTGATTAGGGAATAGTTAAGAGTCAAGGATAGACCTAGAATAGTCCCTAGGAGAACGATAACTCGCCGGATCTATTAGAAGGATCCTTTGGCTAGGGATATAGTATCCTAAAAACACCGGTCGAAATTCTAGTAACGCCTAAACCTTAGGAGACTTCTTAGGAGACTCCGGAATCGCCTTAAAAGACCTCTAAGAAAGCAAAGACTCGCTTAAGAAAATATAGTAACTCCGATAGATAGGAAACGCTAATATATACAATAAGGACTTTCAGCGACTAGCAGCCTAACTCGACAAAGAACTCGGATATCCCTATCCAAACCCATAGTATATATATAAAGGACACGCACGATACCTAGACTACTAGGTTATATCAACGCTTATATACTACGATGATACTTATCTAATCCACTATTAAGGCAAGCTCGATTATAGTATCGAGCCACGATCCTTAAACTAGATAAAGAAACCTCGATAGAAACCAGAATTCACCGGAATATAGGTCAACAGACAAAAGATCTATAAGCAAGGCGCTAATAACTAGTTAGAAGGGCGGTAGTAGATAGCGGCAACAATATAGGGAAGATATATAAAGCTTAATATCAGTATCCTTTTTTAAGCGACTAAAGCGATACTTAACTTAGGAGCTATAAGCAACTTTATAAACCCTCGATATTAGCGATAAATACAAATCTAGGGCTACGTAAAGCCACGACCGATACCGATTTAAGGACTCAACAGAGAAAGCCTTAGACTAGGAATCACGCACAAAAGCGGAAACATCCCGATAACAACCTACGAATATTTCGAATTAATTAACTTCGATATTACCGAACTAGAGGAATATAATATAGTTCTTAGAGTACCCTAGTTACGGAAACACAATCCGATAATCAATTAATAGACAGGAATAATCGAATTTAACAGATACCCCTATAAAGAGATATACAAAACCTAGACCGCGAAGAATTTAACGATATAACCAAAGGAACCGAGTCATAGAGAGACCGGTATCCAACAGAGTTCCTACGAGGGAGAACCTAAAGGAAGCTCTCGGCCCTAGGGCGAGGCCACCTCACTAATTAACGCGCACCGCGATATATAGGGTCCCTACGAAAGAGAACTTAAAAGGAGTCCCAGAGGTAAGATCACAGGATAATACTAGAAGAATAGAACGTAGATATACGATATCAGCGTTATCACAATAACCGAGCAATCACTAGATATAACGGACGATAAACTACGAGACTACGTTATGATTAGGCACGAAATGAAGCAGATCTATATCACCGATAAAAAACCACAAATACCGAAAGAATATCAAGACTTCGAGGATGTTTTTACCCGACCAATAGACGGGGTACTACCGGAGCACGGCCTATTTAACCACGAGATTAATATAGTAGAAAGTAAAGAACCTACTATTAAGCTAATCTACTAACTATCCGAGAAGGAGTCTTAGGTATTAAAAGAATATATCAATAAAAACCTAAAGAAAGGTTATATCCGCAAATTGACTTCGCCAACGGGATATCTAATCCTATTCGTTCCAAAAAAAGATAGAAGTCTACGCCTTTACGTGGATTATCGATATTTAAATTCGATTACTATCAAAGACCGACACCTATTGCCTTTAATTCATAAGATCTAAGATCGGATTTAGGGAGCAAGATACTTCACGAAGTACGATATCACCGACGTATACCATCGTATCAGAATCAGCGTAGGCCACGAATAGAAAACAGTATTCAGGACTAAGTTCGGACACTTCGAATATATAGTTATACCCTTCGGCCTCACTAACGTACTAGCCTCTTTTTAGCGATTTATCTACGCCGTGTTAGACAAATATCTCGACACCTTTATTATAATCTATTTAAATAATATCTTAGTATTCTCTAAGACCCTCGAAGACCACGTTAAACACAATAAAAAAGTGCTTTAGAAACTTAGAGAAGCTAAAGTATTTCTTAAACTTAAGAAATACGAATTCTATATCTAGGAAATAGGATTCCTAGAATATATTATCAGTACTAAAGGATTTAGTATAGAAAAAGAGAAAGTTAAAAACATTCACGAATAGCCAACGCCACGCAACGTTAAGAATATCCAGAAATTCCTTAGACTTACTAACTACTACCGACAAATAATCCTAAGCTATATATATATCGTA